TTTTTTACAATAACGTTTTATAATTTAGTATAATATTTACATATAAATAATATAAGTTATTTTATTTAAAATATTTTAATTATTTAAATCATTTTAAATAAATTTAACTAAAGTAAAATTCAAAATATTATTAAGCATACTTATTTAAAAAAAAGTTTGTTTATTTTAATTCTTACTTTTGAAGTATTAAAAAAAAAATTTAGTAACTTGTTTTCGGTTTTTTTTTTTTTTTTTTGCAGGTTTGTAAAAACTAAATTTGTTTGATTTTTTTTTTTTTGAGTTATGTTTTTCATTTTCATGTTTTAAACACCAGCAGTAATCGGCCATCATACTAACACTCCATCGACCTTGATATCGTCTTTAATTAATTAATCCAGAAATATAATAACAAAATACAAGTGATCTTTCTTTTGAAAATAATTATTTGAATTCCATTTCATGATTTCTGTACCAATAAAAAGTAGTCCCTTTGCAAGTACATTTTTTTCTTTGAACCTTGAACCTAAAATTTCAGCTGCCTTATTAGTACGGGCTAAGTCACGTACTAAATAATTTAATTCAAATTGATTGAAAAGTTGAGGAGCATCTGTGGTGTCAAGTTGAGAGTCTTCATCATTATTACTAGGATTTGACATCGGAATCTATAAAAGTATCGTGGTTTAAAATAATTTTGAAATTTTCTGACGGTACAGGTATTGGTAATTCAGGGCCATGTAGAATTGGTCGTGTAGCAGATGGTAAATTTGGGTGAATTAGCTTTGATTTGTTTTATTATAATTATAAAACCAGATATATTAACCATACAAAAATAGCAATCGTCAATATAATTTTTTGGTTCTCTCCAAACCATTGGTATTCCAAAAGGCATTGATAAACGCTTATATTGTTTCCAATTTCGCAAAATTTCAACACAGGATCGGCAAGCCATATGGGGTGCCCAAGATTTATCTTAATCTCCTAAATGAATACCAAGACATTTGTGGTGTACATTTTTAACAAAATTTATTATGTTATTTCGTAGTTTCATTAAAACATATTCACCATATATATAACAAAGTAAATTTGAGTTGATTTTATAACATCTTATTTTAATGATTTTAGACGTCATACTAAAAAAAATTAAAAATCAAAAATCACACGAATAAAATCTTAGAAATGTGATATAGGACTCGGATATTTTATGAAGTATAAAATGAATGTGACTATAGAGAATAAACATCAGTTGTATAAGTTTAAAAATATATTTAATTAAACTATTATAAAATAAGAACTACTATAAGATAAACAATTTAATAAAGATAAGAGTAAAGTTTCGTTAAGTATACTACATAGAGTGTATAATAATAGTTCAATTTGCGAATATATCGCATATTATTGTACGACTGTACAGAAAATATAATATTTATTATTCAAATTGTAGAAAAACTAAACGCGTTAGAGAAAAATTGATCGCAGATTTGAATTCAGCATGGCAAAATCTATAAATATATAAGCAAAAAGTGAAAACAGGAAAGTAGTCGCAGGACCGTGTATTTAAACGCAGACAACCGCTGTGTGTGTGTATTTATTCGTGGAGTGCGAAGTTATATATTTGTCGAGAAACACGTTTCTTTATTGCTGTGATAAGTTTTATAGTGACCTGTTATTACCACGTTTTAAAATTTATCTGAATTACTTATCTTAAAATTTCTAAATTTCTAAAAATATTCTAATATATTGTGGGAAACAGTGATGACAACTGCATAACATGACACCACATGATAATCGCACATACGACATTTTTTATAGTATATGTTTATTATATATTATGCACGTTAAATTGAACAACTTAAATAATAAATATATCAATCCACGTCGATGCTACGTTAACATATTTTTCTAGAACATTTACTTTGGTGTTTATCAATAATATTGATTCAATATCATTATTTGTGATCAATAGTACCATTTGATTTATTAACCCATAAAGAACGATATTGTATAATAAACCCTATTGACGGATTTATATGCGGTTTGTATTAAAAGTGAATCAGATGGGAAACTAAATAGTCTGGACACATCATTTCTGTTTGAGATACTGACGATTTTTTTTTTTAAACCTAAACAATTAGTTTCCGAAAATATCAGTCGTTATCTTCAATTATATTTTATAACCCGAGACAGTACTGATAAAAACAATCGATTTCTTTCAACTTTGAAGTTTGTAAGCGTTAGGCAAATAAATTGTTGCTTTGTACTATCTGTTGTTAACTTTGCTACACGCGGATACTTTATATGGTGAGCATTTATCGCGGATATCTTAATGCTTGTGACAATATTTTCTTCGAACATTTTAACCAACCGTAACTCTATGTGAATAGATCAATGTGAATTAATGTGAATCTACTCATAAAAAAATGTGCCCACATGACGATGAACACTGTAAAAACCCTGGTTGAAACGTATAATACGATATAGTATAAAACACGTATTATACTGTATAAAAATAAAATCCCTTATAAACAAAAATGCATTTATAATTTAAAAATTTTAAACACAATAAAATAACGAAATATAAATTATAAATAAACAATTGTGGTGCTATTAATCTATTGTTAATAATTATCATTATTTTATCGACGACGTATTTATAGTAAATTCATTGTACTTGTGATATTTAAAACATTTTTAATATTTTATACTAATAGATAATAAACGAAAAATTATATTTAAAATGTATTTTTGCTATGTATAAAATTTAAAAAAATCTGAAATAGGAAGTATATTTAATTTTTAAGAGTGAATTTCAAAAACAAATCGTATTATACGTTTAAAGGTCTATTCACAAATATACGGGCCGGGTCTGGGCCGTGTCCGAGCTGCGCTATTTGATTTATAATTTGTGATATGAGCATTCACACAGTTCCGTTCCATGTCCGATCCGGGCTTTCCGTGCGCCATCCTAGCCGACAAATTATTATCGATAACAATATTTCTCATCCGGGCCCGGAGACTAAAATGGTAAAAACGGATATATTTAGATTGGATTTTGAAAATCGCTGATATTTCCCTATCGTTTCATTGTCATAGAGTATATTTTTGAATTACAACTCGAAACGAATCGGATCGGATTCGGAGGTGTGTAAATACGTTCATTCGGATAGTACGGACATGGCTCGGCCCGGCCCGGATATGTGTGAATAGACCTTTATACGTGGGATTTTATATGTATAATTATAACGTATACAATGTTTTATACACGTATATTACTAACCCTGGTAAAAACCATCAAGTAATAATATAGATATAAATAAACCATTTTACTTAGAAATACTCGAACCCCTGTTCAACATGAAATTAAATTTATTAATAATCAACATTTACTTGAAATAATTTACCACACTTTTCAATTTAAATAATTCATACCTGATTTTTAAAAACCTAAATGATTATATTCATAGGTATGCACTTACTATTATTATTTTTATATATTATGTTATATTAAATATTTTATATATTATTATTTTTTATTCACAGGCCAAAATATAACAATATACAGTGTAAAGTAAGATCTGTCTATGGCAGTTAGGTATCATAAATATTCCGTTTTACAAAAGATTCCGGATCATTCAGGGTTCGTTTTAGACAGGTGCATAATATGCTGAATGTACTAAATACACCAAAAAGTACAAATCATCCGCCGTATGAAACGTTCTTACTGCCTCTCCGCCATGTTTCAACGCCAACAATAGTACAACCTAACCGTTAATTATAGCAGTCTTATGTTGTCCCAATATTTCTAATGAGAACAGATTCATAATTATTGAAAAATACAACATTGTACCTTTATGCATTGATTTAAACATTAACTTAGAAAGATTCTTCATTCATTTTTAAGAGACATAATGACATAATGACGAATGGTTCCATCGCTTGGGAAACGATAAGAACCAAATCTACGTCACCGTGAACATGTGGTTCAATTCCAATTAAAAAAAAAAAAACAAATCTGAAGAAAAAATTTCGAAAAAATTTAAAAAAAATCAATGTTCTAATACATCTGTTCGTGTTGGTCAAGGCGTAATGAATTATATAAATATAATATTAATGGAATAGTTTTTTTTTTTAAAGAAGGATAAACTATTAATTCGAAATTTAACGTGATTGTAAATTGCGATCGCAAAAAATTAGGATCCAATTGAAATTGAGTGCGACCGCTTGTTTACCGTCATCCGGTCAGGATCATTGGCGCACGCCGCCGTGAGAGCGAGTAATACGTACGTAGTTTTGTACGCATTGAATAAACAATAGCGGCGGGCGGCAGTGGCGGTGGTGGCGGCTGCAGATGTTGCACGCTGTGAGGCAGCGATAATAAGTAGCGCGTATCAACAGGAGAGGGGCAGAAAATAATATGTGGGTTAAAGTGGGTGCGCGGCGTCCGTTCGACGCGATGGTGGCGGCCGCGGTCGTTTGGGTGTCGGTGGGTAGCCGAAAGCGCTCGACGGTCGCGGCGGCGGGAACGAGACAAGTATAAACTCGTCGGCGTCGGTGAGCGGCGGCTATCGGAGCGCTTGCGCTGGCAGTATGGCGACGGTGATTCGACGACGTATATCGGAAATGGGTGCCGGCGGGTGGTTACTGGTTAGCGGGCGCGCGCGCATTATTCACATCAATCTAACCGTTGTTACTTTGGTAGGAAAAAAACCTTGAACTATGCAAGATCGGCGCTCCGGCAACCTCTATCCGGGTACTAGTCGGCGGGGTCGTTGCTTAATGGGCTTAACATGCTAATGGTCGACGAGCCGACGCCATTGGTCGAACGCACCGCCGCCGTCACACTTGACGTGGGCCGTTGGCCGAGGAGGTTCGCGGGGTACGGTCTCGACGCGTACCTCGATTAGAGGCTAACCTACTGGTTTTCTCTTTGTTTGGACGATTTCACAACGCACGCACGCGCTTACCATCGCGCATACCATTGCTGTTGTACGTGACAACAGTACACACAGATGCCCGTACACGCGAACACTTTGATGTTATCGCCGTGGGTGATGCATGTGTGTGTCTGTGTCCGTGTGTCTGCCTGTGCGCGCGTCTTGCTCCGCGCCCCGCTGACCCAGCCCACCAGACCCACGATCACGGGGTTCGGAAGGAGCGTCGGCTCGGAGCGAACTCGGTTCAATTCATTTAACCGTTGGCACTCCACCTGAACGTTTCTCCACGTTTGCTTCGCCATCAAATCGCTCCGTGGACACTGCCACCACCACCGCCCGCCCGCCCACCCACCTCGTTCACATGCACGGCGCGCCCCACATGTTGTGATCGATACACTTTTTTTTTTTCGTTCAATAGTGGTTATATTTTTTTCGATGCGGTCACGTGTTCCTTTTTTTTTTTCAAATATTGCTTGTGACCGATTTGTTTTTTTTTTATGAAAAACTACTTACTAATAATTCCTTTAAAAGTTTGATATATTAATATCTGTAATTGTTTTTGTTTTTAATAAACGACCTCGCACGTACATTCCAATAATGGCAGCTGTTATCAGCGTACCGGCTAACGAAGGTAATTTAAATTAAAAACGTTATTATTTTGAATCACAATCATTGTCTCGAATCACTGTTGTTGTGTCAGTAGTGTACTATCAGTACTCTGTGTTTAAGTTGACGGTGTTAACGATTCGTATTATTGTTTTTATTTGTTTATCTATATCAAACGTTGTTTGGCGATGACGCCGGAAGTGTAACTGGTTTCCGTATTTATTAGTATCAACATATTGTAATCGAGTTTAACTAATATATTTTTATAATTCATATATTTGTAGCAGAATAGTTTTTAAGAAAATCTTGTTTTTATATTTTTTCAAATGTTAAATGTTTAAAGATGTTCAGTAACCCTTGGAAATTGTTGAAACCAGTGGAAAATAATGTTTATTATTTGTGAGGTTGTTATTGATTTTTGATCTACTTTAACGTAAATTTGATTTTCATAAAAATCTCAAGATATCGTTCTCTTTTTGAAAAATATTCAATTATCTTAATTTTTTTATATACCTACATGTTGATAATTTGATAGAGTAATTTAGAGTAAGAATGTCTACCATTTTAACAAGAAAGGAAGTTTTTGATAATTTGCTACCTTGTCCTGTATGTATTTATTATATTAGTTGTTTATATACAAGAAATATATATTAATTTTTGCTTTGCATTTAATCTTTCTCTCTAGTGTCTGTTTATGACCTAGTTACTTCTTAGTTTTTATCTTAATAAATAATCTTAAATAATCTATATATTTCCCAATCGTTTTAAATTAATTATTTCGGTTCATTTCTCTGGGTAAACAATAGAAATTCCTTAAATTGTCTTGAGTTTGGTGTAAGTTTAAACTAACCATTGGCTATTAAATCTTTAAAATTAATAATTAATCAAGTTACAAGTAACTGTTAGGTTTTAATTCTATTGTTGTTTTATTACAGTATTTTTTTTATTTTTTGTTTGTTAATTTTTCCAAAATATTTTCATTTTTATTTAAAATTGTAAATTACTAATGTTTTTATTTGTTATTTTATTGGACATATAATTAATTAGATTTAATTTAAACTACATATAAGGTAATAAATAATCGAGTTGAAAAATTGTATCTACGTTACAAAAAAAAAAAACTTGTCAATGCTTATAATGTACAATGTATTTTACGTGGGGTATGAGAATCTATTTGTAATTATGTTTATTGTTTAATAATAATATTGTTAGTGTTTATACATGTAACAATATTGTTATTGAAAAAGTAACAATAATTTTAATAGTATATAGTTTTACCTAGTACAAATTGTAAATAATTATCATATAATTTTTAATTTGCCTCTGATAATATTGATATCAATAATTTGTCAAAAGATTACTGATAACAAAAAGCGCGGCAATATAAAAGAACCGCATTTGATATTTTATTGTTAAGCTGCGTCACACCTAATAAACGTTTGGGAAAACATTGTCAAACATTATATCAGCACTATGAACGTTTGTTCATAATTCGGTTGTTCGCTTTGATGGTCCCTACACACTGCCGCGATTGCGATAAAAATTGTACACACGTATTGTAATGGGAGTTCTCACAATTCAGCGGTAATTCGGCCGCCGTAAAATATTGCCGCGTGATATTTATAAAAAACTGAGCATGCTTGATTTTGACGCCACCGCGCAGCGGTATATTAATTGACATTCTTAATTTTTCCCCAAAACCAATGTTAGTACTTTAAATAGATTTGTATTATTAATTATTATTTTTAATTATTTAATATTATACTCTAAGATTATGAAAATATGTATAATTATACGAAATTAAAAATTATTATTTTTTATTCATTTTTAACTAAATAACTAACTACCAATTTGTTTGCTTGTAAATGGAAAACATGTATTTAAAATTAAGATACTGTAGCTGCATAAAATATTATTATAAAATACAATGAAATGTTAAAAATAATAATATATTATCTAACTTAAGGCGGCGGGTGCACGCTAGTGTAACAAAACGGCGAACATGTAACATTTTAACGAACTAATCGGCGATGCGCCTGTTGTCGGTATTTCAATGAATCATCAAAAGATGATACGCGAACATGTATTTACGAACATTTTCACAAACGCACAAAAATCAAATATTATCTTTTATTTTTATACTTATTTTGGTACTTAATAGTTTATAATACATATATAGTTGAGTTTGCTACCATCGTCTTTGTCTTCTAGTATTTTTTTCTAGTTCGAGCCGAATGTAAATATAAGCTACAGCAGCTATTTGAAGAGACATGATTAGCATCTATATTACTCAGCCACTGACAACAACTATGAAGTTTATTATTTATTATTTTATGGAAAACACGCGAAAATACTTACATAGAATTTTGGTTGTTGGCGAATAGTTCACGGTTTTGTTACATTAGTGTGTACCCGCCCATATGTTTGCCAACAGTCGTGATCTTTTCAAATCTTGAATTTGAATGTTGCATAGGCGCCGCTGTTTTTGTGATAATGCGTAATAAAGAAAAAAAAAAAAAAATAATAAAATAAAAACATATAAAGATGGTGGGAAAGTCAATTTTTTTTCAGCGAAGAAAGATTTAGTGGTGAGAATTTCATTTTAGATTTACATGACTGATTAATTAGTAATTTTACCAAAATGTCAAATAATGATTTTGAATTTTGAATTAATTTAATTGGCCCACAAGTCACAAAACAAAACACAAATTTTCGTGAAAGTATTTCTGTTTCAGTGCGTTTAGCAATAACGATTTTTATTTACTGATGATTCATATCATTCTTTAAAGTATACGTATTCCTTAATATATTACTTAACTAAATTTTATAATTATTTATGTAGAGATACATCGGTATACAAGTACAAACAAGATTTCAAGTGTAGTGAGCGAACATTTTTGTTTGGATTATTGAAAAAAACGGGAGTGATATTGATGTTAGAACATCTCTCATCGATCGTGTTTTATGGTATTTCACCAAATTGCAAACTTACTTGCAGTATAGTTTGTCCTACACGAGTATTATTAATCTATAAAATTTTAAAACACTGGTCAAAAAATTAGTTTGAAAACTTTTCTATATCAAACATACGTTTGAAAAATATTCGTCGAACGTCGATTTTTATTTACTGATGAATCGATATCCGATTTTTCCATCAGTCATCAGTATGGTTTTCCCATACTGAAAGTACATCAGCACTTACATTACACGATCAATAATACTTTCAGTATCAAAAATATTGTCAGTTATAATGATCGGGTGAGGGCCGCTTAAGGTGTCCAAATAGTGGGGAGAGCACAGGACCCTCTTAACTGTAAAAAAAAAATTATATTTTTGATGAATATGTTTTGACCACATGTTTTGTTTTTATTTTGGATTAAATATAAATTTTATTACTATTGTTATTATTACCACTACTATGTTTTACACTAATTTAGAGGATAAAAGAAAAATAAATATCTATTTATAGTTAATTTAAACAGTATTGTAAAAAATCATAGAAATACTGCAATAATTTGGAAATAAAATAAACCCAGATAATATAAAAATGACAAGATTTTCGCATAAACTGAACCCTGGTTACTGGATAATCACGAACTACAGTAAAATAAAGTAGAATTGAATCTCAGATTAAATTGTTGATTTTTATTTCTTTTTTTTTTTTAAATTTTGGTTCTAAAAAATAATCAGTGTCACCATTGAATCAATTCGTTTCTTCAACATTGAATGAACTCAACTGATTTATCTAATTGAATCGAATCATTCATGAATGACTCACCCCTACTTGTCTCTCTCATTTATCATCTTGCGGTCACATGCATTACACAACTTAATGTATTCCAAATGATTTTAATTTTTTAATTTTTTTCCTTGGTAGTACCTGGTGGATTTTAAGTTCCGCGTTTTAGTTTTCACTTCAGCAACATTTAAACTAGAAATTTAACCATAATTTTTTGAAAAGATACCCCCCAGATATAATATCTGTTTTTGTATGATACATCTTTAGTATCCCACAGACTTTCATAAATACCGGGATTTCTACTGATTCACCTTTTTTTTTTCTTATTTTTTTTTTTACTATTTGAAATTTTCTCACTTTTTTCATTATTTTTTAGAATTATCTAGAAAATAATTATAAAGGCCGTGCCACACTACATTGGCTTTAACGCGTGGAAAAAACGCGTGAGCACTGCGCGTCGGAAATGTTAGATGAGTCGTATACATATTTTACATCGATGAAAATGCAAAACTGTAGCATATATACAGCTGTGAACTCTGTTAAATCTGTCCTAGTCTGTCACGTTTCATTACGTGTGTGCGTATTTCGTCCCACGAATGAGATTTGGATTCACGAACTTCAAAAATTGAATACTGGATAGTTTTTTACTGGAACATAAAAATACTGAATACTGGCGAGGCATTTGAATTTTATTATTAAAACACGAATGTAAAAACTGTTAGTAAATACGATTACTGAAATAAACAAGTAGATAAACTAGAGCTCTTAATACACGTGAATTCACGGAATTCACGTGTTACATGTAAAATCCAAAATAAAAACGTATAACATTAAATTAATACTATACTAATATTTTATTAAAACTTCGAGTACATAACATAAAATAACTAATTTTATCATTATAAAAATGGATATATATTTTGGATAAACATGTATATCACGTAACACGTGTTTTAAGAGCTACTATACTATAATACTAATAGTAAGTAAATACTCTACTATTTACTAATGGAATGATTATAAATACATGAGAAAATGTAATTTACTTTTTTGTGCCAATTTATTTATAAAAAATAATATAGAAGAGCTGTAATGCTAGATAGCGCTAGATGTCCTACGTCTACATATTTAAAACATTTTATGTCCGGCCTTTTATCACCCTCCTGCCTAATCCTTACCGGTCCTGTATATATCTTGACACTTTCAGACCCAGTGTCCTCTAAGAGACACAACAATATTTAATTTAATACTATTGCTGTGATAGTGAATTGTCTTCAATTTTATATTGAATTTGTAGGAAATGTACCTTAGAATCTAAAAATAGTTTTATAAATAATGTGGGATTCGAATTTCTAGAATTATAGATATAGTTATATCATTATTTCGTTGTTATTATTTCCATGGAATTGGTATATATATATGAATGTCTATAGATTATTAACCGATGGCGATAATTGCTTAGTTTTTTTCTTCGACAACTATCATACGAGTGTTTTGAACTAATTTTCACTCTATTATTTTGACACAATTAATTTTATTGAATGTATTCCATAATTAATTTTGCCTAGTCGAGCACTGTTAACATATATTATAATTTTTTTTCGTTTGGTTTTGTGACATTTAGAGGAGACATTGCTCCCATGCCCCTCTTGTATCCTCGCCTGAATATAAAATATATTTGGCTATTTGGATTCACATTACATTACTTTGCTGTCATGACTCGAGCACTCATAGTGTATGTATTTTAAAATTATTTGAAATAATTTATTTCATCTTATTGATTATTTTTATTCATAAATGAAAGGACAAGTTGCATTCGTCGTTGAAAGTGCAGTTATTTTCAAACTATTTTTACTCGTCTTCCAAAAGGACGAACCTTAAATTCATAATTGAATGAACAAAAACTGTGATGGGTAGTGTGTGTGCAAGCCTTGATGTGCTATTTGATTTAAAAAGCGTTAACTCTAACTTCTAGTAACTTCCAACAAATCTTATTAAATGTGGTGACAACACTGAACAAATTATATCATATATTAAATATTTAGATCAACTTCAGTTTAAAACTAATGTTAGAGACCATTTTATTGCTGTAGCAACTCATTTACTTAAAAAGTATTATCACATCAAGTGCAAACTACAATTTTAAATACTTAAAGCCAGAAGAGTGTAAAAAAGTATTTTTAGCATATTAAAAGTTACTTGATATTACCTTTCTAAATATCTAAAACTTCATTATCTGTCAAATGGTTGCTACTTCAATTTAATCCAAATTTTAATAACATCCTCAAACAATTCTTCGCATATTGTTAATGGAAAAACATTTAACTTACAATACGATGTTAAATATTCGCTTATAACTAAAGTCGTTAAGGCTATCCTTTCTCTTTCTCATGGAAGTGTATAATTAGAAGGGAGGGTTTTCTATATCTGGACAAATTATTACTTCTGATTGAAAGTTATAAAGCTGATATACGTATATTTCATATTGTTTAAAATGTAGCAGAAACTTAAGTTGTTTCTGCTCTTTATTTATCTGCCATTATAAACTTAAGTATTGAATATATATTACAATATATAAAATATTTAACGAATATAATAAACAAGTTAAACCGGTGATGAAAAACATTTTTCATTATCATTTTTGTTTTAATTACTACCAAGCACTATGCCGAGTTTTATATGATGCTTAGTACTAATAATTAGTACTCGTCACTCGCAGTGAGCACTCGTACTTGCACTTGCGTTGAGTGTTCACATGACACTCACACTAAGCTTTTAATGTTTACATATAAGATGTATAGTATTAGTAGATCGTAATACTACTTAGCATTAATACTATCATTAGGTGTTCACACGTTGCTAGTGTGTAAAGTCGTGGAGGGGATAGGATATGACTATTTGTTATTAGGAATTATAAAGGGTTTCTAATCACTCCTACTCCCGGTTTTAATAACGCTAAGAACTATTTTTACTGTTTACATGCAATGCAAGAGTGACAAGTACTACGTCGTGTAAAACATTACATTACATTTGATATTTTTCTTAGTATTTTCAACATATTTATAAGTACTTAAATCTTTTTTTCATACATTCCAATTTATATAAATAATATAATATACAATTTATGAATCGAAATCACTAAAGAATATTTAAGGAAAATGACACACTCAAGGGGCAATTATTAAGGTTTACAATTTTTTACGTTTATAACTGATCAGTGGGTCTCATAATCAGTTAAACATAAATAGTTTTCATTCAATAAATGATAAACATTATCAAACAATATTCTTTTGATACAAAATTATTTTACTTATTAAAATTTAAAATAATACACTCTTGTTATTGAGGAGAAACTTGGCAAGGGCGTATCGTGAGATTGGTGGAGCACCGCCGGAATTTGTTGACTGATTTCTGTTATATCCGTTTCTGAATTTTGAATATACTCGAGACGCGTCGTGTGATATCCAGTGTGTAATAAATTATAAATCATTAACTTTAATTAGGTATTAATTAAATACATAAAAATTTAAGGAATATTTAAATAATATACATATGTTGATAGCAAATCAGTAAGCATCTATTATTGGGATGCGAAACTTAAAATACCTAAAGGCCAATAAAGGTCAGAGTAAAGAAAGAAGGGTTGTTTCGATTTAAAATTAGTATTTATTTTATATAATTTGATATACAACTTGTTAAATGTGACTTAACCAATTTAAATTTCTGAAGTGGAATTACATAATAGGTGACTTAATGTTTCATCTATAAAGTGATTTCTTTCCACCGATTTGATATGCTTCATATTGGAAAATTTACATTCACGAATGTAAGTCGTTCCAAATAATTAATTAATCCCGTTCCATGGATAATATTTTTAGTGCAAAATCTCGTAAAAATGCATACATTTCAACGGCTGCGTTTTCCTAATCAACACTTCAATCACTTTTATAGTTGTGAAAAGTATGTGTTTGCAATACGCATACATTTATTTGAAATGAAACATCTTGCTTTTTAATTGCAACTGTCATAGGATTATTAAATATTTATTTATAATTTTTTAATTACCTCTCTGAGACTTTTTCATTAAAATAATCGATGGTATTTTACAATACATTTCAAAAGTGCACATAAATATTAATGATAAATATAATCTAATATTTTATACTAGATCATGGTTTTTTGCGTTTGAGATATATTATGTATTGAAATGTATTGAGTAGGTAGTTGAATTGTTGCTGAATTGGTGTTGATCTAGATTTATCATTTGTTTGTGGGTGGACTTAGTAATCTCATCTTGGATGAATATCATTATCAAATCTCAATGGATAATGTCGTTTTTGTCCTACCGGTATGTTGCGTCAATGATATGTAGAGCAATGTTTTGGCAGCATTGAATAATTTCAATATTGAACTTACCGACATAACCCTCCCCACAGTTGAGTTTCATAGGTCCTACTGGTGGATTACAGTAGAAACTCGATTAACCACTATTTTCTGTTATTCATCATCGCTATCGTTAATGAGGCAATTGCAAGAAACTCGTTGCGACAATTATCAAGCGTACACAATTTTTCTAATATTCATCATATACGAAAAACGCGACATGAACGAACAAAATTATTTTTTATTTAATTTAATCGGTGACTGACTAGTAACTTGGTCTTACGGCTACATAAAATACCAAATATTGTAGCTAAAAAGGCTCGAGCGTCAAAAAAACAAAAGGCAATAACTAAATATTTTGTTTAAAATGTTTCGTTTAGTAGTGTTTAGTATGACATGTAGTATGTAATATATATGTGTATTATTTTTTCAGAAAATGCACATAAAATATAAACGTTTATTGCAAAATGTCTGTTAACTGCCTTTGTCCTGGTTCCGACTGTGACTGTTAATCGAGTTTCTACTGTATTTAATAAATTTATTCGAGAGTGCAAATTGCAAATAATCAATTTCTCCTAATTGTTTTTCAAAATATATAATATACCTACTTAATGAGATACGTGTTTAATATTGGTCATGATGATGAGCATCGAATGATGGCCAAAATAAAAAAAATATAACAATTTGACTTAAGAAGTTGTACTTCTATTCTTAAAATTATGTAGACAATTCTAATTGTCTTACTCTATTTTGATTTTTTTAAATTGATATTTTGATACTTCAAAAATTACTCATTAGTCAACATGCATGGATAATGTTAACATTCGCCAAATGTTAGCATCACTCGTAACATATATACATTCTGACATTGTAACCTGAGTTGAAGAAAAAACAAATCAAAATTATGAGTAAAAAAAAAAAGCATGAACAATTAATTTTTTGTAATTAAAAAATAATATTTTATTTTGAATGATTTAGTAGTGGGTAAAAAATAAATCTGAATGGTTAAATTTTTTATTAAATTCATTGCTCTATATAAATAAATTAAATTAATTGTGAATAACATTTAAAGAAAATATAATCATACAGAAAGAGTAAATAACATGTTGATATCGAGTGCTAAATCAGTTATATTAGCTCTTCATCTATAACAAAATAATTTATAACATTTTGAATAATATTTTATAGATAAAAAAATAAATCAATTTCAATTTTCAATAAAATTGAAATTTCAAGTTATCATTTGAGATTAACACCACAATTATGTGAAATAATTTAATAATATAAAACCAAATAATGGATAAGATATCTAGTATTCTAGATAACCTGTAGAATAATAAATAATGAATAAAAATAAAAATTCAAGTGTTACATAAAAATAAACTAAAATAATCAAATGAAATATAAATTAATAAAGAATGATATTTTTTCAACCAATAATGAGCTCTGCTAAGTAGTTGTATTTAATATAATCCAAGGATAAATGTCTACACTTATCAGTTTAAAAAATTATAAAATATTTAAAAGTGATTCAATTAAATGATTCAGTAATTTAATAAAAGTTCAATTTAAAATTAGAAATAATATTATTTTGATAATTTCTTTTTTAATTCAGGTTCTTGAAAATATCTAATTCATTTTTGAGAATTGTAAATTATAAGGTTTCTTTAGAAATTTATCAGTAGTATATATTTAAATAATTTAAAAAGTATTAATCTCTATATATTTTTTATTTCCTCATACAGTCAATATTAATAAATTAATATTGTTTTTATATTATTACTGTTCATTATTAATATACAATTAGTATTCTAGGTTAGGCATTATTTTCATATTATTGTTTTATACTTAATATTTGTGAATATTTGTTATTGATAATAATTTGTGTTATTAAATCAACAGGAATAAGTGTTAAAAATGAGGATGATGATCCAGAAATAAATGCTATGGCTCTTAAAATGAAAGAAAGTTATCAAAAGTCTGCTACAGCAACATTGAAACAAGGAGGGACTCCTACAGCTAATGTTTATATCAATAGAGCTGGTAGACAAGTTGCCTTACCAATAGTTGGGGTTTTGCCTCCTAATTCTGCAACAAAAGAAAATTTAGAAAAAATATCAAAAGATTGTGAAGATGCATTAAGTATTAAAGGTCTGTCTAGAACATTTTTTTGTGAAAAGTAATTTTATTTTATTATTTTTATTTTTTTATTTTTATTCACCTTAGGTCGTTTTGGCTGGCAGACTATTGGATCTTATTACATACCATTTATTTTGCGTATAGAAAATGGTGAAGAAAATAAATTTGTATCTGTACGAATGGCTGAAACTCAGTTGCTTAGTAGCTTTCTGCAGTATTTACATGCCGACATTTATACATGTACATCAGTGAAAAGTTACTTTATTTCAGATTCTGAAGCAAAACTATTAAATGACATAAACTTTAAACATAGTGATCAAACATATGGTAAAGATCCATTTCTCTCTGGCAAAGACTATATTGTTCGCCTAGAGGATGTCACGGAGTTCTATAATTTTATAGAAATATGTTATAAAAAATTAATATGTGATATAGCTCCAGGCGATAAAGAAAAATGTGGCTTTATACGTATCAACTCTGAATCGGTTGTGCCATATTGCCTCAAAGATGATCAAAAATATGTTCCACTTTTCTATTTTGAAGGTGAAACTGAAAGCTTAAGACATCGTGCTATTAAATTAGAAAATTGGAATTTAGCCTACCTGAAATTCTGCTGCAAGGTCCAGGGTATCCGGAATGAATTATTTGCTAGCGACTCATGTATTGTTACTAGCCTTGATGACATAAAAAACTATTTTCCTTCAGAAACTAAATTTGAAGAATATTGGCCAGTTAAGGTGGTTGATACACAGCTTTTAACAAATGCAAAGACATCACATGTTAATCCTCCAGGTGCCTGGATTAGAGCACCACCTGCTGTAGTTGTACTCAATAATAATGTACCTACTCCTGAAAATATACCTCGTACTTTGTCAGCCCCTGCACCAGTGGCACCTCCACCAAGTATATCCATCAGTAATAACACTTATCAAAACAGATGGTCTCCTAACCAAATGGTATGTATTAAATATTAAATAGAATTCTTGTGCTTTTAATTTTGGTTTTGCTATATTTCGCATAAAATATTGATGCTTATTTTTAATGATACCCAATGCATTTTTTGCTATTTAACTCTAATTGTCTTAAATGTTAACATCTAATAATATTTTCTTTTAAAGTAGTCAATTGTTAACTTCAATATTAAACTTTAAACTAGTAAATCTTAAGGGTCTTCAACTTTATTTTTTGAATATATCTTCCAATTTTCTTAATATATCAATATTTAAAAAATAAAAAATATAGAAAGTGTTGAATTCGCCCTAGTAATTCTACTTATTAATTTATATTTAACAATTTATATAGAAAAAATGGAGAAAATGGCTTAAGGATTTTTTAATCAGTTAAATTTTTTGCTTGTTCTTAATATTACTCATAGTAATAAGTAGAGCCCGGATTTATATGCATTATGTTACACTTTATGAAATGTGTTTTTTTTTTTAAACCACAATTTTATACCAATTAAAATTCTAAATTTTTTATGAAAATAAAAAAAAAAAATGATAATATCCACTGCTTTATATTTTAAATCATTTAAATCAATCAAAAACTTTAAGGGAACTTAAAAACGAGAGCACAAAAAAAAAAAAGAACCGGATGAGCCTCGCTCTGCTGTACTGTAGAGGGTGGAGTGCTCCTCGTTTATAGGATAGGTCATTACAATGGATTTGTTATATTTGAATGAAATGATAGGTATCATTGTATACGATTAACGATTCTGAACGGAGATGATTTTTAAGATATATATAGAAAAAATATAAATATATATTATTATTATATTATAATAATCTTATAGAAAACAGTCTTCCAAAAATTCTCTATTTGGATATAATTACTATATTTAATTAACAAAAATAAGTCAAAACTGCTCTTATTATTTTATTTGGAAAATCGAATATTTCAAATGCCTGTAAGTTGCTTAAAAATCAGTATAATATTTTGAAAAAAATACGCTTAAAGAAAATGCCAAACTTAAAATCGTTTGAGTATAAATCGTTATTTTATGCAATTCCGTGAATATTTAAATTTCAAACGGTCATAAAAATTTTTCCTTCACGTTCAGTAGAAATTTTTTTTAAATTATTAGAATAATAACTTATGGATAACCTTGTGTTAAAATTTTACACCTTAAGTATAAATAGAAAAAGTTTTATGAATTTTTAACTACAAAATAACATGAAAATTGTTGCTATTTTGACTTATTTCATACAAATTTGGATTATATTGGCTTATAAATAAAATGTGTGTGGAACGATTTCCAATTTTTTTTAGTTTCGATAAGTATAATTTATAATAAACCTGGTATTAAGTTTTTAAGAGTTTTCTTACAGCCAAATTTTTTTTATCGGTATTTCAAATAAAAAACTTACAAAAGTCGAAAATTTAAATAGTCTATAAATAAGGCAAAACACTTTGAAAACTTAACCATGTATAAAATACGCTAATATAAATATTTAGTAAAAACTTCAAGTGTTTGTGTTTTTTAGTTTTCGAGTTGGAGCATTTTAAAAAAATGTAGTTTTTGCCAAAACGTGGTAAAAATTCCCGTTTTTTCGTAAATTTTTTTTTTTAAGTTTTTAAAAAGTATTGATGAAAAAGTTTGATTTTTGACTTGCCAAAATACCATCTTTCGCGTTGCGTCAAATGCGGCGAGGCTCATGAGTCAGATAGCTGCACCAAGGATCACTTCAGTCCAGCTAAATGCGTCCACTGCTCCGAAAATCATACGGCCAGCTTCAAGGGGTGCCAGTTCTATCAAAGTATTTTAAATCGCCATAAAATCAAATTTTCCAACTCCAAAAAAAATATCACACACACAAAAAACTTATTCTTCAAGTCCCTCCCCAGTGATCCCTCTCAATCCATCCCGTCATATGCTGCTGCTACTTTTGGTTCAAAACCGAAACATTAATTCGCAAAACTCAAATTTAAATTTAGCTCTTTCAAAATTCCTATCTGATTTAACATCCATAATAAATTCTTTTCTTTCTTTCCGCTTTATTAATAATTAATTAATTAGGGCATTTACTTTTAATATTACGTTGTTATTAAATACCTACATTAATATTCCGTTCTATTTACTTCTTATCTGATATTATATTTATATTTATTATTAAATTATTATGCTCATTATGTTTAATTATCAATTCAGCTATTGTATCACGTTATCTATCAATATTTTAATTGTCGAACTATAATAGTTTATACTAGAAGTTCTTAATTAATAAAAAAAAAAAAAATACCATCTTCATTCACTTTCCTTTCAGAAAAGTTACTGTTAAAAAAATTGAACCATTTTTACTGCCCCAAAACGTGATGACAGACACAAAAAAAAAATTAATAAAAAAAAACACATCATTGTAAAACCAATAGATTACATCACTCCATTCAAAATCTAAAATATTTTAGATCATTTGAAGTTACCTATTCTCAAAAAATTAATAGAAAATTTAAAAAAAAAAATACATATCCTATAAAATAATATTTTTGAAACTTAATACCTATCATGTCTATTTTTGCTCTATTCGAGTTGATTACAAAATTTACTGTAAATTAAATTAGTTAATTTATTAAAAACCCATTAAATATGCATATTACATGCATTTATGAACAAATATGCAGTAACCCTCAAAATATGCAAAATATGAAATATAAAACTTGATGTTTAAATTCGGTGTGATATGAATCGTAAACATTTTAAACCTCCCTAGACGTGCATGCACTTAGTAAAAACATGCAAATGCATTTAAATCCGGGCTCTAGTAATAAGTATATGATAATTTTAAAATTAAAAAAATAATCTTTGGTATAGGTCTATAAAGCATGTCTTCAATCGGTTTTATTAAAAAAAAAAAAAAAAACATTAAGCTTCGCATTCAACAAATAATGTTTTTATAGGTTAATTCGTTTATCATTCAGGCGGCCCAGCCGTCTCCAATACGAGGTTACCCCTCGGTATCCAGATATCAAAATGTAGCTGCTCCATATTATAATGCGGTACTTTTTTTTGCTTTCTTAGAAAAATGTTTACTTAATAGTTGGCACATGTAGTTCATATTATTATTTATTACTCACTATAGAAATGCTCGCAACGTATTCTCAATTAATTTTATAGTATGTTGTATACTTTTCATATATTTTTTTTTAAATAACATGCATAAGCAAAACATTTTATTGCTTTAAATGGTGTTATTCTAAATATTTAAAAAAAGCATATATTATTAATTTTATAATTATAGTTACATTGCATGTGACAATATTCTTCTTTTCACATAATACAATGATAAATTAACTTAATTTATTATATTATAAATATATTATAAAATTTATTTCTTTAAATTTGCATTTTAATAATGGCAGCAATATAGTTCATTATTTAAATTGATTTTATAGTATTTGTTATACTAAAATACAATATTTTACTTTATAGTTATATCTAGTAGACTTTTGTAAATTAGTTATTTAGGTAATTTAATGTAGATTTTCTGGAAAGAAATTGTTGCCAATATTAATTGAACCTAAATTTCATTTTGGAATATAGACTCAGAAAAAAGAATGTACATTTTAAATTATATTTATTCATTACTTTTATAATTGGACTAAAGTTCTTGACTTAATATTAATTTGACATTTTTTTGTTTGTTTGATGATTAATTAAATTACTGCTTTTATATTGTTTACATTTTAAAATGTTAAATTACTTTATTTAGTGCATTATTAATTTTTGTTTGATACTTTTCATAAAAGTTTATTGAATTTAGTAGTTAATATTTTTAAGGGTACATGGTTTGATCAAACTTTGATAAGGTATTAAATTTAGTTTTGATTTGACTAAATATTTTGCTAATGAATAGCATGCGTGTTTGTTATTGTTATACGTTGTGAGCTATAAATTTATTTTTAAAACAATTCAGTAGTGTTAATATTTATTTACATTTGTTTTCAGAGTTCATCAGTCATGCAACCAAGTAACAGTCCAATGAACCACGTTCCTCCACCACCTTTGGTCCGAACAACACCACCAGTTGGTGGTAGGTAAGTGTTATTAAATGTATGATTTCTCATTTATATAAAAAATAATTATTTTCATTAATGTTAGTAATCCTATGACTTATTCCAATGTTGCTCCAATGAATCAATCAATGCCAACTTTATTCAATCCAATGACCAACAATAATGTAATATCGCACCCTAATCATCAATTAAGACAGTTTTATCCTGGGCAACGTTCCAACGGTATTGGTCAACCACAACAACAGCAACAGCAGCAGCATCAACAACAACAACAGCATCATCAACAACAACAACAACAACAACAAATAATTACTGCTCCTCTATCTCAGCAGACGTATGGTGGTCAATTATTACCACCAAATGGATCAAATGCTCGTATAACCAACACTCAACAACGAAATGCTTTAAGAAACGTGACACCTAATAATATTCAACCGTCCGAAATCATTGATTTATCATCTCCTCCATCCAGTCCTGTCCCACCACCACCTCCACCGCCACCACCACCACCACCTTCATCCCAAGAGACAACTCGAAGTCCGGGATGGATCCTAAAGAGAATACCTGAACGTGTATGGACACACGACTCTACCAATAATACTGCCTACAAGGTTGGTAATAAATAATTTTTAGTTTTTAGTTTCAATAAGAAATTTATATATAGTAGAAATGTCTTTTGGGTGAACATTTTTGACAAATAAAATATTTGTTCTTTTAAATTTATTGAAGAGTATGTATAGTTTATCTAATAAAGATAACATGTATCCTTTCAAGAAGTGATATCATTATTTTTAAGAGATTCAGTCTCGAAATTCGCTAATACCATGTCTTCAAAATCTGCCCAACTAACCAGTCACTACTAGATTCGGCAATGTCTCAACATACCGCAATATCCATAGCTTTTTCTATGACAACACCTCCATTTATTGGATAACTAAAACTGCGTGTTTGTTGAGATCACTAAATTAAAACATTTTCCAACTCTTCATACTTTTCATGTATCATATTTTGTCGTTTGCTCCCACCTGATAATCCGCTTTATTTTATATCATGTACATTTTTCAACAAAATTTTTAAAGTGGAGGAAGTATCCACAGTTCATTAACGATATCCTTTTGTATTTTTTTCGGTCAATCCTATTTTTCAAGATGTTCAGTTTGTTCGAAATAACGAAAACTACACAAAATGATATTGTACTTTTGTTAATGAACTTTAGTACATTAAACATCATGAACAGTGGCGTATTTTTAAATTTGTTGTGGTGAAGAGAGGAGATAAAGAATTTATTAAAAAATAAGTGATTTTATAATATAAAAAGTACAAATAAAGAGTTATTTACAACAGATGATATAAATTAATGATCTTTATCTATACTTCCATAGCAAGGCTTTATGACTTGAACATTTTTTATTTCTTATGGGGGGGGGGGAGTCAATTAAATAACTTGGAGGATTAGTTAAAAATAAGTCCTTTGAAAATCGGTGCTGTTCATAAACTAAGAAATATCTTATCGAGCATTATTACTTCAAAAGTTAAAGCTAGGTTAGCCTTTTTTACCATCCCCTAAAGTTAGCCACTGATAATTTATATTTTTACTTGAAAGACATGAGTATGGATGCAAAAAAGAAATCATTAATAATGTAAAAGTTCAGGTGTGATTCGTTAGGATGCTACTGTAAACGCGTGATTCGTGTGGCTGAAATTTTGGCCTCACGGTTATGGTTTTGCCATATTCATTTAGAATAATTTCCCTACACCGCCTCAGGCATGCGCGATTGTTGACCAAAATGCAGCAAAATCCTTTAATTTTTCTAGTGAGAAACAATTTGTGGGTTTTCTTTGTGTTTAATTGCATGTTAGATTATTGTTTCTTCTAAAAGAAGTAGTTTGATGGGTATTCTGGTTTTCTGACTTCGTAACATGCCTGATTTTATAATAAAAAAATATTTCACTAGTAGTATATATTTAAAAACACTATTAACTTGTTAACAGATTAAACTTGCTCGAACGAATGGTGGACTATTTAGTAGTCGCATGTCTCCTGTGTCGAAATTTGTATTGTAGGGAAATCGTCATTGAGCCGTATTGCTCGTACGCAAGGACGTATTTGAGTTGAGGCCATGAAGGAGGGGGGGGCGAAACTAATTTTTCTTCATTACAAACTTAAAAATAATTTACAGTTCATGTTTCTGTTATAATGATAGACTAGTAATTTATATTCTTAACTATTTATACATTACATTTTTTAAGTAAATCAATGTGTTATATTCAACAAAAATACAAGCCAAGGGGAGGAAGGCGAATGCCCCTCCCTTCTCAAATACGTCCTTGCTCACGCGGCCGATTTTCGGTCGTATTGTGTCAGCTATATGAGTCTCGCGTCTACAGTCGCATCTTAAGGAATCACATCTTTATAAAAATATACTGTTATATTATTTGTTCTACACATTTCGTTCGGTCAATTATACCATATTGATAAAATGTTGAGCATTGATAAGAATTCAAAAGCTTATATATACACTAATACATGTATTTTTTTTTTAAATTTAGTTGCAAAAAGCGATGTTACTTTCAAAACCCATCACTACCTTAAATTCCAAAGCGTATTTGTATTCAGAACAAATGGTTACCTTAGAGGAACTTGTTCAGACAGTGATGCCTTCGTGCAGCATCAGCAGATGCGCTTTGGTTTTACAAAAATATTTAAATATTCCACTGTACAGTGCAAATTCGTAAGTATAGTAGTTATAGATATTTTCCTCCACGTGCAGTGGAATTTGGACTGATATTTATTAGGTTTTCAATCGTTTTCCGTAGTGAGCAGATGGCGTTATTGCGAGATAACGGGCGTCTTAGATCGATGAACCCGGACGACACACCATTGGTCATATTAGATGATATTGCGCCCGTGTTGCAGCAGTTTAAAAACTTTGTTACTAAACAAGACGAACAATTACAGTTGTACCAATCAATGGGTATGCCGGCCAAGAGACAGCGCATGAGCTAGGAATGGGCCGGGCACGGCGGAAGCCGACCCGACTGGCCAAAACCAGTGGCAACGGGCGGCATTTCTACACATCTGGTCGGTGTTAGTACTTCGACGTGGTATCCGGCAGCTGACAGTAACGATTGGCTGAATGCCGCAGCCGGTCCATTGCAGTCGCCGCAACAGCTGTTGTACCACAACACCTACCAAAATCGAAGCAATTGGCCTCCGCCGCCGCCTCCACCGCCACCGTACATATAGAAAAAAAAGTGGTCATCTTTTTTCGATATTCTCGTGCACACTTATTGCATTGCGTTGAGATATGTTATTGTATTTATTTTCTCCTGTTATCGTTAAATACTTTGACAACACAATGTTTTGTTTTATTTATTTTTTTGACCATTGAACTATATAGCAACAGCACATGATAAATTATATATGACTATTTGATGTTCGTTTTATTTGACGATCTTAGTCAATGGGATTCTAATACAGAATTAAAAAAAATATAATTTGGTGGTTTGTTCCTATACATAGTAAGTTTGTATATACATATATATATATATATAAACATATATATATTATCTGTTTACATAAATTGGATTATAGATCTATAATTATTTATAGATATGAATATTATATATTTATAAAAATGCAATGTAATAATTTTCATTTATATAAATATATAAATGTGATAACTTAAAATATTATCTGATCGTCTAATTTGTCTTGGCATATAAAATTATGTAAAGTAACAATTTAATCTTAGTAAAAATGTATTGTATAAATTATGTATAGTATATTATTTTTAATAATTATTTATAACTTTTATATTAAACAATAATGAAATTGGAGTTTGTAATCTAATTTTAGTTGATTTGACTTCCTATTAATTATAACTTATTACCTTTTAACTCTTTTAATTTAAAAATATTAAAATAATCATGATTTATATTAACTAGTTAACTTTCAAGAACAATCAAACAGGTAAAACAATTTACTTTTGTTAACAACAATTAAAGATATAAAGGTTTGCCTATTGGACTATGAGATTATTGCCTTTAAATTTGTTCTCATGATTAGTTATTTGCATAGACCTTGTACTAATAAACGGAGCATCACTGTTTGGCGGGGTGGGTGGTGCGATCCACGACTATTCTCATATCAGTGTTGTCATTATTTCTGACGACTAAAAAGTTTATTTTCATATTTATAAAGTATATTATTAGAACATTTAAAAATAAATTTGCCTATTAAATAATCCCGTAAACTTAGTTCTCAAAAAAATAACTAATAAAAATGATTGTTTCTATCTAATTATAAATGTATGATATGATTATTATTTGTAAATGCATTCTTATCATACAATAATTTTTAAAACTCAAACGATTGTCGAACCTGAAATTCTATTGCGCATGTGTGTAGTAATTTAGTAATTGAGTAATAGTAGAACAGCACCCTCACGTCTGACCGCTGGAACTATGCCTATGTTTCGTCTATTAATTTAAGGTTATGTTATTTGTCAAAGATTACTGTGGACTTCAAGAAAATTAAAATAATATTTCAATAAATAGGTGTATTTTGTACATTTCTTAAAATGAAAATATTTTTAATATTACATTTCCATGGACAGGACATTATTTAGTTACAGATTATATAGTATACTTCCTATACGATTATGTATTTTTATAGTAGAAAACATTTAAAAATTTCAATAATGAATAAAGATAGGGAAGTATTTAGAATAATATTTTCTGAAGTAACTAATTTTTGTTAACAACATATATATGTTAACCATAGTTATAAATTATGTAACATTTAATAATTATGTAATACTTGATTATAAATATTAATTTAGGTGGGTAAATAGCAAAGCTTACCACTGATTAACCAGAACTTACAACTTCTCAATTGTTGACAAATTTATTTTGAACTCCATTAATTTGCACATGCTTTGAAAATTATTTAATTAATTAATTATAGCTTAATATGTACAATAATTTAATTCCAAATATGTGGCCATACTAAATTAAGGTTAGAGATGCCGTTCGAAAAAAATAGTGAAGCGGAAAAGGTATGATTGCCAGTGTTGCCTATCTAGTGGAACAAATTTATGTAACCACAAAATGCACGATAAAATGAGTTTTTAAATTTATTGTTAATATAGATTTAAATATATTAATTTTTAGATCTGGAGTAAAATAAGCTGAAAGGTAATTAAATGAGAGTGTTAAAAGACGTAGGAGGAAAAAAGGATATATTGAGGAGGAAAGCAAAATTAACTAGAGAATGCCCATACTTCTAAGATTTTGGTGACTTAACCAACAGTTATAGTTGTACGGTATGATTTCATCCATTTTGATCAAGACTTAATTGCTTCTTACCTAAAATATTGTAACTACTATTGACTTAAATACAAAAATGTATAATTATATATTTTTTATTCTTATAGTTTATTACTTAATGGTTAATTCTTATAAATGTATTTAATAAAATAAAATTTATTTTTTAAACATAAATTTCGGTATGTATACACGACGGTTGAGTCGGTGACGGGTATGTTGACATAAGTGATGTTAAAATGTAGCAGTCGCTGCTATTTTTCACAGTGATCCAATGAGTATCAGTAGCAGTGACTGCTACTCATACATAATATAACAGTGATTTTATCACACTTTGATGACATCACAAATCTGTTAAGTTGTCTAACTGTGAAAAATATTTAACAATGTGATTTATGAAGTAGTGATATGCGACTATTGCTACTTGCTATTATAGTACTATACACTTGTGTGCATTATAGTCACAGTGTAGATGAATTGATGTTAAGTCTGTAGATACTAAAAATAATGGGAGATGTTTGAGTTTACTAATAATAAATAATTATAACATGGATTGAAATATAATGTAATATTTTTATTAATAGATAATATATTTTAGATAAAATACCATTTATTAGTATTGTAATATTTGTTAGTTTATTATATTAGTCATTATTCATAGGTAATGAATAATGATTAATATTATGTCACATTTACATTAGATAAATATTATCTGATATCACGACTAAATAGTAAAATAGCATAGACCTTATACTAAGTATAAGGTCTATGTAAAATAGAGTAATATTCTAACTCTATGGATTACTGTGATATTTTGATAGTGTAAAGTAAAAATGTGATTCGCCATAGGTATGCGCATAATAGAAAGTAGCAGTTAGAGTAGCAGTCACTGTTATTTTCACTGTGATTTTTTTATCACAGTAGCAATATCACAATGTGATAAGTATTTATCACAGTTTAACCATAGAATAGATTAAAGCAGAATGGAAACTCTTGGCAGCCCAAATTTTTGTCCGACATTTTGAAAGGGCTCGACAGGTTGACCAGATAGAATGAAAAAATGTTTATATTATATCTGTATTATTTAGATACATTGTCAATTATATATTATCAAGATTTTTAACAATGAACCATAAAATTCAATGTTTTGTTTTATAAACCAATTAAAAAATGTAATGGCCTTAGGTTTGTTGGTCGACTAAAGACGTATTTTGTTTACTGATTTTTTTATGGTTGTTCCCACGTGGTTTTATACTAATTTTTACGATTTTTGTGAAAACTTGTTGTATTTTTTATTTTTCATTGTGAATATATTTTGTTTTAACTTGATTCTTGTTGTATAAACATTATAAACAATGTGTAATATGTCGAACAATATGAATCACAGAATTTAATCTATTCTGTATATGTATGTATATTTACATTATTCAAGAAAAAGCTAACTTGTTATCAGAAAAAATATTATACACCACTGTCTTTATTGTATTTAAAATATTTCATATTAAATTTTAGGTCTATACTAATGAGCCCTTTCAATATGGCGGCCATAAGAGCTCGTGTAATTTCTTATCAGTTTCCATTCTGATTTAATCTATTCTGTCGTTTAACATCACTAGTTGACATCGAGTCACGAGCACAGATATATATATATATGTATCTGTTTTATATATCTGGTCACGAGGTAAAAATATGAGATAACAGTATTACAGGTGAATCGTTTTACCATATATTGTACAATAATTTTTTTTGTACTATCTGGCAAAAATACACCTTATGATCTTCACTTTCTTGGGTAGCTGAGATATGTAATGCCCTCTCTATAATACTCTATGGATTGTTCCGTGTCGTCGGTAAATTTTGAAGTACACTCCCTGATTATTATTATAAATTTGGTTTGGTGGATCCCCGGGAGCAATTTCAGACGTCAGTTTTCATTTGATAGGTAAACTATTCAGCTTAGGGCATTTAGGCACATGTTATATTAAATTTATTAAACCAGATTACACACTTCGGTGTAAACCACATATATATATATATAAATCTGTGGTGAAAATAAAAAATGGTTAATAAGATCACCGCCGAGGTTTCCATCGAAATCAATGTGACCGTTTCAGCGAATTTAAAATATTTGAATTGTAGTACCGTATACTGGTGGCACACTTGATCATTTTAAAAATTTCCATGGCACACTTAAATAAATAATAATGAATATACATAATGTCATAATTATATATAATATAAATTCAATTTGACATTTGAGACTGGTGTTTTTTACATAATTCCTCTTTTAGGGGTGAAACATTTGAAACGATACAAACTGTTAAAGGATAATCAATATCACCAAACCACGTAAATCCAAAACATAAATAATTATCAACATATTTACGTTTAACTTTTAAATTTAAACTTTTATCATTTATTAAAGCTGATTGTTTAATATTAATTTCAATATTTAAAGTGTTTCATTTGCACTAACATCACTGCCATCCGTTAATTTACTCTTTTTAAAATTATCCATTTTTAAATTTAACTTACTATATTTCTTAATCGAAATACCTATAATGCGTAACAATTACACGCGCTCAATTTTCATTATAATGAGCATAGGCTATGTTTTCATATAGTCATTATAGTATGTGGTAAAAGTTAACGCAACTGTTAAGCCGCGTACACATTAGAGTACGCATAGACCGAGCATGTGTGCTCACGTTGTGTGTTGTGTGTGCTCAGCATGGACGTCACCACGCACAACAAGCTTGTATGCGATAAATCTGCGCTCCGGTTATTCAGTTGTGTGATGAACGTATACAGTATATGTTGTGTTTCGTATATTGTGTTTGCAATTTAATTATCTTCGTATCTTTGGGCACAAGAAACCTAAGAAAATCCAAGGTCGGTTTTTAAAGAATTTAACTTAGAAATTTCAATTTTTTTTTGTTTTTCTTAAAATTGTACTTAAAAAAAACATCAAAATTTCTAAGTTTATATAATTATTTTTAGAACTACCAATGGGCCAGAGAGCTTTCATAGGACGTATAACGGTCAGTTTTATAACCCCCATCCTCCAATACACGCAGTGATTTCAGTTTTAAAACAAACACAGGCACAAACTTTGACAATAATAAATTATATTAAAAACAATGTTCATAATCCTATGGCCAAATAAGATAAATCTATGATTGAATCAACAATAAGAAATTACAATGATTATAAAATCCATATATATCTTATTTTATATTTGCAAAAAACTGGAAATTCCTACCAAGGAAAAAATTGAAATAAAAAAAAAATTTAGAAAAATTATTTTAAACATTATTATTATTATTTAAAACTTTACTTTTTTCAATTTATTTTACATTATCTATTATTTTTATCATTTTATTTCAGTTTATAACGTAGTTATAATGTAACAATGTAACATTTTATTATTCATAATACATAGAATAGTTTTTACTTAAAAAAAAATATTTTTAATTGAATTCCCGAACGAAATAAAATATTTTGAAATTATAAACTTGGCAACGTAGCCTAAAAAAATTGTGGGATTTAAGTAATAAAAATCACTCACAATTTAATTTAATTAAAATAGACACTATATTATATTAATTGTACAAATATCGATACGCGTTACAATTGCGGAGGAATTGCCGAATATATCGCGGAGTGTAATTCATGGTGTATCACGGAATATACTCATGGACTGACTGATTGAGCGTCTAACCAGCCGGTATATATATATATATATATATATATATATCCGCGTCGATTATCTAGAACATTCTCGAAACGAAATGATCATCGCATATTCTAAAACATGGGATTTTCTCTTATCCGCCGACAACATTGTAAACAACCCGGACGACTCTTGGCGCGTTGTTTACGTCACCACAAAATGTTCGTAATCGTTTGGTTTTCGGTTAAAAAAAAATCATTGATAAGCGGCATTCGTTCGTAATCGTGTTGTACCCATAAATATAAATTATAATTTTGATTATTATATTTAATTATGCTTAAAAAATTATACGGCATACCTGAATAATTTCAGTGGTTGGGAATCCCTTAACTACATTCTTTACTCTATGCTACAGATTTCTATACTTACTACATAAAGTACTTCTGTTATCACCTGAAGCTTTAAAGATGGTGACATCAACAGTGGCGCAACTAGCGGGTAAGTTGTCAAAGTGAAACTTTGGGGCCCTCTAATAATGTTAAGGGCTCCTCGGCGGATAAACAATTTTTATTGGTTTTAATATAAACAATCACGTAAAGCTTAAATGTAATAATTACGAGTATATATATTAAATAATTATATAGTTTGTTTTATCTAGTAATTATTTTTAATGTCCTATGCAGTGGCGGACCTATAAGGGGTGGGGGGAGCTGTCCACCCCGGGCACCTCGTTCAAAAAGGGTACAAAAAAAATTTGAAATTTTACCATTGAAAAAATCAAATTTTTAAAAACATACTTTGAACAAGGGCTCACTTAATGCCCCACTTTCTAAAAGAGCCCCACAGTCCCTTTCGTATATATGAATAAGGTATCTAGGTTTAAACCTCTCTGGACTTAAAAAAAAATGTATAATAGTTTTGTAATTTAGCTTGTACTGACGCACTGTGTAGATAATAGATTAGGAATTTTAAATTATAATACGTTGAATTTTCAGTGAACAGTAAACCACGTAGGTACCTAATCAAAACGTCACATCTGATCGTTCAATATAAAATGGCTGTATTTTTGTATATTCATATATGTAATATTCACACTAATAAAAACGTATGCATTCGACAACTCCCATACGCAGCTATATTTGGAACTGAAAACAAGAATTAAATCCATGGAGAACGTTTATGACAAATTTGAAGTTTACAGCCAATCAATTTGATGAAAGCAAATGATGATATATTACCAAAACTTATTTCTAATCTAACTGAATTTTACGACGAATTTTTCAAGGATGAAGTTTTGGTAGAAATAAATGATTGAGACGACATATTCAAGCGTCAAATATCAATAAAGAGCAAGTGGAGAAATGGTTAACTCTTCAAGTTTTGCAGTTCGTTGTTAGTATGGACTTTCTAGAGTCTGTACCAAACTTATGTTTAGCACTAAAGTTGTTTTTAACAATTTGTATATCAGTCGCAACGTGTGAAAGAAATTTTTCGAAACTTAAAATCGTTAAAAATTATTTGCGCTCAATGATGAGCCAAATGAGATTAAATGGACTAGCAATATTATCCACCGAGAACCAGTTGGCAATGCAAATAAACTTTAATGAAACAATCAGTCAATTTGCTGATGTAAAAGCTAGAAGAAAAACATTTTAAATTGAGGAACCTGTTCTAAATAATTATTAGAAGGGAAACAAATATTACAGATTGTTTATTTTAGAAGTGTTTTTTTTTACATTGTACCTATCATACATTATAATAATCTGTATATAATTTTTATATAGAATAAAATACATTTGATTTAATTTTCCAAATGCCTCTAAAAAAATCGTTATTACTTAATTTTTTCAAAAAACGTATTCTTAATTAACCTAAATATTCACCTCATATTTTACTCACTACAAATTATAAATGTGCTACGAGAAATATATAAAAATAAATTTGTCTTTTAGAACACCTTGTTATTGCACACCGCACACTCTCCTTTTATTGACGTGTTCATTGCAATCTATATATATTTTCGTCGCAACGTGTGTTCATTAATTTTAATAATATGTAACCGAGGAAAAATTATAACTTTTAAAATTATAATTGGATAATTCTTATTCTTTTAGAAAATCCTTAAACGTTTTTTTTCGTACATAGTTAAGGATTTTTGATGCATATTTAATCAAATGTTGGTGCATGCTTATTTATGCGTTTTTTAGTGCTTGAACTTACGAGCCTTTATTATAACTGTATAATGATTTTTGTATACTGCATATTAAAATAATACAAACAAGAAAAAAATTCGAACTTTTTGAACATAAACATCGATATATCGAGCCAAAACATTGTAGTTTTTTGCCAATCCCTAGTATGTACTTAACACATATTTTGCTACACAAATATGTCAGGTAACAGCTAGCTAGAAATCCGCGGGTCACCGCCTATTCACTATATAATATACATTAAGGAAGTGCACATGTAAATTTACGCGTAAAAATTTTTTTTTACCGATTTCAACCCTTTAAAATTAAAATTTTTAAAAACCTTTTCTTAGTGCACTGTTAAATTATAATATTAATCTATCCTCAAAATTTCAATTTGATTACTTAAATAGGTTTGCTCTGATAATTAAAAAAGTACACTTTCCTTATATATATTATTATTAACATATATTACCATGTGTCAGTGGATAATCTAACCAGGGGGGGGGGTTGATGGGCTGCAGCCCTCCCGAAATATTAAGAAAATTTAAAAATTATTTTAATGTTGATTAATTAAATTTTGATAGCTTTTAATAGCCGTGGCCGTACTAATAGGTCGCGATAATACAAAATAGCGTACTACATTTTGGTTTTTTTATTGTTATCACTATCACGTTAGCCAGTTTCAAGAACTTTACAGACGTATAATATTTATTCCATACTTAGATGATTAGCATTGCTCACTTAAAGAATGTTTTATATCTCATAAAGATATTCAGCGGCGGATTGGTTCACCGGGAAAGTTCTAATTTTAAAAAAAACAAACTGTGATAGCAATATGTTTCCAAAGATTTATCAACTCCTTAAGTTAGTATCAGTATTACCTGTATTAATTGCTACTGCAGAAAGGAGTTTTTCTTCTTTGAGAAGATTAAAAACCTACCTTAGAAATTAAACTTCAGAATCAAGACTTGTTGGACTTGCATTATTTTCTACTATTTATAGAGATATTAACATTTCAGATGTTTAAATATTGAACACATTTTTTAACAGCAGAAAGGCTCGAAGGTTAAAATTGTTACTTTAATTTGTTGTCCTTTAATAATAAAATTATTTAATAAATTAGAGTTTGTTTTATTACATAATATGTTGGTATACTATATTATGTCCTATTAAAAGGAAAATTCATTGCTATTTTTATTATTATTTTTTTTAATAAATAATATGGGTAAAATAATTTATTGTATATTAATATTAAATACAATATTCAAAGTATTTTAAGTATACATATAAGTGTATAAAATCAATATATGTTAAGGGTTATAGGAACAAAAATCTAAAATAAAACTTCAGCATCTGCATGTTCAAATGATGGAAGAATTTAGGTAAATTACCATTGTGTAAAAAATTGATCAGCCCTCCGAAGAAAAATCCAGGCTATGCTACTGCTATGTGTACTTAAAAGAGCTCTACTAGAGGGGATTGTTCTCCACCCTTATTACAGGGTATTTGTAGATTGGAATAATCAATTAATGATGATAATATTGGAAAGGGGGGGGGATATGACCATGGTCTGTCCCACCCATGGGTCTCAAATTTTTGTAAAAAAAAATGCTTTTAAGTATATTAACATAAATTATTGATATTGAAATATTTTTAATATACAACAATTATTAGTTACATATGTATATAATACATTTTTTTAATATAATTTCAATTTATTTTAAAAAAATAATGGGGCTTACTGATGATTGCTTGAGTAATAATAATAGTTTAGGTAATTAAGAAAATTACATAAGGTTCAACGTATATCTATATGAAAAGGATTAAGAATTGCAATTTAAGTGCAAAATAAATAAAAAATTCAATTGTAAAAAAAACTCAGTTATTTAATATTATTATTCATTTACTAGTATAAACATTTGTCACTTGACAAATAAATGATAATAATAGGAAAAGAATTGAGAACAGACCAGTTAATCGTGTACTTAGCAGGAACATCGTTCTGATTGACATTGTTCCGCTCATTTACATTAAAGCTTAAGTCTAATGGAACGATTATTGTAGAAAAAAATTAAAATATATATATAGTAAAAAAAAAATATTAAATACCACTTGGTTCTTAAATACAATAATAAAAAATATATATATAATGTGTATATATATATATATATATATATATATAAATTGTTGATTACCTGTTTTCACTAAAGAATTAAGTTACAACAGGTTTATACACCGGCATTGAAGCAATAATATCCTTATCATCTTCTGAAAGATCACGAGCAATTAAAAATGTATGTGCACTTCCACAAGCCACCTGTTCGATATACATTCCATCGAGTTTTTTCATTTCACAAGGTTTGGCACTGGATTTCTTTAAATCTCCAAGACCCTATGAAAATCCAAATAGTTAATGAGTTCCTACTTACAAACAATTTTCACAAATTTTGTACCAATTCGCCAGAGCTTGTTCCAGAACCCCAAACAATGCAAGAATCATCAGCTGCTGCAACTAATCCAATACCGCATGTGCCAATACTACGCAAATTCCAACCATGAAGATCTTGTACCGGTTTGGGATACATATTGGCTTCTCCTCTGCTATTCATTTGTCCAAATAAATAAACAGCACCTTCAATAGCAAGAATAAAACCATTTACTTAAATAAAATTTCTTTATCTTATATAAAGTGAAAATAATATAATATAAAATTCATATTTAAGTATTAATTCTGATGTATACCAAATTCATTGATAGCAATACTGAATGTGGGTCCACAAGCAACATGCTTTACACCACTCCTCTGAACATCAAAATATTTTATAAGTCTTGGCTGCAATTCATCTTTTGGTTCAGAATGTCCAAGTCGTCCATAGCCACCAAATCCCCAAGAATATGCTTTCTTATGATCATCAATAGCTACCTATAAAAATATTATAATAAAATTAAAAAAAAAAATTAAAATATTTAATAGAAATATTTGTTTATCTTACTGTATGATTTGTGCCACATGCAAAATCTCTGATTTCAGGTTTGGGCAATATTTCTACTTTGTTCTTATTTTTTTCTACAAAAGTAAGTATTGGTTTTGGCTGTTGAACTGTAGCAAAGTTAATAGCACCAGCTCTTTCAATATATTCGCCATTTGTGTTGTGTCCCAACTGTCCATACTCCGGTAAACCAAATGAATATAAAGTACCCTTACAATCAAGCAAAATGCTGAACTCGGCACCACAACCAACTTTTACAATTGGTGGTCCATTATATTTAACCTATAAAATTATGAAAAATAATCGAAAAGTACTTTTAACTGAATTATTAGATTATTCTACCCAACAGTTATTATGTAGTTAAAATAATTTAACACGCCCTACCTAGGTTTTTGATAAAATCCATACAACAAAATACAACATTATAAAACAAAATTTATATCTAGGCAAATAAATACAGTCTCCAAAATTAAATATGCTTAATAGATATTCTTCTTAAATTAAAATGTATATGATATACATAGTTAACATTTTTTAATTAGGTTAAGGTACCAACAATATTTAATATTGTATAATGATTTTTATTACAATAATTGATGCTGCTATATTTTTAAATCACTAAACAAAAATATGTTCCATTAAAAATTATTTTTAAAATGTTAGAATTTATCTTTAACTATAAAATTCCTCTTTAACTTAAGCAAGGTGTGTTATTGTTTTTATTAATTAAGAATAAACAAGTTATAAAACTTGTTTAAATATAAGGAATAATAAATAGTGAATAGTCATACAAATAAAATGTATTACTGACCCTCATTGCAGTTGTAATAAAGGGGTCTTTGCTCTTCACGCCACACTGACTATTCTTATTATCACCACAACTGTACACGGCACCACGATCTTAAAACATATAAATATGGGATTTAAACACAATGAATATGACAAAGAAAATAAATAAGCAATAAAAGTTAATTTTTAAATACAAATAATACGTAAATCACACTTAATGATATTGCATTTATATACAACAGAGAATAATTTTACACAAATGCAATGTTTAAAAGATAATTTTTATTTCTAACAAATAATACTTACCAGTAAGAAGCAAAGTATGTGCACGGCCAGTAGCTGCATTGACAATAGCATGATCAGGTAAACCTTCAATTGGAGTCGGAATGTCACGCCTGATTAAATCTTTGACTCCCAGCTGACCTTTTTCATTACGGCCTAAAAAAGTGAACATAAAATTAAAGAAAATAAAAAGATATCAAAATTAATTGATTCCATACCTAAAGACAAAGCTTTGCCTTCTTCAGTAATAAAAATTGTGTGTGCAGAGTTACAGCTACTTGCTACCAAACGGATACGGGTGTCTTTCAGTGGTTCAAATAAGTGCGGTTCGTATAAGTTCCGTCCAATAGATTTGCATCCTTTTGGCACAGACTTACGGCCATTTAAATCCCAATTAGTTCCACCAGTTAACATCACAATGCCAATATGATCAGGACCTTTCACTCTCTAAAACAATATATTCAGATAAAATTAATTAAGCTAATATTTAGGAGAGGTAAATTAAATTGTATGAATGGTAACTAGGTATGAAATATTTTAAATGTTAAGGTGTAAATATGAACAATAAAAATTATAAAATAAAAATAAAATGAAATTGAGTGTTTAAAAAGCCATTTAGCATTATTAAATTGCACATAATAATAATGAAAACTAGATATGAAATAGAAACATTACTGTTATAGTAAAATGTTGATCAGTTTAAGGTGTGTATAATAAAGGTAGGTTGAAATATTAGAAAAAAATTATAACACATGAATCAATTGAATTAAACCATTATAAGGTATACCTATGAGTATTATTTAAAATTGAGCAATAAACAGTACTTATCAAATGTTCAGCTCAGAAATTGATGACGGATAAAAATTTAATTGTACATAGCTTCCTTGAAAAATAGTAGAGCAAATAGATGACATAGGTAGGTACTCGGTCAATGAAAACAATGAATGTACAAACCTTACTCAATAGATCTTAACGAACAATAAATCATTTGTGTTGCAGATAAATAATAGGATGATATTGTGCATACGGGTCAAATAGTGAAATGAAATATGAGACAATACTTCAACCGGCTAAAGGTATGAAGTTCAACCGATTGTCTAACATTATGAGTAAGCAAGCAGTGGTCAGCCAGCAGACCAAACACAATATCACTTAAAACCATAAGACACCGAACTCATTAGTATCTAATCACTCGACCACTAGGGCAAATGGGAATGCTCGATTTTATACTTACCAGGGACGCATTGTCTTCTGTTAATTCGTCCATGTTGTTATCGTCGTCGTCAGACCTTTGATCGTTGTCATCGTCTTCTTCCTCTTCGCTCAACACCGGCGGTTCGTCTTCGTCCAGCTTGGACTTTTTACGGGATACGCCGTTCGCTTTGCCTTTAGACTGCCGTTTAGCGGACATGACGCGATAAGGTGAGACTGGTAAAAACTGATCGCAGGTGAGAACAAGAGCTGCGGTTAAACGCGCGTGGTCGTAGAAAACGGAAAACGCGGTAGTGACAGTGGCGCGAAAACCCGGCAGCAAACAAAACGCAGAGAACACGCTTAACTCGTGATGGAGAGATGTGATCGGGTCAAACGATGGCAACGGCGGTGATGATACCAGTGGACGCCATTAAAAGTAAAAAAAAAAAAAGAAAGAATGGAAAAAAAAACCAAAACGCGCGCGCGCGCGCTCGAGAAAGGGAGAGAGAGAGAGAGAGAGCGAGTGAGAGAGAGTGTGTGAGAGTGAGTGAAAGGGAGGAACGAGTGAGAACGTGATTTGCCGGAGAGCGAGCTATGGGCGGTGGGTGCGAGAGAGACGGAACGGGACGCGCGACGTGACGACCGGAAGAGGAGGAGGCGCCGCCGGTAGAGCAAGTGAGACGGAACCGGTGCGGAGCGGGCGAAAGAGAGCGAGAAACGCGGATCGTCGGCGGAGGAGGGGAAGAAAAAAAAAAAGAGAACGGCGATTGTTTGTTGTATGCGCGACCGGTGTGCGGGCTCGCGTGCGTGTAAAAGTCGGGACCGCAACGTTACGGCGGCGGCGGTGCAGCTGTTGCAGCGGCCGCGGCTTGTGACGGTGGGTCGCGGGGTATGCTGCCCCCACCGCTCGGCTGCCGCAGCTACCGCACGGCACACATACGCACCACCGGCGGCGTCGAGTATTGCGGACCTGCCGAAAACCGAAAAACGGCCAGGACGGTCGTATCCTCTCTCGCGTCGTTCAAACCCAACGGCGCCGGTGCCGGCGGCACGGACTTGGCCGCGAACCGCGTGCGCGGCCCGGATAACAATAGGTAAACATCCTCCCACCCCTCTCGTAGCAAAACGTCGCCATGTTCGACGACGGTGTACTGCGTGTCGAAGACCGTGTTGCCCTAGGCACGAGCGATCGTTTGCCGCCTCCGACGCGTCACTCAGCACGCGACTGTGACGGCCGCCTTTGGCCGAGCGGTTTTTGACGGACACCGTTGGATTCGTTAATACCGCACAAAACTGCCTTTCTAGTTCTCGACATTATGGCTTTATAAAGTTACATTAATATAATGTCATCCAAAACCAACAGTTCTACGGTGTTACTCATCTCGGTTGTACGAAAAAATCCAATCAAAAGCGTATGACATATTTCCTCGAATAATTTATTCGAAATATTAATCCCTGTTGTTGAACAAAATTTGATTTAAATGAATTTAATTATTCTTCCGTAGCCTATGTATACAAAATCCTTAGCTGCGTCTGCGTGATATTCTGAGTAACCACTGAACACATTTTATTTCATTTTTGAATTAGTGTTTCGCGGGTTGGATTTAATTTAAATGCTTTTAAATTATATAATTTTTTAAATAGGTATAATGGCAGTTTTAACAATTTTCCACGTAGGTACGTTTAGCAGATTTTGAGTTTTCTATTAATATTATCGGTCACCGAATCGGTAAAAAAAAACACGCATCATAGAGATACTATAATAGTGAACGAGAGAAAAAATACTTAAAATGAATAATTAGTTTAATTGAAAGTTAACTCTCATCAGTTCACGTTAAAATTAATCGACTAACTGAACATAAAATAATACAATTTTAAAAAAAAATATCAACATTTTAGCCATGACACGAATTAGGCATGCCGATATATTATGAACAATCTAAATAGAAGCCAAATATTGGGGTGCTGAAATTGCTGGAAATAAAATTGATGGTATTTCACTGTAGTTTTTATAGAATGAATTTAAAAAAAAAACAAAAACCAAAAGTGCTAAATTCAAACTCAGGAGTGCTAAAGACCCTCTTGAGCTACCTAGTTGCGCCTGTGAATGTTGGTAAAAATCCTTATATGTCCACCATTACTCGTTGATAACAACAATATGTCGCTGATAAGTTCTTCGACAATATTTTAAAAATAAATTCATAAATTTGTCGATGACGATGTCGAAAACACGTGTTTTCAAAAAATGTTTCTTTGGTTTGGACGCGGAAATACATAGTTACCAACTAACTCAACCTTTAACCTTCCGCGCAACATCAAAGAAATTGTCAACAAAAAACAAACTCCAATAATCATTAAGTTCATCTCATCAACAAAATCTAAATCGATCAACATAGTTATTATATTGTAAACATAAAGACAAGAATAACAAGAAACATTATTGACAATTATTATAAATTAACAAATTTGTATATAAAATATGTATCTGTAATAAAGTTGGCTAAGAACCTTAGTTGTTGAAACCCATAAATCATTAAATAATAAAAAAACGTACTAAAAAAAAAAACTAAAACGTACTTTTTATGTAATCTGTAACATTATAATGTGTTTTTATTTTCGTCGGTATATTCGGGATTACGGTAAAATAAAAATAGGTAAAATGTGTGTTAAAAGTATTATGGTAAGCAATTAAATATCATAATAAACTATGTTATTATAATTAGTACATTTCTGGAAAAACTACGCCTAGCCGAAGTGGGTTAGTTAATATGCCAATAAACCATACATTATTATTATAATATAAATTTTCTTAATTCATTGCTAAAATATGCTAGATAACTAACAATTTACATATTGTTTGTTTATTGATACTTCAGATAAATTATAAAATCCAGATACAGTTTGTTTATTTTTGATTCAAGTTTGGTTTTAAAATTGTATACAATTGTAAGAACATTTTTTAAATATAACGCATAAAAAAAAAAAAAATTTATTATTTATTTCGAATAAACCAAATTTGCTATTTTCAAATAATTCTTATCATAATCAGGGGTGTTATTTGACATTATACCATTATAAACAAAATAGTTATTCAATCTTTTGTTAAATATCATCAGCGTTCAAAGTGAGGGGACGCAGCGCTTACACAGCGTACCCTTTAATATTTCTCCGAAAAGTTAACTGAAACGTTCAACTGTTGGTTAAAAATAATTACACGCAATAAAATAGCTGAAAAATTGACTTTGAGATGTAGTCGATGTCACTAAGTGTTAATAATGTCGTACAAATAAAACTAATATTAAATATAAATTATATAATAATATATACTGAAGTATAAATGTTTTTCATTTTTTTATTTCATTAGAAGATATTTACAATCTGTACCTATTTAAAACAATAAGTAAGTAATTTATAAGTTGATACATTTTACAGCACATGAATAGTTTTCGAAAGGTTCACAAACAACATCTCATAATATATATATATATATATACCTAATTATTATTTATTATTTATCTATTAATTGCATGGTATTATATGGAACGCTGAGCATGATACATGGATTAAAGTCCTCCCTGTTCTTTTTTGCCATTTGAACCCTGAATATCACACACCACTTCTGTTTAAGTTTTTCTAATCTTAAATCTCAATATTTTTCCTTCAAGCATTGCTTTCCACTGTTTCAAAATCTCTAACTCTACTCCTTCGAGCATTCTTATGATTATAACAATTTTATTTAGGAACATTCACGGATGTGAGTGTAATAACATGAAATCACATGTGTATATATGTAAAGTCAATTGTCTTATCATGTTAAATTGTAAGTCATCTATAGTAGTTGGAAATATTTGATTTAATCAATACGATTAGAAAAACATACAAATATAATACATACACATAATATTATTGTTAACATCAAGTGGCAGTCGAATCAAAAGAATAATTGAGTGGGTCAATCGAAAAGGTCTAGTCAATTGCAATTGATGAAAATTGAAAAAAATGAATTAACTACGTAAATTAACGTGCGATGTGAAAGCATAGATTTTATTACGGCTTGGTCAGGTTTTCCGTGTAGAAACGTTCGTTCACCTAGACCATGGTATTGTTATTTATCCGCACACAAATATTTTATTCGTGCATAATATTTTGTTATATATTCTGATGCATGACGAAGTGCACGGTTTTCCGTCACGCAGCCGTTTGTTGTTGTAATAGTACAATGACTTCCTCATTTCCACCTCCTGCGATCGTGTTGTACATACGGTCGATTGGGAAACGGTAATTGCCCGTTAAGACAGCGGTTCTCAACCTGGGGAGGCGAGCTTCCCTAGGTAGGCGTGAAACATTTTTAAAAAGCAACGAAACACTAAAACGTTATTTTTGATTATTTTTATATTTAATTGAAACAAAAATAAGTCATAATTACTTGAAACTATGTAGTTTCAACGCTCTCAATTTTGATCTACTTAATAATAATAAATTTAAAATTTAATATTTAAGAAGTGAATATAATATAATTCGTTTTAATATTCTTAAATTATAATTATATTTTTTTCTTAGTAAATAAACTCATTTAATATTTAGAAAAACTTCATTCATTTTCATATTATCATATTAATCCAATAACCAACATTAAAGGCATAATGTACAATGTAGGACCACCCTAATGTACATATTGAAATATATAAATTTCTGTATATATATTAAACATAATCCGACATTATTATGGGGGGGGGAGGGGCGTGACATCATAAAATAGTATAAAATTTTTATGCCTCAAACGGTTTAGAAACCTTGTGTTAAAACGTTGCACGCCTATATTGTATTATTTTCACGATTTTCGAGTTCGACCCAGTACATTGTGTTCCAACCAATTATGCACTGTCGGTGTACGTAGAGTTTCGTCTGCTACTCTGCTCCTGTAGCCCAAAAAATCTTTTCACTAGCAACGGGAATTTCCAATTTATTTGACGCATCATTGTTTCTACACGTTTTTGTTCCATTGTGATTGAATAACATTACGATCGTTCATATTTAAACTCTAAAAATCTTGTAAAACCAGTGGCGTATCTGACTTGACTCTGTGACGGGATTGGGAGCTAATTAAAGCCTACTCAAGAAGATTGGAAGTTATATATCTTATACCACTCCCTTACCAAGAAAAAAAAACTCCTAGATGTACCCTGGGAGTTAGAACAACATTTATTGCACCTAATAAAGGTACTTATTTTTTTTAAATTTACAAATTATCATTTTTGAAAACTTCATAAAAATGTTTAGACACATCAAATACCTATATGACATACTAAAAAATAATATTTATTTAAAACAATCATCAACAATAGATAATCTTAATGAATCATAAATTCTAAGTTTTGTTTTTTGTAATTTTTGTAATTTTATCTTAGTAAATTTATAGCAAACAATTAGATAAACATATCAACTGTCGGAAGGAGGTGGTGGTAGTCCCCACCAGGGCACCTCCTCAAATATACCACTGTGTGGAATACAGTTTTATTATAGGGGCGTCATTTTGGATTTTTCAACGATAATACAATCCCTTAAAATGAAGACAACGGCAACACAACGTCCGAAAAATTACCAAGTTATAATTGTTGGAAATATCAGGATTTACAAAAAATTTTGAAATAAATAAATTGTTGTGTTAAATATTTAATAATTATATTTTTGCACCCTTTATAGAAAAAAATCGTTTTTAAATGGAAGTTTAAGTGAGGGTAAATGTAAACTATTAAATCTACAACATTTCGTAGTATTTCATTGGTCGGTCAATGTTCTATTGTATTCAAATAAATTGTTACAAAGAAATAACATTCACATTTAAATTACACTTTTTGGTGGCATACCGCGCCGGCACTATTGATGTAGCTAGCCGATCTATTTCCAATGTTACTCGCTTTATTTTATTTACGTTTATATAGGCCGTAAAAACGTGAGAGAAGTTCCTTACCATCCAGTGGTTACTGCGTAAAGTAGTAAGTTACGTTTATTTGACATCCTATTTTTGAAGTTAATCCGAGATTAGAAAGCTACGTAAATAATGTCACATGAAGTTAAGATACCTCAATAATTTAATCAGTGTAAAGTTTTTTGATGGTTTTTCAGGTGTTTGAAAATATTGTCGATTAGGTTAAGCTTACATTGGGAATACAATTACGATATTTAGTTTTTCAATTCATTACCTAATTTTGCTGGTAATTTTCTGCTCGTCTCCTTTCTATATAGTACTTTAAATTTAAACTAATGAAAGTATAAAAGTTTAAACCATACTTTTGTTTTGGTAGATATTGTTGAAGCTTATTTAAAAAATAATATAAATACATATATAACTAGCTATGGATAGATAATATTAAAAAAATAAAATATATGCGATCTTTAAAACCAGATTATTGCAATGATTTTCCAACATCCTATATATACGTATTATAAATAAATAAATGTTTTATAATTTATTTAATATTATTATTAAATGTTATTAAATGTATTTCATGGAATGAAGAATTTATTGGTTTAATTAGTGAGAAGTGAAATTTGTGGTGTAGACGATAAAAAAGAAAAAAGCGGTTGAGCCAGATGGAATGCCTGTAGAGGTGTGAAAAATTTTAAGGGATGTAAGCATTGGTTGATTGAAAGATCTTTTTAATGAGGTGTTAATAGGAAAGAAAATGCTAGAAGATTGGAGAAAGAGTTTTATTGTAGCAATATTTAAAGACAAAAGAGACGTATAGGAATATGAGAATTATAGAGGAATAAAGCTGATGAGTTATAGGATGATTATTTGGGTAGAGAAAAGAAGAGAATAAGAAGTGAGGCATCAATATCGGAAAATCAGTTGATTTTTATACCAAAAAAATCGACAATGAAGCCATTATTTTGTATCAGACAACTAGTAGAGAAGTTTAAGGATAAGAAGAAAAAATCATACATGGTGTTTATAAATTTAGAAAAGGCATATGACAGACTGCCAAGAGAAGTTTTAAAGTGGGCATTAATGAAAAAAAGGTCCCAAAAATATAAATAAATTTGATTCAGGATATGTTTGAAGGCTCGAAAATTTGTGTTAAGAGTTTATGTAGAGTAACAGAAGATTTTAACGTAGGAGTTCGTGTGAATCAAGGGTTGGTTCTAAGCCTTTATTTGTTCTCTGTGGTAATGGATGAAGTGACGAAAGACATACAGGGCGAGATACTATGGTGTATGATGTTTGCTGATGATATAGTTTTGATAATAGAAAATCTGGAAGAAGTTAATATTAGGATGGATGAGTAGAGGTTAGCCTTTGAAGGAAAGGGATTGAGAATTAGTTGGTTAAAACAGAGTATATAGATTATGACTCTGAAGGAAGATACTAAGGAGTTGAGAAGATGAGGAGACTAGTGACAATAAGCGGTAATGTGATAGGTGAAGTTAATATCTATAAATATTTAGGATCATTTGTACAAAAGGACGAGGTTTTTGGCGTAAATGTAAAACATAGAATTAATTGCGGTTGGATAAAATGAAGAGAAGCGTAGGGCGTTTTATGTAATAAGAGAATTTCAGTGAGGATGAAAGATAAATTTTACAGAAGTGTAGTGAGACCTAACTAAACTATATGGTTCGGAATATTGGGCAGTTGATAGGATAAAATAACGGAATTTGAGTGTTACGGAAATGAGAATGCTTAGATGGATGAATAGAGTGACAATAGAAGATAAAATAAGGAACGAATATGTGAGAGGTAGTATTGGGGTAGTGTTAATAGTGGACAAGATGAGAGCAGGGCTGCAAAGAGAAATCAAGGCTCGAGAGACAAATTTAGGCCCTTTTCATACGATGTATTAAACTTGCCACTGACATCCAGTGTCATCTTTTAAAATGTGTATACCAAAGAGATAATGTAATCGCAATCACGGTTATTCCACAGACTAAATAAAAATAATTATTTATAGCCTAAGGATTTTTCTTGGAAATGTTATTTATCTATGTTTTAGATCAATATTGTAGTGTAGGTACTTTATTGTAGACTCGTTATATATAGCACGATTCATGTTGGTGATCCATAAATAGCTCGATACCATGATCAAGACATAGTGGACTTGGTCAGGCCCCGAGCCTATTTTGATGCCCGAGCTCTGGGCTATAGCCCCAGCCCCCCCCCCCCCCCTTTCTCTCGTCGGGCCTGGATGAGAGAAAATAATCCGATATGGTTTGGGCATGTGATGAAGCGAGAGGAAACAAAAACAGTAAAAGTGGTTATGAAAATGAAAATTGAAGAGAAAAGTGGAAGGGGAAGACCAAAAAAGAGATGGTTGGATACGATTGAGTATGATATAAGGGCCATTGGTGTGTGCGTAGGGGATGTAGAAAATCGAGACGAGTGGAGGTTTAAGACAGGGATGGTTGATTCCAACTAATCGAGAGAAAGGCGAAGGCGAAAAATATATTAATAAATTTTAATTTTTAATTATTTAAAGTTATTTAAGTATCTAGCAAAAATTATAGAATCTGCGAATAAAACCAACAAGAAACTTCAATCGGTTAACATAGATTTAATTACAGTTGTTAAATTATATGAATCTTGAATTCATTATGTTGAATTTTTACGAAATGTAGATACTTTCAAAATATTAGAAGACATTGCCATAACAATATCCTAAATAATGAATGAAATATTCATAACTAGGGCAGAGAAGTTATGGGATTTACATGTTTTATTCTAGGCCTCTATTTTATAGCAAACCAAGATATAAATATAAGTCATAGGCCTCACAGTTGAAATCTAAAATTTATTTTTGCATATTTTTGCATATTTTGAAGATTTAAAAAAAAATTGCATATTTCGTTATTTTGTGCATGTTTCGTGCATATTCTACATAAAAACTGTATGGTATTATTATATTTTATATACTATATAGTAACATTGTACACCACCCTATTCCCATGTAGACTATGTACTATATTATAGGTACCCACATATTTTAGGTGGGCATTCGGATAATGTTATCGGAGATAACTTATATTTATTATTATAACTTATTAGTTTTACCTATGTCGAAGCCATTGGCATTTAAGTATCTATAGTAAATTTTATATCAAAATTATTATGTGTCCAGAGTTCACTGTTCGTCAGTAATCTTGTTAGTATTTAGTGTCGTTCGATACGAAACTGCGTGCCGTTTGATGTGTTTTCCATGCTTACATTTTTCTTTTAACATTTCTGCTAATATTTTGCACAATGCCAAAAATAAATGCAAATATCTTTAACAAGTATTTGAAACAGTTTGGTGAAGATACATTTGCTACCGATGATATTATGCTTTATTGTAAGATTTGCAAAGTTAAAGTAAGTGCTGATAAAAAATTTACAGTAATTCAACATATAAAAACAAATAAACACGAACGATTATTAGCTCGTCGAAATAAATAACAATTTATATCACAGCCGTCAAACAAAAAATCTGTTTTTTCACATGATTTATGCGAGGCTATGTGTGCAAACATTCCTTTACATAAAATTTCTAATGTTCAATTTCGATTGTTCCTTGAAAAATATACTCTAAATGACATCCCAAGTGTATCTACGATGAGGAAAACTTATACAAACGATTGCTATTTAGAAGCTATTGAACAAATTAGAAAAGATGCTGTAGGAAATCAAATTTGGTTTTCTATAGATGAAACGACAGATGTCCAAGTGAGATATATTGCAAACGTAATAATCGGAACTCTACTAAAGGTTAGACCCGGAAAAATATATTTACTAAATACCGAAGTTTTAGAAAAAGCCAATTTTTCTACGATAACCAAACTTTTTGACAGCTCAATGTTTCTCCTGTGGCCAGACGGTGTTCGTCATGATGACGTCCTCCTATTTTTAAGCGATGTTGCGCCATACATGAAGAAAGCAGGTACAACTATCAAGGCTTTGTACTCTAAGATGATCCATATTACTTGTATAGCACATGGATTACATAGATTAGCAGAAAATATTCGGAGTCATTTTCCTAGAGTTGATAAATTAGTAGCAAAAGGAAAGCAAGTATTTTTAAAAGCATCTTCGCATGTTTTATTTTTTAAGACAGAAGCTCCCGGAGTCCCTCTTCCTCCCGAACCTGTAATTACACGTTGGGGTTCTTGCATTGAAGCTACTTCTTATTACTGCCAATATTTTAAACAAGTACGAGATGTTATGCTTCATTTTGATTCTAACGATGCTGTATCTATAAAAGAATCTCAAACCCTTCTAAATGAAATCTCAATGGAACCAAATTTGACTTTAATACATTCAAATTATGGGTTTTTACCATCAACCATAACTAAATTAGAATCACAAGGAGTATCATTAACTGATTCAGTATCAACAGTAATGTTCACAAAAAATAAATCGGAAGAAGTTGCGGGTGACGTTGAAATGAAAGTAAATACAAAATTTAACCAAGTTTTAGAAAAAAATGATAGGGTTTGCAATAATATTAAAAATTTGAATGGAGAAAGTTCATCAATGAATGGTTTACCAGAAGACCTAATGGGAAATGATGTAACATTTTATAAATATGCACCAGTAACATCAACAGACGTCGAAAGAAGTTTTTCTCGATACAAAACCATACTGGCTGTCAATTGGCGATCATTCGACGTAGAAAATATTAAAAAAACATTAGTTGTCCAATGCAATAATTTATCAGGCGAGAAAAAAGTTATTTTAAAACTATTTTTGTATTCATATATTTAATATTTATTTTAAAGATAAACCCAAATTTCGAGATTGAAGCAAACTATACTAACAATCGGCGATCATTCGACGTAAGAAATATTTAAAATAAAATTAACTGTGCAATGCAATGATTTTTGTATTTCTTTTATATCTAATTTTTTTATTTTACTAAAATATAATTTAATTTTTTTTGTGCATATTATCTTGCATATTTAATGAATTTGAATGCATATTTTCAATTTTTTATGTGCATATTTACATGCATATTTTTCCAATTTTACCTCCTATAACTTCTCTGCCCTATTCATAACAAACGAAATAGAAGAAAGAAAATACATATTGATGAAATGAAGGATATTGAAGTTTTATTTTTAGAAAGAGACAATTTGATTGTGAACACTTATTATGTCATACTTGGCTCGTTATCATATAGGTTGATTAAAAAAAGAAACTTGCTTACGATGAGTTGGAGAAAAAGTTTTTTTTTCTTTTTTAAGTTTTATAAAATTATTCCAGTAAAAGTAAGTAAAGATGCAGAAGTATTGCAAACAACTTATCTAAATAATTTAGCAACAAGTTATGTAAACAAGTATGTATAATTACAAGGCTATATAAAAAAATATGAAATAAAACTTACAATTATAAGATATACGTCTATCAATCTTTGTCTTAGAATCTCAGACTTAGACGGTTGAACGATATTTTTCTTTCCGGCTTCCAACTGGTAACTTAATATATTGTCTCTTCTCGACTTCACCATTAATGTCCTTAAATAGCCTAGCCTATTCTTTTACTTTTTGTTGTAACTAATATGTCTGAGTCTTTTAACATAATTACCTTTTTGTTCTTTCTTAGATCGTATTCACCCGTGTTTTGGTTTTATTGAGATAAAACATCTGTCTTAATCTTAACATCTGTCTCTTAAATCTTGTTAGATTCTGTTCGTCTATTTTTATTACTACCTAGGTTTCATATACATATAACACTATCGGGGGTAACATTGCTTTGTATAAAAATGTAAGTAAAGATAAATTTTATTTTAAGTAGAATATAAGTAGTGATGCCAGGTGTAGCGAGCCTCGACTTAATTAGTGGTTGAGCTCGTACGATTATTTAATGACGGAGACCTCGCTGTTGGTTGGTAGATAGAAACGTCAGAGATTTAGATAAAATACACGAAAGTATTATATGATTGTTAAAACTTTATTAAATCAAATAAAAATTATAATGAAAACTAACAAATTACTATGCTACTCCTACGTTACGTGCTTCTGTAAGGTCGTCAAGAAGGAAAACAGGAAAACAGAAAGACTCATGGGTGCCAAGGTATCCATGACCTCGGATAGCCAATGAGGTATTGCCTTGGACGTGCTCGCACTATCTAAGGGTTTCGTAATCCGGATGGAATTACTATATTCGTAGTCAAAGTGCTAGTCAGTGGCGTGTTGAACTAATTTTTGGTAAAGAGCAAAAATGTATATACCATAAGATACCCTTTATTCATACTAACAGCATTTCCACCACAACAAAACATTTACAATTTAAAAAAATATACGTGTATTAGATTGATCTGTATAATCAGACGTACTTAATTAATTATCTAGTAAATTTATTACACCTCATTAATTATCTTGTATCTTGATTTATGCAGTGTGTGTGAATTTTGAATTTTGGTATTGCAATTAGTTAGCACTAATTGTTTCTAATGTAACGGATCATATACAGTACATTTGTGCGTCAAATATTTACTATCGTTTATAACATTTAATATGATGTTATAATGTATCTATATTATTGTTATACTTATTGTTAAGTATTTTTTGGCAGGGGGACCCACCTACCAAACATTTCGAAGGAAAAATTGCTCCAAAATAATATCATCACCACGCCACTGGTGCTAGTAATACCTATGGGTTACTACACAGGTTAGATTAGATGAAGGTATTAATATTAGATGTTAGATTTTACAATTCAGTTTTTATAACTAAATGATATAGGCTCTATATTTAGAGAATTTAAGAACCTTGTAAACCACAACAGATCTTCTATTAATGAAAAATATTTTTATATTTACCTCTCATTTATTTATATAGGTATCTTCTATCACCATTTATTATTACCATGTATTGTTGATTCAAATATCTACAATAAAAAATATCAGAACAGTCAAATATGCAGATGATATATTAATAGACGTCAAACAATTTGCTATAAAAATATATAAGTAATGTATATAAATAAAAGCCTTACTGAAATTGGTTTTTCTCAAGAACGAGTTCAACGGAAAAAAAGATGCCAGGTGAAAATACATCCGATAAATGTGTTGCAATTCAGATGATAGTTTAGAACAAAAGTGTAGTTTGTAATTTTAGATCAAAATGTATTATGAATACTAAATAATAAAAATTTTAGATTTAATGGTCTCGGAAAATATTATACAATTTATTTCTTTTATCGTTTGATCATACCTATATTAAATGTCAATAAAGGAGTGATAGTGCCAAATAATTAATTTTTTTCACCAGTTGAATGGATACCTAATCTTAAACTTCATGAATTAAAAAATCAATATTTTTCATTTTCTTTATTTATATATATATATTTTCTTTATTTATATTTATATTTACTGTCTCCTTTAATACTTCAGGGGGGCTATTGTTCTCCAAAATACCTCTTAAATATGGTCCTGTTTAAAATATTAGTATCTTTTCAGTTTTTGATTGAACTTTTAGCTAACGATATGCTGTAATATTTGCGACACCGTATCAAATAAAACATTTCCTTTGAAGATATCTATTATAATACGGTAAACTTTTCTGATATACTATTTTAATTTTTAGAGGGGCGTTAATAAATATTTTGGTTCAAAGGACGACCACTTTAGAAAATTTAAGTTTTTAAAACTTATTATTGTTCAATTGAATCAAGTAGTATATTGCTTCAATATTAACAGATGATTCAAAAATTATAAAAATGAATTTATCTATGAATTAGGTAGTTTTAAGAATTTTGATACACATTTTTGTTTTCAATAAATAAAGCCGGTAAAAGCTTTCATAATGAGTTATAAAATAAGAAGATAAAATTAATCATCATGTTTTTTGAAAATATTTTTAAAGTAAAGACAGATAATAAAACATTCTTTAATAGTCTATGAGAAAATATATTAGTCACAAATTCGGTTATCAATTCAATAACCCAATACGTCACGAATTTATCATTATTTTGGAATTTTTCAATACTTAATCTAATCAGTGGTTTTATCAATCACTATCACATTACCAGAGAACAATATTTATGAAACATTGATGAGATCTTGTAACTCTCTCATAAACATGTAATTCATAGGACAGTTCGTATGTACTATTAAAATCGTATTCAGTTAAATTAAAGTCTTTATTATTAAATATTTTTTGTAATAAGCTCTCTTCAGTGAAACTACTTAATTTGATTTACTATTATTTTTTATAGAAAATCATAAATATTCATATTTCTAAGGTTATAAATTATAATTATTACATCACTATTTATTAAAATTATTATTTATGTAATTAAAATTTTATGATTTTTAGGCCATTTTTAAATTTTTTCTTTTTATTCATCAACTAAGCCAAAATTATGGCTTCCGTTTTATGGGTATTATGTGCAGTAGTGGTTTTTAAGATGAACTTTGTTTTAAGTGCACCACCAGCATATGTTGTTAGTACTCGACCAACAGTTCGTTTGTCAGATCAAGAATTTGAACACATTATAAAGGATGAACAACGAGATGAACAAGAAAACACACCCAAAAAACAGCAACAGTCTCCTGATGAAATATCATTAGTAAGAACATATTTAAAATACTACTATTTCTTAAAATTATTATTACATTTTATTTTAGAAATAAAAATGAATAATCAATTCCTTTTGTTTATTTTTTTAGTTATAATTTATTCATACAAATATAATATAATTTAAGTACATTTTTCTACTTAAAATTTGAATGTTAAGTATATTTTTAGATTTTTTAGTTCAAACATAATAATTCTTTTTTCATTTAGATATCTTAAAAGCAATTTTTAAAAAAATTGGGGGTGCTGAAGCCCTTCTATCTTTTTCATGTTTTTTAATGGTTATAGGCACCTACAACCTGTATAATTCAACAATTACTAAAATATTTGGTAAATACTTGAATATTTCTAAATTTAAATTGTTCACTTTGATTTTATATTTTTATTGCACGTATAACATATTACCTGTCTGTATACACTAATGTTTTATCACATGATCACTTTTAGATTCTGAGTGAAGCGAATGATCTTATGGTTTTACAATGATGTTTTAATTTTTATTAACCCTTTTTCGGACAGAAATACTGGTAAAATTAATTTTGGATTTGAAAGTGGCATATGTTAGTACTTGAGAAAGGTAATTTTTTTTTCAATCGCAATAGTTTTTCCAGGCTTGAGGAAAAACTTTTGTAAAACGGTAAAATACACTGTAAATGAGACTTTCACTTTTCAGATTTTAGTTATTTAGTCATAATTCCAAAAGTAATGTGACTAGAAACTTAAAACTTTTATCCTATACCAAAAATATTTTTTTTTCATATTTGTTAAAACGTTAAAAGCGCTTTTGGCTTAAATATAGAACTTTAAAAATACCTAAAATTTTAAAAGTCTTTATGTAATAATATTTTTATTTTTGGATATTAAGATTTGAAAATTTAATATCACTTTACTCATATCTACTTATATTACTTATCTAACAATACTGAAATAATTTTAAAAATTGTTATTCTGAATTTTATTTTATAAGCGTTTAAGTAAATTATTATACCTATGATTTTTACGGAATTTTTTTACATTAGTTTTTAACATTAGATGTTTATTAAAAAAATTTGATTCATCCAATCATAGTGAAAAACTTTGAATACAGATAAATATTTGGTTTAAAAAAAAATTTTCTTATTTTGTTCACTATATATCATGGTAATCTGTTGGTATGGCTATTGATTAAATAATTTATGTTATAATTTATGTTTGATCTATTAAAGTTAAATTGTATATAGGTTAAGGTAACTGTAACTGTAACTTTAAGTAACAGGATTACGCTGTACAATAATAATTTTGGTGATATTTTCAAACTTGAAGGACCTTCGACAATCTGATAAGAAATTTTTTTAGACTGAAAAAAACACAATTAACGGTAATGATTGATAATTTATAATAAAATGGACAATTTTTAATATTATACTTATAATTTATAAAATATATGCTACTTAATCTAGAAACAATCGATATATGCATTTATATGCTCAAAAATATCAAATATGCAAAAATATGCAAAATAAGTTTGCATATTTGCAATCAAGATTTCATGAATCAAATTTATATCATATTAGGGTATAACTCTGGTTGCGCGAAAAAAATATGCCAAGTCATAAACATTCAAGTTCTAATAATGATTAATGAGTATTGAAATGTAAATAAATATGAAAAAATTTAAGGTTGCTAATTTAAAAAATGGAGGTGCTAAGTACCCCCCCCCAATTGTGTATTTAAGTTAGGCCATGGGGGGGGAACTAATTTTTCTTCAATGCAAACTTAAAAATAATTTACATTACCTGCAGTTCATGTTCCTGTTATAATGATAACATATCATAATGATAGACTAGTAATTTATATTCTTAATTATTTATACATTATATTTTTTAAATAAATCAATGTATTATATTAAAAAAAAATACGAGCCATGGGGGGCGAATGTCCCCTTTGCCCTCCTTCTCAAATACGCCCTTGATTGTGCCTATGTGTGTATCTAAATATTAAGTTAATTAATCTATTATAAATATCTACTTATACATATACATCTATACATATATATTTATAAATACTTTTTGTAAATATCCCTGTTGAAATTAGATATTGGAAAAAATATATATATATATTTCTTTATAATGAAATTTATTTTTAGGTTGATTTAGGTATTGAATATAATCGTTATTTACGAGAAGTAGTAGAAACATTAGAAAAAGATGATGAATTCAAAAAAAAATTGGAAAATGCTAATGAAGCTGATATAAGAGTATGTATATATAATAGACTTAAAATAGTTAATTGGAAAAATAAATTTGTGGTATTTTATAGACTGGTAAAATTGCTGATGAATTAGATTATGTGGGTCACCATATTCGTTCTAAATTAGATGAACTTAAACGTCAAGAACTTAATAGATTACGGGATATTGCAAAAAAAGCATACAGTTCCTCTGATCCAGGACATGTAGATCATCAAAATCCACAGAGCTTTGAAAAAAATGATCTTCTAAAACTTATACAGCAAGTATGTTTTTTAAAAATAATTTTTATAATCAATATTAAATATTAAGCACCATGTATTTATCCATTAGGTTTTATTGTAGTTAGTTAATTCTTAAACAATTTTTATTGTAATAATAATGATGTAACTTATATAATTTTAAGTTAGATTAAATAATTCTAATAAATTCTAAATAATTTAATTCTTAAAAATAAAAAAAACATAATTAACTTATATATATATTGTTGTCACTTTGTTTTAGGTTGCCAAAGATCTTGCTAATGCAGATAAAAAGCGCAAACAAATGTTTAAAGAATATGAAATGCAAAAACATTTTGAAAGAGAACAAAAATTGAAACAAATGACTGAAGAAGAACGTCAAAAATTCTTGTTAGAAGAGACAAAATTTGAATCTGAAAGAGAAGTCAAACACAAACTTGATCCAGTATGTATCCAAAACAAAATTTACATTAAAAATAATTGAATAATAAAGAGATTTTTTACCCTTAAGATTCATCATCCTGGAAGTAAAAAGCAATTTGAAGAAGTATGGGAAAAACAAGATGAAATGGAAGGAGAGAATTTCAATCCTAGAGCATTCTTTGCTATGCATGGTATAACTCTACTGTTAAAATAATGATATTTAAATATTTCGAATTCTATATTTTTCTTTGCATTTTAAAATTATTTTCTTATTTTTATTGTGACAAGGTGTGATTAGTTATGTTAGAATTATTTAAAAATAATTTAATTAATTTTTTTATTAGATGTTGATGGTAATGGATTTTGGGATGAAGAAGAATTAAAAGCCTTGTTTGTACGAGAGCTAAATAAGCTTTATGAACAAGGTATGCCTCAAGCTGATTTAATGGAAAAAGCTGAAGAAATGGAACGCATGCGTGAACATGTTTTTAATGAAGTTGATTTAAATAGAGATCGATTAATCAGTTGGGAAGAATTTAAGCGTATGTCTGAACAACCAAATTTTGAAAAAGATGAAGGATGGAAAACAATTGATCAAAATGAAATCTATACAAATGAAGAGCTTAAACAATTTGAACAACAGAGACAGCAACAAATTGATCAAATGATAAAAAGTGGACACGTTAGTATACTTTGCTTAAATTTAACTGCAATATCTTTATTTATTTGTATTTGATAAATATATTACATATAATTTTAGATTCCTCAGTATCCTCCAGAATATTATCAACATCATCCGGTAAGTTTTCTTAGTTTAAATTTGTATAATTTTTTAAATTATATTTTTTTATTTTTTGTTACAGTAAATATCTAAACTTAAGTTTTTTTTTAATATTTATTAGAATGTATACAATCTAATAATATTTACAATAAGCATATGAGGATTCAGAGATATATTATAATGACATGAGGGGATAAGGAAAGAAGCTGCTCAGCAGTAATACTTAGATGTGATAGACATTTGTTAGACTATATAACTTACACATATATATATATATTTTTTTATTTTACTAAGTCAAATCACAACACCAGTAACTCCTAAGTCTTCTCGGTAGATTTCCAAAAATGTTTACTGAGTTTAGAGAAAAAAATAGTAGATTCGGGTGGCTTGTGAGGTGGCAGCAAAAATGTTTGTAATAGGATGTGGCCACTTCAGCAATAGTCTGTATACTAAGATCAGAGTGTAGTGTATTATTTGATATGTAAAAGAGCACATTAGTTATTACTTGGAGTGATATGGATTTGAAGGTTTGCATTTTGTAAATGATTGATTTTTTCAGATCCCCATAATTGGAGATTATAAGTTCAAATAGGCTTAAGGAGGGTTTTGTAAAGCAACAATTTTTTTATTTTAGATTGAGCTTTGACTGTTTGCCTGAAAATGGATTTAGTGACTTTAATCTTAATTTTAAGAGGACACATTTTTATTTGATATGTTCAGCCTAAGTTAAGCGTTTATCAAGGATATAGGCAGACTTTGGTTGAATTTTGGGGAGGGGGCAATAATAATTCAATGTAAAATAACACGCAGGGGTTTTACCCCACACCCCTTCCCATGCACAAGAATATATAAGAATAAGAGTATAGATATGTTTAAATTGTGCTAAAAAAACACTAAATAACATATATATAAAAATAATTAATATTTTATTTTAATGATAGATATCTATTGTATCAGCAAAGATATTCAGAATATCGCTTTTTATATTTTTCGATATATATCTTTTTCAATATATAGTATTGAAAGATCGCTGAACCTATCTTGAACCAACAATGTCCTTAGCCAAGTTTTATTTTTATTATTGCACTGAAGCTGCTTTCGCAAGTAGCCAAACTAATTGGTATTATTAATGCTATTGTAAATGGTTTTTTATTATTTCTTATATTATGATTTTAAAAAAACGAAGATAATTATAAAAATAATGAATAACATTTCTAGCGAAGTTTTGATTTTGAGGGGACTATTAAAATATTTGGGGAACTAACCCCGCCCCTCCAAAGTTTGTTTTCCAGAGAGTAAGTAATAATGATGTTGATTCGGCGATAGACTTGATGTAAAGTTAAGTTTTAAATTAATTTGACATGGATATTTTTTTAATAATGCATTTGGTTATTTTAAAACTTCATTATAGCATTTCTTATTTTAATATAAGATTGTAATTTTTATAACAAAAAAAAATTCTATAATATTGAGTAATAAATTACTATAAAATACTATTTAAAAGAAATATATTGTAATTGAAATAAAAATACTTGAATATTTTAATTGGTCAAATTTACTTAGATATATTTTTATTTTCACATAATCACCTTTGATTATGACATTACAATTTTTTTCATTGACAATAAAATTTAACAAAGCCTTGGTAGCTATTAAAAACAGATAAATATAATATAACCTTGTATTTTTATGTTTTTAACTTTGAACACACATTCTAACTTAATTAATCTTAGGCTGATATTTATATAAAAATAAATATTTTTAAGTTTTCAATTCGTAGATTGGTCTACTATAAATGTTCTCTCCATGATTTTATATCTTGTGTTTTATATTTGATATGTCATTACAAATCGACTCGTGCATTTCTAGTTACTTGACTTATATAACATGTTCTTAGCTGTAACTATTTATCTCTTCTACGCTTTTTTTCTATCATACCTTACAGTATGATGCTATGAAGTTCTTCATTGTGTCTCAGCATATGATCTATCATATGCCACCATCTTGGTCATAAATATTTTATCAAAATTATTTTCTTTTAAACTTAATCTAGCACTTCTTTATTTATTTTTATTTCCATTTTTTTCCAACACCACATTTTTAAGACTTTTAGAATAGTATCATCCTTTCTGTTCAATATCCATATGTCACTGCCCTAAATGTTATGTATATATATATATATATATATATATATGTTATGATATACTCCATATACATGTTTTAATTAAAAATTTTGTTGTTCTTAGATCTACATTTTTTTGATAGTAGTAGTTGACTCTTAAGTAAGAATGCCTATTTTGTTTGTCCTATTATATGTTTTATTTTCTTTTCTGATCTTTCATTGTTGAATATTATGTGTCCTAAATATTTAAATTAATTTACTTGGTACGAAAATAAATACATATTATCTAATTACAATATCTGTAAACATTTCATTGATATTCCATTAAGTTTAATATTTATAGTAATTATAGTATATCTCTCTCATTAAAAGATACATCAATCACTTTTAGTTAAATTGCTCTACATTAAAATTTATAAAAGTTAGTATATATCAATTGATTTAATATAATCATTTTAATGCAATTTATTTTGATAAGTATTTCAAATTACTTAAATATAGTATATGTATATACGTGTGTGGTATGTTTTTGAAAAATTGGCCATTTTAGTACAAGAAATATATTTTTATGATTTTTATGAATTGTTAAATGCAATGAAGCTAATTGCCTATTAAATAGTAAATTAACTTAAAAATTAAAAATATTTTAAAACTTTAATTTTTCTTAGTATTTCATAAAATTATCATTCATTTTCATGATTATGTAGAATATAAAAGCGCTTGAATGTTATTTAATTTTTTACAGAACATTCCAAATCCATCTTTAAATCATGGACCGGCTTATCAAGTAAATCCTAATTATCATCAGCCAGAACATATGGGATATCCTCAACAGCCACCTGTAGGTCAACCTCAACATAATCAACAGTTTGCTTATCAACAACAAATTAAACAACAACCTCAACAGCAACAGCAAAAACAGCCTCAACAGCAATACCAACAACAGTCTCAACATCAACCATATCAGCAACAGCCTCAACAACAACAACAGCATCAGCTATATCAGCAACAGCCACAACAACAACATCAGCAACAGCCACAACAAGAACATCAGCAACAGCCACAACAACAACAATCTAAGGAGCCTCAAGTTCAACAGGAAGGTCAACAACCACCACTTCAACAATATGCTCCCGGGCAACAGCAGTATCAAGCTGTAAATAGTAATTCCATAAAAACACAAAATACAGTTCGATTGAATGATGTGAATTCTAATCAAATAGTAAAAAACCAAAAAGAAAATATTGGAAAAAGTGGGCAAATAACTAAAAATCTATAAAAAATACAAGAGCAGATGATCAAAAAAATACAAAAACTATATTTACACAAATTCCATTTTATACAATTATTTTTATAACTTACTCATTTTGACTTTTATCTTTAATATATTAGTGATTTTTTTTTTCATTTATTGTTTTATTTTTTAAAATTAATCAGTACCCAAAAAATACTATAAAATATTTTATGTTATAATATAAATGCCAAAGAAAACATATTTTACATTATTCTTTTATGTATCATGAACAGTATATAATCGCTTAAAATAGTTTAGTTATCACTGAGATAATTCGCAAATATTTAAATTTCTATTTATTGTTATAAAATATCATACTTCAGTAATTTTTAATTGTGTTTTAAAAATCAACACGGTTTAATCTATTTAAATTTTAAGAGAAGCTTATAAATTATTTAATTTTAAGCAGATTACTACTGAAATTGTCTGATATTATTTACTTTATTAATACCCGAATTCCTTGATTATATCATACCTTAAATCGAAACACTTAGTGTATAATTTAATGGTTATGTCATAATTCTTTATGAAAAAAAAAAAAAATTTAATGCAAGTGATTTGTAATTATGTTTTATTAGTTAAAATAACATTTCAAAGAATAATTAAATTACTACAGTGTATTATATTATTATGTAATAATATTATAATATTGTAGTATTACATTATAAGTAATAAATTGATTTATTATTGAGGTACAATATTATAGTCTAATATTTTTAGTTTTTTAATTAAAAATACCTTAATGTTTTTCATAAACATTTTAATATGTTAAACATGTTAAATTTTGTACTAAGAAATCTGGCAATTAATATCTGTTTCTATTGTACTATTATACTGAGATATATATTTTAAACAGCCTTATTTGGTACTAAAAAATTAATATGTGCATAGGCGGAAATCAGGGGGGCTTGAGGGGACTAAGCCCTCTCAGAAATTTTAAGTACAGGTCTAAGCCCCCTAGCCCTAAAAATTGTTAAGTGACTAAAAATACAATAATTATTATAATTGTAAAATGCATTTTTAATAACTGAATTAAAAAAAATATTCTGTGATAAAAATTAAATCAAATTCGTAAGATTTTTCAAACTTATTGCCTTGGAGCGATCGTAATTAATGTAATATTAATAATATGTAATAATACCATCATTGATTGTTTAATTTAATTAATTATTTATTTCTGTTTGGAGAATACCTGCTCCAAAAATGTGTAAGATAGGTAAGCAGTGACTGTGCTAGAGTTTGCGAGGCCCTGGGCAAAATAAATGTTGGATCTTATAATTTATATTAATAAAATACTTAAGTTCAGTTAAATAAGAACCGCGGGGCCTTAATTATAATTTAAGGCGCGGGGCCGTGGGCAACTGCTCCTATTGCCCACCCCCTCTCGCCGTCCCTGAAGATAAGGCATCTAATTGTTTTTTGGTTAAATTGTTGAGCAAGTCAAATTGTCAAATTTTATAAATTGAGTAGTTGAAATAAATAATTGCGTACAGGGGTACCTATAGGTGTAATAAGCAAATAATGCTCAGCCCCTCCATTAATTTCACCAAATTTCCGCTTATGGATATGTGTAAGGAATCATTATAATTTTAGTTTCTTGTCCATCAAATCCTAGAAATCAGTTATTTTTATCACAGATTTCATGAATTGTTTAATGTCTATGTCTAATAACCTTTCATTTTGTAATATAGTATTTAATTTTAAGTATAACGCTTAAATATAACACTTAATTATTAATCAATGGTTGATATTTTTTCATTGACAAATCATTCAAGATAGTTGATGAATATATTAGTCGATTTTGACCCTTGATGATTAACATAATTGGATTCCAATAAATTTATTTTCAATAAATCCGTTCTTAAATGCATATTATTATCCTTCAAAAAAAGACCTCGCGTTCCAACTGTATGTCATATTGAATCGCGCAAAAAATTGAGCCATCAATACACAATATTATTACCGCATATGATTTAACTGTTATTATTATAACTAATTTTATTTATAAAATATAATTTAGCAATATTAAAAAATGAATTACATCATGCCAATTATCATACAAGGATATGCGCGTATAAGAATGTATAGGCAATACGCTATACCTATAATATGTGTTGCATAAGCATAGCCTGGTGTAACTAGTTTTGGAAATGGTAATTTTATTATGTATTATTTATCTGATGTAAATAATTAATGAGCTAACGATTTATAACGTTTTGTTTAAAATTCGAGTATAAAATGTAACTAGATATCTAAAAATAAATATAACAATATACCTACATCATAATCTACGTAAGCATAAATTGCATAATGATAAAAGATACATATCATTTCCTGGTTTTGATAAGGTTTTAATTTTTCTTGTGCTGTTTGTTATGAATAACCAAAGTTCGAATAGCCCTACTTAAACCTCAAGGTAATGTTGAAATCATCTGGCAAACAGGCAAATATTGTTGTTTTTGTGTTCATATTTAACAGTGACTCAGTAGAGTTCAGGACGTTCAATAATCATCTTCATAAAAATGATTACAGTTAACCAGGTAAACGTAGTTATTTTTTTATACAGTTTATCAAATTTTAACTTGTTTTTAATTTTAAATATATTTTAGGTATTTCGTAATGTGTGTCGAACTTCCAGATGCATTATTGCAAATAGGAAGTATAGTGAACAATCTCAAGAAACACCCTTTAGTCTAGGTTGGTTTTAATATTTATAATATATAAATATATGAATAAATGATTGTATATTTAATTATTTGTTCCAGAACTATCTGATACACAAAAAGAATTCCGTGACCTTGCAAGAAAATTTGCTCGAGAAGAAATTGTACCAGTTGCTGCTGAATATGACAGAACTGGTGAATATCCCTGGGATATAATCAAAAAAGCACATTCTGTTGGACTTCTCAACGGCCATATTCCTGAACATTGTGGTATGTTTTATAGATAAATAAAAGTATTGAAGATAGCATTTTAAGTTCAACATAATTGGAATAAAATCTTACTTATTTTCATTCCAAATTTACAAATATAAATTTTAATTAAATCATATTTCTATATATATATATATATATTCTTGAAACATTTTAGGCTGTAACATTACAGCAATGTAATAAAATACTCAGTGTCAGATCTAGGAAATTTGATGTCCAAAGCTAATAAAAATGCAGCGCCTTTACATGGGTAAAAGACCATGGTATGTTCAGGATTATTTTTATTTTTTATAAACTTAAAAGTTCCCTTATACCAACAGTGCTTGGGGTAAGCATTCCCACTGCCCCTCCTCCCTAAATCCAGCACTGAAGATACCTATAGCAATTAAGGGTTATCTAACTAAAAAAATATATTAAATGTAAGTATTTATAATCAAGTAAAAAATGTAATTAATATTAAATCATAAATTAAATTTAAAATCTAATAAATATTTTTAAATAATAATCATTCATTCACAAAAATATTAAATTGTATTGCAGGAAAATAAGTTTATTATGCAATATTGCATAATAATAAATCAACATTAATTATCATAGAGGTACTATTAACAAATGTAGATATTATTATAGTCACAAGATTAATTTAATATAATGTTTATAGAAATTAATATAACCTTCTATTAAACCAAAGTTTAAACATATTCTTACACTTATAACCATTCAACCAACTTCTTCAATCTTAATATAAACTATGAACTCTAATCATTAAGTATAATAATTTCAAATAACATTGACAGGTTTAATAAGAACTAAAATTAATCAATATAGGTTTATTAAAATATTTCGATTTATGTAACTGCTCTTTAGCTTTTGTGATAAATTCATAACACAATTTTTGATAGTTCAATGGTAAATATACTTTATTCCTGTAGTGCAAAGAACTTAATTTGGGACAAGGGCATATTTGAGAGGGAGGGCGAAGGGGACATTCGCCCCTCCATGACTCGTATTTTTTTTTAATATAATATATTGATTTATTTAAAAAATATAATGTATAAATAATTAAGAATATAAATTACTAGTTTATCATTATAATATGATAATAAATTCAATAAGTCAATATGATCATGGGTATCAATTTTTGTTTATCTTCATGTATCATAAAATTTTTGGTTGTGGAATGAATAGTGTTATTATCTTCTACAAATATTGCTACGGTTATAGACATTTACAACCATAATGGAGGTATTTATCAGATAATATTAAGTAATTTAAAGTAACACTTTTACCACATATTTACTAGTTGGTCATTTTTTGGTTCATTTATGCATATTGTATATTTTTGTATTTATTAGAGCTATATAAGTCCTTAATAATTTTACTCGCCTATTTTTTTTTTTTACAACATAATATCTGGTACTTTTTATTGTGCTTAGGTATTTAGTTATTTTTTTGTGCACAAATTCATGCATATTTGTGTATTTTATAGAGCTTGAAGCAAGGGCGTATACAAGAGGGGGATGTGGGATCAGATCCCTCCTTATAGGCCTTTTTAAAATTGTATAAAATAATAATAATAATAATAATAATAATATTTATTAAAATAAATAAATATTTTAACATCCCAAAAGGTGAGAGTACAGTGTAACTAAATATCGCTAAATTAACAATTAAGACAAATTGTGTAAAATTAAATCAAATTAAACATCAATGTTTAAATTATTAATACAATTTTTTAACTTAGTTAAGGAGTCGAAAAAAAAATCAAAATTATGAATTAAATTACTTGATGTTGGTAGGCGGCACATCGGACTATTAGTAAAGTAATTATTTTTAGAATGAGGAATAGAAAATGAAGGATTAAATCTTGAATTATAAGAGGGTACTTTGAGGTCATTTTTTTGTAATAATTCAGGGTAATCGATTATACCATTCAGGATTTTATACATAAATGTGATATCATTTACTAATCTTCTTGTTTTAAGTGACTTTAAATTTTTAGAGTTCGCTATTTCAAAGGTGTTATTATACGAGTACTTAGTTTTAAAAGCGTAAAAACGTAAACATTTTTTTGTATTTTTCTAATTTCTTAACTAAACCAGATTGATTAGTATTCCATAGAACTGTCCCATATTCAAATAAAGATCTTACTAACGAACAATATAAAATTTTCATACATATCGGATCATTGAAATTAGAGCAGGTGCGTTTAATAAACCCAAGAACACGAAGACTTTTTCCATATGTAAAATTAATATGGGCATTAAAAGACAAATCAGCTGATAGGATAATACCTAGATTGCGAACTTGATTGACAGAGTTAAGAGCTGTCCCGTTAATAAAATATTGACAATTTATACTAGATTTAAAACGGATAAATGAGATGCAAACACATTTAAAAATATTCAGAACCATGCCATTCGATGTGCACCAACTAGAAAACAAATCTAAATTATCTTGTAGGGAAATCGTATCACTAGAAGAATATATAGGCATATATAACTTCATGTCATCAGCAAATAGTAAAAATGTACATGCTTTAAAACAATTATTTAGGTCATTTATAAACAAAATAAAAAGCGAAGGTGATAAATGACCACCCTGCGGAACTCCAGACTTTAATTGTTTTGGAAAATGAGTTTTGGATTTTAACTAATTGAGAACGACCTCTTAAGTATGAAGAGAACCAAGATAATAGTGGATCTCTTACACCCATTTTACCTAATTTTGCTAGAAGGCCGTGGTCTACCTTGTCTTAAGCCTTATGGAGGTCTGTGTAAATAGCATCTACTTGACCACCTAATGAAACGATATCAATGAAATATGAATAAAATACCAGAGTATTTGTTACTGTAGATTTAGCGTGACGAAAACTATGTTGTTCACTAATAAGAACATTAGTAAATAAATGCATCAATTTAGGTTCGATGATTTTTTCAAAGAGTTTAGGGATAATGTTCATTTTTTAAATTGGCCTATAGTTTGTGACCAACGATCTATCACCAGATTTCCAAACCGGTGTAACAAAACTAATTTTCCAAGCTTAGGGAAATGTTCCAGACTTTAAAGAAAGATTAAATAAGTGGTGTTTAGGTTAAGTTAATGCCCAGCGGCAATTATAAAGCAAAATAGGTGGAGTAGAATCAGGGCCAGATGAAGAGGCGCATTTTAACGAAGCTAGGGAATCAAAGACTTCTCTGATAGTACCCAAAAGTTTAGCATTTGATACTAAGACAGGGTTAGGTAAATCCTTGAAGATTTCATTAACGAAACTAGTGGTTTCAAGAGATATTTCAGTATCAGAATTAGACACATTGAAAATAATCAAATTTTTTTTTTTTTTTTTAATTTGTCATAAGATTGTACTAAATCGACATTAGATGACTGAGAGTGTTCAAGCTGAGTTATTTTACTACGTAATAATTGGATCTCAGAGGAGAGACTCATTAACTTTTTTGACTTTAGAAAGTTCAGAGAATAACAATGAATTATTAAAATTATTAAAATCATTAAAACTAGACTCGATGTTTGTTAGTTTAATATTGATATTATTAAAGTTAGAATCATGAGTATTTACATTATCATTGATATCTGTAATACAGACCAGATAGTTTCCAAAGTAATAGGTTTATTGACGTTTTTGGACAAGGTCTTCTTAATCGGTGTATCAGTTTTTGGTTTATGTGAATTGGCCATAATAACAATGTTGAGGTGAATGACAGATATAAATATAAAGAAACAATAAGCGATAACTTAAGGAAAGCTAGCACGTGCGGGTCATTAATTTTAACCAGAAAGATAAGAGAGCGGTAAGGGAGGAACGCACGTCTTAACCGTATATAATACTGAACTGAACTGTGATATTAATAAGAAATAAGAAATAGTGTTCTTTATGTAAGGAAATTATAAGGAAACAAAATAATATTGCAAGGATTAATTGTAAACAGTGCCGGATTAACAAATTTAACGCATGGGGGCAAATTTTAAAATTCAGCCCTTTAACCCCCTCTACAAACCAAAATATATATAGTACATGTGTGTATATATATATATATGTATACAACCAGTGGCGTGCCGAGATAAACATTTTTTTGATGCCAATTGCAAAGTCTAGTTTACCACCCACTCACCCATATTTAAATTCATCTCATTCAGAACTCATAAATCAATATTTCTCTACCTAAATAAATACGATAATTATGTGATTTACATATTATTATCCAACAACCGCCCACCCCTTTTTAACTTGATGCCTGGGATTCATTTAGACCTATATTCGGCACGCCATTGTATACAACAAGTAACAGCATAGTTAAGATTGTTTAATTAATTTATATTTATAAAAATATTTTAACACCGGTAGTTTTTATATTTATAGACCTTGGTAGGTACCAAATATAAACATTTTATTACAAATTTATTCAATATAAAACATTTACAACTATTTTTTAGCTTTCTGTGCACCAAACTCATTAATAATATCATTCCAACCTATACTTTTTAGGAAAATGTTTACAATAGATAATAAAGTCAACTATGACATATTTTCATTAGATAATTATGTTTTCTGGAAGTTCTTGACTCTTTTTAAAACTGAAAAGGGTCTTTCCCTGTTAGCATTTGAACATAGTACAAATATAAAAAGTTTTAAAGCTATTTCCACAATAGGAAATGAATCGTTTAACTTTGATACTGTTAATATTTTAAGAAAACTATGCATAGATAATTTTTCATCTTCTGAAAAATAATTCATTATTGTTTTGAATTATATAATCTCATTCTTAATTTCCGGTTATAAACACTGTAAATATTTACTAATTGCTTTGATTTTTCTCGTAAAATATCATCGTCAATTTCTTCCACATTAAAAAAAAAACCCAAACAACTCATTTATTTCAGTATATGCATTTGTATGCGCTTTCCACTTATATTGATTGAAAAAAAAATATTAGGCACGTGTTTTCCAGTCAATCGTGATTCGAGAATCAAACTCGATAATGACGACAACCATGACCACGAGACTCGAGAGAAAGAGATAACAAAAACAATTGCTTGGTAGTGTGTAAATAAATTATTTGTAACTATTAATATCAAATTTAATAATCTGATGGTTATGAATTATAATACACACATAGAGATATATAAGAAATACAATAAACACAATTTTATGTCAGTGTAACGAAAATAAAAATGCTTAGGTCCGAACGCTAAATAATAATAATATGGTTTTACCCTTAATATGCTAAACGCCCACAGACGAAATAACTCAGCGGTTTAATAAAATATAATTATTATTAATATTTTTCAATAATAAATTAATAATTTTTCCTAAAAACTAGTATATACATTAGAAAATTTCAAAACTTTTGTTGACGCCGTCAAAAAATTTCCGCCTGGGGCAGTTGCCCTCTTTGTTCCCCCCCCCCCCATTATCCGGTACTGATTGTAAATTAGGTATAATACATTTAATTATTTATGTCTAATTATGATTTACTCCACTGGTAATTTAAGTGTATTTGGGAGGAGTAACCCCGGATTAATGGGGGGGGGGCAGAAGGAGCCATGACCCTAGGCCCACAACGGATATCAAACACTAGTTGAACCCTAGCGGACCGTAGGTTTTTTCGTTTTTTAACTTTTTTTTAGCTCGTATAAAAAACAAGTATAGAACGAGCAGTTCTCAAGAAAATTTAAATAGTTTTGATTTTGTGTTCAGAAAGTGATGTTTTGGAGGTAATTAATAATGATGATATAATTAAAAAGTTTGCTTCCCAAAAAGCAAGAAATAAAGTTAGAATATAATTTTTTTTGTCCTTAAAATATATTTATGTGTGGGTCACTAATATTTTGATTATAGTTATGGGCTCCTAAAATTGTTTGGCCTCGGGCCCCAAATTATTGTAATCTGGGCTTGTGGAGGAGTTAGGTTAGAAACTTACTATAAGAAATTCCAAACAACTTCTAAAATTTATGTTATAAATAATAAATTAATAGTTAATAGTTTTATATTGTTTTGAAATAAATTGGGTATCATTCTTAAGAAATCAATTTTGAAGATACATTTTTTAAAAATCTACAATTTATACAGTTCTTAAAAGTCAATTAAAATAATTATTGCCAATCATAATAATATATTTAATACATATTTTATACATAGAAAAATTATAAAAGTATTGACAATATTTTTCAAAAAGTTTAGTAAAAAAAAAAAAGAAACCAGTCAACTTCTTCAAGTGGAGTTTGAATTATACATTATATAACAATAAAATATTTCATAACTATATTAAACAAGTTTGTTATAACCAATACCAACTCCAGTTACTAAAATTTTGGAATCATAGCCTTGGCGTAAATCTTCATTTTCAGAATCAATGTAAGGTTCTAATTTAAATGAAATACCAAAGAATTCTTTTAAATGCCTTAAAAATTGTATTCTGAAAAAAAGTGTATATTAGAGAAGTTAAAAACACACTGTATAAAATTGTATGATTTATTAGTATAAAAAAACTTTTTCTTACGTATATGGTGATAACGGTCCCAACAAGACATGAGATACATCTTTTTGTCTAAGAGCCATGTAGAGAAGGACTATCGATTGGAAAGATGAATCTACACAACCTCCACGCCAAATCTCTTCTAAAATAGCCGATGCTACACTATCTGCTACCTCTTCGGCTGTTGTTCTTTGACCAGTGAATGGTAATGATACACTGTCAGCAGTTAACATTACGCCAGTAGTTGTTAATGCAATAATATTTGCACCAAAACCCGGTGATTTTCCGCAAAGTTTGCCTTTAGGATGATCAACCGTAAAATATACATCGGGAATAAATTTAAGCATAACAGCTTTAGCTTTTTCTACCATACGGTTAGAAATGGATGGTGATACTCTTAATGAAAAAACTGTTCCTCTTATTTTTTTTATTTTTCCAAAATCAGTTAGCTGTATGCCAAATATAAAACAGGGAATAAAATACAATTAATTAATATAATTAAAAATAATATTAATCTTACTTGAATTGGTTTAGTATATTTAACCGGCTCACAAGAAAAATATATTTCTCCCCCACCATCTGGTTCCATACCTCGTTTTTTAATTTCCATAGTGGCATCAGTAGCTAATAACAATATCCTTTGTAAAATTGGTAATGCTCCAGCCTTAAAAGCATCCACTGATGGATCTTTCTATTAACATTTTTCCATACAATTTTATTGATAAACTTATTAAATTTAATTATAATTTACTTGATTATTAGTAACTCCTTTAAGTGTTATTTGAAGTCCTTTTTTACAATATGGTGCAATCATGATAATTAATTCCAAATAATACCCTATGCCGCGCAATTTACAACATTCATGATCTACTATACCACCTATAAGTAAACCGGGTTGAAAATATAAGTCAGTACCCGTTTCATTAACATCCAAATTGGTACCATTCGTTAATTTATCGACCAAACGCAAGAAATTAACTTCAAATTCTAAAATAATGAATAAAAATATTTAATTCGTAGAAATGTTTAAATATTTTAATTTTACCTTTAAGCCCTGGTTCATTTTCCTGTGATCGAATATTTTTTATTTTAACTGGTTTACCACTTAAAAGTGATAATATTATTCTTATACGAAAATTACTGCAGCCTTCATAAATCATAATTTATTTTTTTTAAATTTGAATTATCTAAAACTTTAAATTTCAATTACAATGCTCAATTACCTTTAATCGATTATGTTAGTAAACAATAAATGTGAAGAACATTTTAGTCATGTGCATTTGTTATGTTATTGCTCTTATCTCTTTTGTAAAAAGATAAGACGGTGGTGCTGCCAACGTACTCTAAAAATTAAATACATCAAAGCCATGTCCATAGAAAGTGTTCCAAATTCAAAATTTTATTTCGGTACTACTATTTATTAATTTCTGCTATTTTAATTGTTTATGACCTTCTGGGTAACATTCAGCGACAACTCGATTATAATTTAAATTAAACGGATCTGTTATATTAGAACTAGAAGAATTTCAATATGAACTCCTTAAATTATGTGAGGTCAGTTGACACACCATACAGCTTCAATTAATAGATACTATTTAACTTAATCTTATACCCAGGGTGTATTTTGGAAATATTTTTGTAGGATTAATATTCATATTTTATTAGTGCATATATCCATACATAATATGTATACATATATATTATATTTATCAATACACTGTATGTATATGGTAATATGGAATAAAATTGGTTTGTACCTTAGATAATATACGTATGCATATATTAATTCCATTTTCCATAATCCTAGCATAATATTAAAAAAAAAAAAAATGTTTGAAATTTACTTGATACTAAAATTTTAATCCATAATGTTTTAAGATTTGTAACAATTGTATTTTTTATGAATAAATAATACAAGTAAATATATAAATTAGTTAACTGTTGAAAAAAATTTAGAATACTAGATTGTTTTATGTAGATACTTATTGAATACCTACTTATAAATCATTGTTATCTAATCATTACTCATAACTATACCTAGTAAGTAATATAATAATTAAGTTAACCATATATTCTTGCATAAATATTTAAAATATTAATTAAAAATGTCTACTTTTATATGTATCTTTTGTCTATCTAAACCTAAATGAAAATATTTATATGTTTATCTTGATACTAATTTAAGGCATACACTATATGGGAAATATAATTTGTATTTGATGTGTTTTATTTCACAGTTCTAAGTAATTTAAATACAAATTAACGGTAACCAGTGGCGTAGATACAATTTTTTTCTGAGGGGGGGTTGTTTAAGAGTAAGCTTTTAAGTGTTCTTTGTATATCTTAAAACGAGGTCATATGTAATAATATTACATTTAAAATGGTATTATTATTATGTCCCGTATTTAATGAAAATTATTTTGTTACTCAATTTTTAATATATACCTAATCATAGTAAAATCAAAATATTTTACTATATTATGTAAATATTAATAAATAATAATCAAATATCAATAAAAAAAATTTGTGTGGGGAGGGTGGAAACCCTTTACACCCTCCCCGTAACTACGCCACTGACGGTAACTGATTTATGAACTATTTATAATTTTCTTTAAATGAATGAAAGTGATGTATTTTAAAATGTTGGCTGTATATTTCATAGTTACTAACCTCCAATATTTTTTAAGGTGGTATGAATATGTCTGTAATGGATGGGTGCTTAGTAGCTGAAGAACTGGGTTATGGCTGCACAGGAATTAAAACTGCTCTAGAAGCGAGTGGTTTAGGTGTAAGAAACATTGCACTTTTATATTTTTAGAATAAGTTGTTGCGTTATATTCTTATTTTCTTTTGCATTTAATAATAAAATATTATTTCTTAGCAAATGCCTGTTATAATTGGTGGAAATAAAGAACAACAAAAAAAATATCTTGGGAGATTAATTGATGAGCCTTTGGTTGCTGTAAGTTTACTTTAAGTGGTTATTATTTTTTAAGAATTATATGCAAATACATAATTTGAAATATTTACAGGCTTATGGTGTAACAGAACCAGGTGCTGGTTCAGATGTTAATGCTTTAAAAACAAAAGCCGTAAAAAAAGGTGATGAATATATCATCAATGGTCAGAAAATGTGGATAACCAATGGTGGTGTAGCCAATTGGTACTTTGTGTTAGCGCGAACTGATCTCGACCCTAAAGCACCAGCGAGTAAAGCGTTCACTGGCTTTATTGTTGATGCGGATACACCAGGACTTACTCCTGGACGAAAAGTAAACTTAAAATTATTTTATTTAACCATAGAATATAATTTATAATTATTCTATCATAACATCAGGAATTAAATATGGGTCAAAAAGCTTCAGATACTAGGGGAATAACATTTGAAGATGTCCGTGTACCAAAAGAAAATGTTTTAACTGGTGAAGGTCAAGGATTTAAAATTGCCATGTTAACATTTGATAAAACTAGACCACCAGTTGCTGCAGGAGCTGTTGGCCTTGCTCAACGGGCAATGGATGAAGCTGCCAAATATTCTCTAGAAAGAAAAGCATTTGGAGTTCCTATTGCTCATCACCAGGTAAATTAATTAATTTGGTATTAAAATGTTTAAACTTTAATTTGCCTAAGTAAGGTCTAATCTTTTATTGCACAGGCTGTTGCTTTTATGTTGGCTGATATGGCTATTGGTATTGAAGCTGCTCGTCTTACATACATGAAAGCAGCTTTTGAAGTTGATCAAGGACGACGCAATTCATATTATGCATCTATATCCAAAGCCTATGCTGCAGATGTTGCAAATAAATGTGCCACTGATGCTGTACAAGTATGTATTATATATTAATAATCTCAATATCAGTTAATATTATCTATAACATAAATTAATGATTTTAGATTTTTGGTGGAAACGGTTTCAATACAGAATATCCTGTTGAAAAATTAATGAGAGATGCTAAAATATATCAAATTTATGAAGGCACTGCACAAATTCAACGAATGATCATTTCAAGAGCTATAATTGATAATGCCAAACAAAATATGTAAAAAAAAAAAAATCCCAGAATGATTTATTTTTAAAATACAGAATATTTATTTATAAATTTTAACAAGGTATGGTATTTATACGTTTTAATATGAAATTTTGTGATATAATCATTATAAATAAAAATATTTATTTTTGTTATCATTAATCAGTCCTATGTAGGTCATGTTTACAAAACTAATACTATAGTTAAAATAATATTGATTATTTTTTATTTTCCTCCATTTTACATTTGATCATTTAAATTTTACAGTTTTCGATACTCAAAATTTCCAGTATAATATTTAAACATAACTAAATTTATATGAATGTAGCAATAAGAAAATAAGTGCAAATGATATATACTAATTTGTTAGTTATTTACAATATTAAATATATCAAATTTTTCAAAATCAAAATAGTTTACAACAAAAACTATTCAGAAAATGTACAACTAAAAGTAAACTATATTAATAAAATATCTAGGAATACTTAGGAAATATTTAGGAATCATACTTAAAAGTAATTCATCATTAAACTCTTATTCTTCTTTGAGCATTTCACAAATAATATTATTTAAAATTAATTGTCGTTGCATCATGATAAAAATATTTGTAAAATAAATTTAAAAAACAACGTAGGTACTAGATTATTGTTGCAAGCACTATGATAGAATTTTAGTCAACGCTATTTGATCGAAAAAACAAAAACAACTACGTCAAGACGCATGCAGAGAAAATAGACGTTGTGCCTAGACTCAGACAAATTCTGCGTTTGGACACTGCAGAGAGAAAACATACCCATAGATATTTTGTAAATAAATGAAAATGAAATTATTACAAATAGACAGTAAATAGTAGTAGCTCATTGGTATTATTTTTTATTATTGTTTTAATATAATGTAAAATAAGTTATTCAATATTGAGAGGAATGACGAGTTCTGGACAGATGTAGAAGCAAAAAGAATAAAATTTACATTGAAAATTATTAATTCGTGGATTTTTAAATATAAATATATTTATTTTTTTATTCTAAAATGTATATAATAATCAAAGTTTTTAATTCATTGTTATTAGTTTTATTTATGTTACGAGTAAATTGTCGATTACGTCGGTAATAATGTAATAAAATATGTATGGTATATAGGGGCTTTAATTGGAAAAACTGGTGGTTCTACCCTAGGGTGACCATACGTCCCTTATAAAACGTGATTGTTCTTTTTTTTTTTTCATTAAGTCATGTTGACCCGACAAATTTTGAACGGAACACTTTTTATCCCGTTTTTAGAATAGGATCCCGTTTTAATCCCGTTATTTCCATAAAAATTGTAAACAGAGAGTAAAAGAAAAAAAATCTATGTATAAAACTAAATAGTTGCATGCTCAAATAAATTGATACTTAAGGGGATTCGATCCGGATTACGTTTTCTATCAAAATATACCTATATTCTGCCAATTGTACTGAACTGCCCAATGATCGGATAAGACTCATACAAACATATTTGAATTCGTCATGAAGTTGACTTGAAAACGACTTTTATACTTTTTTGAATTATTATTTTTATACCCTTAAAAAATTGATTTTAAAATCTAAAATAATAATAAATTTATAATGTAAATAATATGAAATTGATAAAATAATTTGAAAATGTAAAAAGGTCGATTTCAAGTAAACTTCATGACTAATTCAAATATGTTTTTAGATGTTTTATCCGATGACCAAGGAAACCAGTATGATTGGCAAAAAATTGATTCTTTTCGAAAAAAATAGAACTCGATCATTTTCCTCGCAACAGTGTTAGTGCATGCGCGTGTGGAAGTAACCCTCTTCTGCTAATCGTTGCCGCGCCGGCGCGGCGCCGCTAATTATATTGCCAATCTGTTTATTTTATATTATATTATACCCAAATGAAATTGGGCTAAATATTGCAATTCAAAAGCCTATAAATAAACTCTCAATGATAAGACATAGGTAATTTTATAAATGAAAATGTTAGAAATCAGCTATAGTATCAGCTCATTCGTATTTGATTTATAATACAACTTATATATAAAAATAAAATATAAATTCTGTGATATCTACATTATGCAGAACGTTTTGCCAAAAAAACGTCGCAAAAAATATCTGATAAAAAAACATCGAAGAAATTTTAATGCACTTAAAAAATGGTGAGAAAATCGTACAACTGACATGGTAAATCAAAATAGCTATATATTAATTATGATGTGTATGCTATTTATGTGATAGCTATTTTTAATTTATTAAATATTTATTATATAGACGGACAGAAATGTTTCTGCATTGGAGAATGAACCTGGTTATGGAACTAATACTTCAATGTAAGTCAATACATTTGTTTAGAGTTTTGAAGAACGATTTGTGCGGATAATCAAACTATGTTTAAAAATATATAATGAATAAGCATTTAAATGTTTTATATAATTCTTAAAAATAAAACTTATGTGTTATATTTATAATCTATGGTATGTATAATCAGCGGCGCACGCAGGGGGGGGGTTCAAGGGTTTGTAACTGCCTCTCGAAATTTTCTCCTATGTCTAAGTTAAAATTTATAACCTATAATGTATTTAATTATAAGATCAATTCTTATGTATACTTAAAATGAAAATTTGAAATTTTTATTGATAGCTTATATCACACATTTGCAATAGAACGTATAATTCAAAAGATGTCTACTTTTTGTGAGATATTAATATATATATATAGTATAATGTTTTATTAGCTTATTTTCGTAGTATGTCGGTATACACATATACTCATATTATCTATCTATTCGTGGCTTGACCGAAGACTTCCACTCAGAACAGACTTATAACTTATAATTATAATCTTATATACATTTAATTAAATTTTAAAACGTAAATGATAATTAATTTTTAATTTTATTATTGATGACTTTATTTATAATAAAATGTCGATTACGTCGGCAATAGTATTAGTAGTAAAAACGGACTATTATTGGAAAACTGGTTCTGCCGCCGCGCCGATGCATTGGTGATTAGCAACACGAGATTAATATGGCCCGGCATGACATATTGAAAGAGGGTATTGGCGGGGTAATTCACACACACGTGTGACAAATTGCCTATATTCAACCCCTTAAAAACTACACAGATCGAATTCCCTTAACTTTTGCCCGCAAAACATCTCGTTATGTTGTACGCGGACCTAACGACACCGTAAATTCGATAATCAAAAAAAAAGAAATTTCAAAAAAAAAAACACATACCACACCACTGCCGTGTTGCCGACAGCGTTACGCGCGTACGTATTTCTATGATTATCATTACTATTTTTTCTTTCGTATATATATATATATACGCCCGTGCGAGCGGCCTTATACGTACATTTGTCGGAGAAATCATTACCGACGAAAAACAAATCTTTAAACCGGATGCATGTTGTCGTTTCTGCGTTCGGGGTTTTTTTTTCCTTTCTTCTGACTCATGGCTATTATATTGATCAGCGTTTCCCAACTTCTTTTACTTGTGGAACCCTTGCAGGAGCTTAAACATTTTGAGGAACCCCCATATTTTTTCTATAATAGTATTGCAGACATATCTTGTGTACACTGAAATGAGTGGGTTCTTGGACACTTCCGGCATAAAAGTGTCATTAATAAAATTAAAAAAAAAAACATAGTTAAGACGGTTTTAACATTTTATTTTGCTTATAACTATTACAGTATTATAAAATATAAATGATCATATCAAAGCTTAAAATTTAATATTTGTCTCTTATTACTCTAAAATAGATTTAATGAGAAGATTGGAATCTTTCTACAGTTTTCTTCATAATTGTTTTTAAATCTGGAGTTATTCCTGAAAGTTGGATTCGTAGGTCCGGAGCCGCGTTCAGTTGATTTCGAAACTTATTCTTGGTCTTTGTATACGCTGAAAAGCCAGTTTCACACAAGTAGGAAGTTGTAAACGGCAATAAAACGGTGATAGCCTTTATGGACAATTGTTCGTAATCACTTTCCATGGCGATCCAGAACTCCTCAATTGTAAGTGACTCGAACTTGATTTTTAATTCAGATGAAGATTTTACTTCAAGCAAATTTTCGTATTCAATGGATGATAGTTCTTTTGGCTTTTTCTGAATTAAAAATGGATTTTGTACCCACAAATTATCAGAATCTTCGTTTATTCTTGGAAAGTGGGAAAGTAATCCGGATTTTAAATTGATTAAATGGTCTTTTATTTCTTCTGTATTTATCGGTGTCACTGAGCTCTCATTTTCATATAAGAATTTATTCAAGTTGGAGAAACATGAAAAATCATTTTCTTGTACACATTCGACCCAAAAATCCAACTTGCCAATGAGAACTTTAATCTTGTCATTGGCTTGAAAGATCGAAGTTTCTTTTCCTTGTAAACCCAAGTTTGTTTCGTTTAACTTGTTGAAAATATCAGAGAGATAAGCTAACTTTATGAGCCAATTCTCATCATGAAACCCTTCAAAAAGATTTGTTTTCGTATGCTCCTTCAGAAAAATTTTTACCTCATCTCGCATTTCAAAAAGTCTTGTTAAAACTTTGCCTCTGGACAACCACCTGATTTCTGTACGTAAAAGAAGATTCTGATGGTCACTTCCCATTTCCTCACAGAGCTTCTTGAACAGCCTTGTTTTTAAGGGGCGTGATTTTATAAAGTTCACACACTGATCAGCTACGTCTAGTACTGATTTAAGATTTGGCGAAAGTTTCTTGATTGCTAACGCATGGCGATGTAAAACACAGTGGCTGTTATTACATTTTGGAGCTACCTCTTTAATTCTGGTTATTACACCTTTTATTATCCCAACCATTGCAGCAGCACCATCCGTGCATACGTCCACACATTTTTGCCATGATATTTTTTTTTTTCACTGAGTACTTATTTAAAACATCAAAAATTTCCTCTCCTGTGGTATGCGTTTTCAAACTTTCACAAATAAGCAACCCTTCTTGAATGGTTTTCTCATGAGTATATCTGGCAAAAACAAGTAGTATGGACAACCCAGAAACATCGGTGCTTTCGTCCATTTGTAAAGAAAATTGGTTACAGTTAATTTATCTGAAGACAAATTCATCTTCAATGTGGTCAAAAATTTTATGAATTCGATCAGAAATCTTATTGTTTGAGCACTGCACTGCTGCAACTTTTTTACCCGCATCTTCTCCGAGAATACAAGAGACCACTTCTATCATACTAGGTTTAATCAAACTTTTGGCAATGGTGTGTGGTTTTCCGGCACGTGCAATATTATAACCCAATATAAATGAAGCCTCTGTGTTTTTCTCATTTTCGTCTTTTACATACTTAGTGAGAGAACTCGTACTTTCATTTGATATGTCTTTCTTCATTCTAAAAAATTCCAGATCTTTCTCTTTTAGATTTGGATGATCAGATTCCAAATGTCTCTTAAGCTTCGCAGTAGCCAAAGAACTGTTACTGAGAACTTTTTCACAAACTACGCACCTCACATCGGGAAATGTGTCTACTCCAATGGGAATAAATCCAAACGATAAATATTCTTCATCATATCGTCTTTTTTTTATCTTTTGAAAAATTAATTTGAGTGTATTCCTTACTTGGAGATGCTTCATTTTCGACAGTTAGTTTTTGCGGAGGAGCTGCTTCACAGTGGGAAGTCGAGTTTTCCGATGGAACAGACGAAGTACTGCTTTTATTTGTTGATGTTAGACCGGTTTTCTCTAATGATAACAATCACCCCGTTTTGAGCCATTTGTCCATTATATTTTATATTATACCAGAAAATTAAAGAGTTATTCGTAATAGTAATAATTGAACACTAAAATTCATTGTTAGAAAAAAAACGGTTTCTCACTTCGTCAAAGCAAAATGAAGACTGACAACTACAAATAAATATTTTGTAGTGGCGAAACCCATTGAACGACTACTCGCTAATGACCACAGATAAGATAAAGGAATACCAATAGTAGGTCCTATTTATACGCAACGATATATCGAAACTGTTCGATCGTTACGATAAATTGCTAAATAAATTAGCATTTGCGTGTGAACCCAGCTTTATAAGTTCATAACAAATAATATATATTATTATTATTATTATTATCTTAAATAATCTTAAAATCACTCTCCGAGTGTAATAAGATTAATAATAAATGGATCTGTGAATGTTGTAATCTGAATCAAGAAATATTACGCAAAGAATAAAATTGAAAAATATGGACAATAAAAGCCGCATGGTGACTGATGAAGAAGACTATGATTTTATGTCAATAAAAATTGATATGAAAAAAATGTTAAGAAAGTTGAACTATTTACTACTAATGTCGCTTCAATAGAAAATGCATTCAATTTCTACGGAAAATCCTTTGATGAAATCAAGAAGAAAATGGACACTGTTGTAAGCATCATTAGTGGTATGGAAAATAGGATAATGGAGATAGAAAATAGATGCTCTAAACTTGAAAAAGAAATTGAATACCTCAAAATTATGGTGAATAATAAAGAACAAACTTCACTTAGTCAATACGTTGAAATAACTGGTATTCCAAAAACTCCTAATGAAGATATAGCTAGGTACATAATATTATTTTATCAGTTGATAATGTATTAGATTTTAATATTAAGAAAGAAGATATTGCTGATACATACAGATTGAAACCGTGCAAGAATACTGATTGTAAAATAATAGCCAAATTACCTAACCATGGTCATAAAAAACTTTATTTTGAAATCAATAAAATTACGATATAAGAATAAAATTCCTTTGCAAAAAATGTATACGTTCGTTTTCCTGAAGTTAAAACATATATAAATGATCAACTTACTAAAGAAAATAAAAGATTATTTTGATTGGCAAAAAAAAATTTTTATATAAAAAAAATGCTTGTTATAATAAAACGTTTATTAACGATTGTATCAAATTCAATGTTTGTAATAATCGTACGTCTTTTCACTGAGTTCCAACTAAATTTACAAATAAATAAACTTAAATTCAACTTAATTAAAATTTAATATTATAATGTTACCTATCTGAAACATGGTTAGATAATGATATTGTTAACTCCGATATAAAAGGTTTTAACTGTTCATAAATATATCATGGAATTATTGTTTACATTAAAAACTCAATTATGGTTTATAATGTATTTACTGGAGGAGTAAATCACTGTAGCTTATTGAATTTTGTAGCTCAATTTTATATAATAATATTTTAATTAAATTAACATGTACTGATAGGTCACTCCGAATAAAATTGATTTTATAAATAATCTAGAAGATTTCTTAAACAATTTCTCCACATTTCAATCACATATAATCTGCGGGGACATAAATTTAAATATTATAATCAAAGATATAATTAGTGTTGAAGAACTAAATGTAATTATTAGTTATAGATATAATTCATGCATTAATGGTACTACCCATAGTTTTGGTAATATTAATAAATGTATTGATCTGATGTTCATGAAAAATAATCAGCCTTTTAATAATATTCAAGGATACATATATCAAAGTGATATTACGAATCATTACAGTACAATTTCTATACTATATACCTCACGCAAAACTAATAAAACTTTAATTGATAGTAAAACTGATAATATTAATTATAATGTTTATATAGACAATTTGAAGTATATCTTACAAAATACAAACTGGACAGAAATTTTACATTTAACTGATGAAAATATAGCTATTGATTTATTCATAAATATTATTAAAAACAGTATAAAAATATTGCAAGAAACTGTAATAAAAAAGATACCAAATAAAAGAATGCAACAAAAAAAATTGGACAACACTTGGAATTATTAATTCTATGAGACATAGATTATACACAAAACTAAAACAACCATTTAACATTCAATTACAATAGAAATTTAAAAAATATAGGAATCTACTAAATTTAACAATAAAAATAGCAAAAGACGTATGTTTCTATAAACAAATTTTAAATGCTTAAGGTCCTTAAAAAAATATAGAAATACATAAATGAAGCCTTAGATAATAAATGTAATAAAACAAATTATATACTATCATTCTTATATCATCAAGATAACATTTTAACAGATAATATTAAGATTTAAAATGAGTTCAACTCCTTTTTCGTGTCGATTGGTACTAACATTTCGAATACACTTAGACCATTCTCTAACATAAAACTCTTTTCGTTTTTATATGACATTCAAATAAATGATAAAATTATGTTCCTAAATCCTATTACAACTGATGAAATTAAAAAGTATATTTTAAACATAAACCAACATGTTCCTTTAATAGGTGGGAATTAACGAACTCGGTTTTAAATGCTATCATTACTAATATTCTAACACTATTACAATTTATTTTTAACTTAGCTCGACCAATTGCGCTTACAATGGCACTATTCGAAGTTTTGGAAATGTCCATCAAAGAGAGAATTTATAACTTCCTATAAACATGCTCAATTGTTTCGAGTACCTAATCGATTTGGTTTTAGAAGAAACAAAAGTATATACAAAGCTCTTATAACTGTTATCTTCTGTATACATAAAATTAATTTTCTTGAGTGATTCATCATCGCCTAGTCAGAACTTCTGAAGCTATGAGTATAACATTTGGACATTAGTTTTGTTTTGTGATTTAAATACCTACTAAGATAGGATTTTTCAAAATTCAACCCTAAAGGGGTTAGAAGGATTAAATATGCATACCTTGGGCTTTGTATAAGGCCGGATTGAACAAATTCGGTCCACCGAGTTTTCCGTACGTTACCGGTCCACTTATAAACTAAGGCCCGATGCACACGTCCGTTTTTTGCCACTGCGGTACCGCAAATACGACGTAATTAATATGTTATCAAATTTTGCATCGTACATGCCTTACGGCGCCGCTGTGTCGCCTTTGCGTTCAGTGTCTACCGCAAATAATAACGTCGCCGCAACGGCACCGCGCACGCGAATCCGGTTCAGTTGTACTAGAGATGGAAAGTTTAGTTAATTTTTGTGAATAGTTCATTAGTTCACAGTTCATTCAAATGAATAGTTCAAATGAACTATTCTTAAGAATAGTTCTAACTTAAGTTCAATAAGTTCACTAATTTTATTGATCATACTGATAGTGTTCGGTAATGAACTATTCGTTTTATCACTATTAGTACAGCAGTACACGGTTCATTAGTAGTTCACACTACTTATGGGAAATTAAGTATTTGTTATCTAATTGTAAACAGCTGTTTAAATTTACTGGATTTCGAACAACGAACCACAGAGAATTTTTAAAGAAGTTCGCGAACTATTTCATTTATACAATGCTACCTACCAATTTTTTTCGAACTGTAAACTGTTAAGTTACAGGTATTGAAACAGTTCAGAATATTTCATCAAAGTGAATAGTTCAAATGAACTATTCGTTCACGAATTTAACATCTCTTAGTAGTACCTTAATGTATATCGACTCATGCACACGTGCGATTTTTCCACGCAATATGTCCATAATCGACAATGTTGAAATTGAGCTGTTCATCAGCAAAGTTAAAAAATATAAAGAGATAAGTGGCGGTATAGAGTCTCATATACGTGTCTTGAGAGATTATCTTTGGTGTTACTTTTGTTCCTAGTTCGTCAGACGAACGAACACTCATTCGAAAATAAGTAAAAAACTTTTCTGAATTTCTCTTATATCACTAAATGTGGTATATAATTCACCTCTTAATAATCTTGCACCTGTAAATGGGTACACCCAGTAACGTCTATTGTACGTCCATATATATTTTTTTTGCACTAAATAAACAAAAATTGCCTTTTTTTTGTAATAAACCTCCATAGTTGGTGACTGAATGGTAACTAAAGTGATATTCCACGACGAATGCCGTCTTAGATATCTGGATGACGTGCGGTTTCCACAACAAAAACGCAATGATGTGTATTCAACAACTGCAGAACCGCAGCGACAAAAAAACGGACGTGCGCACCGGGCCTAACGGCCCTTAGCCAAATTTTTTTTAATCACATATTTCAATAGGTGCCCTAATATTTTCTAATTAATATTTAGTAGAAACATTACGAAAAGCACCATATTATATTATATTAATTAATAACATTTTTAAAGGTTGTTAAAATATAATAATTTCAGTCAGTTTAGGTTTATAATGTTGCTATATATATATGTGTTTGATTTCACCAAATGTATTCTCATAACATTAACCTGCAGAATATAATATATAAATGCATGTACATAAATTGTCCGACACAACAAAATAAATACCCAATGGGGAATGATTAATACATAATAATATGTTTGATGTAAAGTGAGATAATTAAATTGGAATGTTAAAAAATTGACATATTCCAATATAGGTAATATATTATATAATATATAGTGTGCAAACTTTAACTAAGAAACCTCAATATCTTTATGTAGAAACCTGCAATTTGAATTCTGTTCTTTAGTTGGTTTTTATTACATAAAAATACACATTTTTATGATCTTCGAATTTGTTATTCGAATTCTTAATTTGACAGGCGCATGCGTATTACAATTTTTTTTTATAGTAAAATACGAGGGATTTTCAATATTTTTATTGTAATTCTGAAAATAATTGTTCTAGGGTTATTCAAACTTGACATTTCTACCCCTATTTAATAATGTGAGATTTACATGTTGTTATAACTTGAACTATTGTTAATTTTCATTAAAATCTATGTAAGAATTATAACTTTTAGTAAAAAAACCGTAAATAAGTATGTTATTTATTTCGCTATATTAAATCTATTGTATCTATTGGAATGAATGGAATGTATTAATAATTAATAAAAAATTGAATTCTTATTTGAGTTACAATTTTATTTAGTTATTAAATAATTTAACGTATAAATTGTTCAAATAGTTGTCTAAACTTATGCTAGATCACCGACCCCTCATGATTTGAACGACCAAAAATTTTCGCGGCCCACCGAGTTTTGCTCTTTAACTCGCCGGGCCAATCCGGCCCTGGCTTTGTACCATGCACTGTACGTCCGTATCTGTGTTGTTTTTCTCATTTGTAAATTATTGTTATCTCACATATTGCTCAACATAATTATTTTTTATTGTTTTAGTTTTATCAACGCTCATTTTATGAGTAACGTGGTTTTCATTCATTGTGTCATTGATCAGGGCTGTGGATTTTTGCAGTTTTTTCATCTGTGACTGTGCTTTGGTGGCCACACGTACGAAGTGCCGTGATTTTAATTTTTATTTATTTTATACACTGCAGTGTGCCGTCGCAGGCAATTGTTTAAGTCACAGTGTTGGTGCAGTCGCGTCGGATGAAATCCACCATCGAACACAGTTCGACCATTGATCGACCATATTCGTTAATTTGTTAAATTAAGACCAACGGGTCAACCCGTCGCAGGCATATTATTTATTACATTATTGCCGTGCGCAAATAATATACATTTTAATAATTATTATTTATATAAAACACTGCTGTGTGCTGTCTAAGGCAAATAATATAATTTTATTGTTGATTTATTGTATTATTATTATTATTATTATTATTATTATAGCTATAGCTTATTCTAATTTAAAAATATCTAAAACATATTTGTATCAAAACGAGCATCATACAGAAAGCTTCAGAAAAAAATGTGAAGTGCATCGAAATCCCAGCCCTAGTTATGAAGTAATCGATTTTTGATAAACATTTTTAAATTATTCTTATATCCTATTTTGCTTTTCAAATTTTTTTAAAAAAGTTAAACACGTATTTAAAAATCGGCTTCCATAATAATCTAGAAAAATAACGATGAGTTCAATTTTTTTCAGATTTAAAATCTAATTACTCTAAGATGTCATATTTTTGTCACACTTTTAGGTCTAAATCAATAAAAATTAGTTTCTCGTTGGATCAACATTTTTTATTGTATTAAACTCAATGACATGTCCCACTTCAGGGTGAGTTTGAGAAAAAAAATTAAAGCATATGGATATATGTATATAGATAAACCTAACTTAAAAAACACATCAATCGCATCCTATCCATCACATTTCACAAAAACACAAATCTTCATATTCTTTAAATACAAATTTAATTAATGCTAATTGTTTAATTTAAAAGTGTTACGACTTATATATGGACTATAGTATATAAAAATATAAAAAGCCTATATATTAAGCCAGGCATACTCTGCTTTATTACCAGAAAACGACAAGAATGATAAGGGCACCTAATCAATAATGTATTAATCAACAAAATTAATAAAAAAAAGACCCCTAGGATAGCCTGAAACCTGATGGATTAACATATTTGTCGAAGATTTATTGATAACATGTTAGAACGCATCTTAAGAAACAGCGTATTAGAGAGATAGATGGAGAGAGATTTTGGTAGTAGCGGTGACCCTGAATGGACTTTTAAGCTGAAGAAGAAAAAAAATATGAATGTTTATCTTGATACTAATTTAAGGTATGGACAATGTTAGAAAATTTAATTTGTATTCAAAGTGTTTTATTTCACAGTCAAAAAATGTTTAAGTAGAAAATCATTGTAATGGATTTATAATTTTCTTTAAATGAAAGAAAGTGATTTATTTTAAAATTGTGGCTTTATCGTGTTTTATAGTAAATGACTAGAAATATTTTTTAAGGTGGTATGAATATGTCTGTAATGGATGGATGCTTAGTAGCTGAACACCTGGGTTATAGTTGCACCGGAATTAAATCTGCTATAGAAGCGAGTAATTTAGGTGTAAGAAATATTGAACTTTTTATTATTAAGAATAATTTGTTGCATTATATTCGTATTTTTGCATATAATAATAAAATATTGTCTTAGCAAATACCAGTTATAATAGGTGGAAATAAAGAACAACCAAAAAAAATATTTGGGAAGATTAATTGATGAACCTTTGATTGTTGTATATTTACTTTAAATGGTTATTAATACTAAAAATTGTATGTATATGGATAACATAGGCGTGCGCATGGGTGTGGCTTATAAGGCTACAGCCACACCAGAGACTTTTTTTTAGGTAGATACTTAAATAAAAAGGGCTAATTACTCTTTTTTTTGGAAAATCGAAAGTTTTTTTTTATCAATTTTATCAAATTACAAAAAAATAAAAATTGCCGAGACTGGCGTTCATTGATAATCAGATTGTATATCAATTTTTCTAATAAATCTTTTTTCTACTTACTTATGTTTTGTATATCTATTATTTTTTAAGGTGGTGTTTTATAAGGGGGTGGGTGGTCAAAAAATATAAAAGCCACACCGGAAACAGGAATCTACGCACGCCTATGATAGATAATTTTAAATATTTATAGGCTTACGGTGAAACAGAAACAGGTGCTGGTTCAGATGTTAATGCTTTAAAAACAAAAGCCGTAAAAAAAGGTGATGAATATATCATCAATGGTCAGAAAATGTGGATAACCAATGGTGGTGTAGCCAATTGGTACTTTGTGTTAGCGCGAACTGATCTCGACCCTAAAGCACCAGCGAATAAAGCGTTCACTGGCTTTATTGTTGATGCGGATACACCAGGACTTACTCCTGGACGAAAAGTAAACTTAAAATTATTTTATTTAACCATAGAATATAATTTATAATTATTCTATCACAACATCAGGAATTAAATATGGGTCAAAAAGCTTCAGATACTAGAGGAATAACATTTGATGATGTTCGTGTACCAAAAGAAAATGTTTTAATTGGTGAAGGTCAAGGATTTAAAATTGTCATGTCAACATTTGATATAAGTAGACCATCATTTGCTGCTGGAGCTGTTGGCTTTGCTCAACGGGCAATGGATGAAGTTGCCAAATATTCTCTAGAAAGAAAAGCATTTGGAGTTCCTATTGCTCATCACCAGGTAAATTAATTAATTTGGTATTAAAATGTTTAAACTTTATTTTGCTTAAGTAAGGTCTAATCTTTTATTGCACAGGCTGTTGCTTTTATGTTGGCTGACATGGCTATTGGTATTGAAGCTGCTCGTCTTACGTACATGAAAGCAGCTTTTGAAGTTGATCAAGGACGACGCAATTCATATTATGCATCTATAACCAAAGCCCACGCAGCAGATGTTGCAAATAAATGTGCCACTGATGCTGTACAAGTTTGTGTTATATAATAATATTTTCAATATCAGTTAATATTATCTATAACATAAATTAATGATTTTAGATTTTTGGTGGAAACGGTTTCAATACAGAATATCCTGTTGAAAAATTAATGAGAGATGCTAAAATATATCAAATTTATGAAGGTACCTCAGAAATTCAACGAATAATGATTTCAAGAGCCATCATTAATAATGCCAAACAAAATGTATAAAAAAAATCCCAATATTATTTATTGTTAAAATACAAAATATTTATTTATACATTTTAACAAGGAATATATTATATACGATAGTATAAGTACATTCTAATATGATATTTTGTAATATAAAAATTATAAATAAAAATATTTATTTTTGTTATCATTAAGCAGTCTTATATTATTTAGGTCATATGTACAAAACTATTGGTATTTAAAAATAATATTAATTACTTTTTTCTATACTCTGTTTTACATTTGGTTATTAATATGATATGGTTTCTAATACTTAAAATTGTTGATGTAATATTTGAAAATAATTAAATTTATATGAATGTAACAGCAAAAAAATAATTACTAAGGGTATAAATGCTTTATGTATTTCTTTGAGCTTAATATAAAAATAATCGACAGAAGTAATATACATATTAATTTGTTAGTTATTTACAACATTAAATAGATCAAATTTAACAAAAATCAAAAATAGTATACAACAAAAACAACCACTTCAGAAAATGTACAACTGAAATTAAATTACATTATTAAAAAATAACAATTATTAAATATATATATTATATGCACATCTTACATACAAATATAATAATTATACAAATCAATTGTAAATGTAATGTTTTAACTCGAGTTGTAAAGAATTTAAAATCCATTCATTTTTCCTTTTAATCTTGAATTCAATTTTGTTAAAATCTGAACGTCAAACATCTCGAGAACCATATTGTGCATTATTTTTAATGAGGGAAGAAGTTTGAGCAATTTCTTCAATTGTAGTCTTTCTCAATATTGGTTGACGAGTTCGCCATGCAAAATTACTACGAGACATGTCCACATCACGGAATGTATTTAACATGAATATGGCTGTTACAGTTATAAGGAATCCACATATAATACCAATGATATCCTAAAATAAAAATAAAATTTTAAGACAAATGCTAATGTTAATGCCAAAATTACATACATTTATTTGAAGATGTTCCCATTCTTTGAACAGTATTGCTGAAGCAGTTATTACAAGAGTAGTGAATGTGACGTAATAAACCGGTGTAACTACAATAGTGTTAAATGTATCCAAGGCTTTGTTCAAATAATTCATTTGTATGCTTACAAATGTTATCAATAAAACAATAAACATGTAAGTTAACCAATTTGTGAATTCACTTTGACCTGTTAATACAAATATTGTCGTTCATTCATAATACATTAAACCTTAATGTTAAAGAACAAATTACAAAAATGACAACATTTTAACATGCCTGATATTGTTTCTCGAATTGCAAGTCCAAGTCCTTTACACCACATAACAGTTAATGAACCACTGGTAGAACACATAATGACATAAACTATAACATTTGATGAACCATAAAGTGGACCAAAGTAGAAAAATATTGATGCAATTATAAGTAACATTATACTAGTGTAGACAATGAAACCTAATGGGAAGTTTAATTTATAAATAATTCAGTTATAAAAAAATAATAATAAAACAAAAAAAAAAACACATCAATTCAATAAATACATTTAAAATCTTACTAGGTTCTGTAAGTTTTTGTAATAGATCTTCAAGATTGTCAACTTCTTCTTCCTTTGGGGAATGGATAACTATCACAGTTGAACCAATAATACACATAAAACAACCAATCTGAAAATATGATAATAGTTTTATAAAAATATTTATGTATAAAATAATCTTATCACATAAAACGACCCTAAGCTTCTCTCCATTTCATCCAACCGCAATTAATCCTATGTTTTACATACACAAAAAAACCCCCATCCTTTTGAACAAATGATCATAAATATTTAAAGTCCTAGACTTCAATTGTGTCTTACATTATAATAAATAAAAAAAGAAGAAAAATATTAACTTATAATAAAAAGAGGAAATGTATATATTCCAAATAAATCTAGTTTGATTAATAACATTAAAATAAAGGCATAATTAGTATTTTTAATAATAAAGAAGACTATTCAATATTTATTTAAATATTTTTATTTAATTTTTGAATCTAATACTAATATTGTATTAAAGTTAAATCACAAAAAGTTTAGGAATTGACATATAATTTTTATTAAAAACATTCAGTTAAAAGTTAACGATTATAATTAATCTCAACTGTTTGAATACTTTTGAAATATTTACTTTAATAATATACTATAAATTAGCACACAATTTATCAATAAATTCAAATAAAACAAATTAAAATTTTTTTTTATTTATACTTTTAATATTATTATGATATACCACATATATTTTCAGTGTATTAGATATTGGGAGATAGCCATAATATTATTTGATTCAGTAGAACATGAATCAAATTTGTATTTAGGTCTGCATTAGATTGGATCAATAAAAAAAAAAAAAAGGAGGTATTTCATAAACGTCCGAGTGATAAGAATATTTTTTGTTTAAGATTTAATACATTTTATTTTACATTAACCATGAATATACAAAAAATATATGGCAAATATTTACCTTAGCTAATAAATTCAGCTGTTCATTTAAATATTTAGAAGATAATATTGCTGCAACAATTACACTGATTGCACCTAGTGGTGTAACCATTGAAGCAGGAGCAAACGCATAAGCAGCAAAATTGAAGATTTCTCCAAAAGCCACTGAAAATAGATACAAGTATATATTAAATTTAACTACCAACTTAAAGTTTAAATTTAATAAAAAAAAATTTTACTTAGCGATAATCCAAACCACCACAGCCAATTTTTTAAATATCCATAGCCACCATGAGCTGCTCTGCGTCCATTTCCTAAAGATATTTGAACAAGAGCTTTCTTCTTAATAATAAAACTTGCACCTAGAAAAATAAAACAATTATTATAGTTTATGATAAAATATTAATAGAAATTAATAGGTAATTTGTACTTAGTTGAAAATGTTAAAGCAATAAAAGTATGCAATTATATTATTATAATAGAATTATACTCCAAATTTAATAACAAATTGTCAACTTATATTTTTTATTCATAAATTGATAAGATACAATGATAATTAAATTATTTAAATATTTTAAACAAACCTGTGAAAAAAATCTTAAGAACCAACAGATTTATTTTTTATTTTTGTAGTTAAAAATAATTAAAAAATTTGAGAAACTTATCAATATTTGGTTTTATGAATTATAATTAACAATATTGAACTTAAAATTAATTAAAAAAATAAATAACAGATATTTATTTTAATTTATAGTTAAAAATCCAATATTAGTTTGAAAGAATAATTACATATGATTATATTTTTATTGGTAAATAATAAGATAGTATTTGGTACTTATCAAATATTTGTCATTATAATTAAAATAACTAAAATGTAAAATTATGTAACTAGTATCTATATCTTATTTTAAATGGTAAATAATTAATATTTTTTAAAAACAAGATTTTCTACCATTAGATACCAAATCAATTGGTATACTTCAAAATTGTTACAAAATATCAATAAAATAGTAAAATAAAACTTAATAAATTATGCTATGCTATTTCTTCAAGGCGTTCAATAGCTTCTGGGCTTAATAATATTTCACCATTAATATTGAAACACTTACCTTCCTGTGCTCTTGATTTCCAACTCAATGTGCTAAATTACATCTTATCTACCAACAAAATTTCATCATCTTGGACATCATACAAAATTATTCCTATTCCCAAATCAAATTCTATTACTGCATTTTACTCTATTGATCTTTCCTCTACACTACGTAAACCTTTTGAAAATATTCTTAAAACTCGGCTTGATTGGTGGTTGAAATATTATTCCATATTACCACCTGATCTATTTGCTTTTAGGAAAGGCATGGGCACCATGGAATGCCTTTTTACATTTATAGGTAATATCTATCACTCTTTTAATGTTAAAGAATGTTTTGTTGTCATTTTTGTAGATATTTGTGGTGCCTTTGACTCTGTTCATATTCCTACTTTAGTTTCAAACTTTCCTCCATTGGTTTACCTCTTACCTTCTGTAATATTATTCTCTCCTTGTTTTCTAATAAGAGTTTATCTTTTACTTCCTCTTTTGGTTCACAATGCTCACATACTACTTCTTCCGGTCTACCACAAGGAAGCTGCCTTAGTCCGATTATCTTTGATATTTATATGAGCAAAATTGCAAATCACCTTTCCAGTCTCAGCTATAATTGCCTTATTTATGTGGACGAAATTATTGTCTTCTCTTCCAATTAAGTTTTCATTGAATCCCTTAATCTCACTCTCATTGAACTTAATAATATTTTTACTGACTTATTCTTTTCTGTCGCTTATGACATATGTAAATCTGTCATTTTTATTAGACATTGGTATTTTAATCCACGAATGTATATTTCGATAATAATGTTATTCTTTTTGTAGATAATACCACCTATTTAGGTATTACTCTTGACTCCAAATTACACTGGCTACCTCATATTATATCTTTCATTTCTTTTGGTTCATGTTGGGCTAATTTTCTTAGGGTTATCACTGATACTTGGTGGGGCTCTCACCCTTCAGATCTTCTGTTAATTTATAAATCCATTATACATTCCAAATTTGACTATGGCTGTGTCCTCTTTAGTTCAGCATATTTTTCTAATTGGAAAAGACTGAACAAAGTTCAAAGCTCTTGCTTAAGATGCATCATGGGCTATGTTAGATCTCAACTGTCCCAACTATAGAAGTAGAATCTTTATGCCTTCCTTTAAATATTAGATGTCGCTGGCTTGCAGGCAAGTTTCTTCTTAAATCCCTATCTTTTTCTAGCTGTCCAATTTTTGATACCTTGTATTCCTTGTTCCTAAACTGGCGTTATATTTCTAAGTCTCTTATGTATCTCTATCCAGATTATATATCATACTGTTCAATTGTTTACGCATTGGACATTATTTTTTACCCTCCCATGTTTATAAATTAAACTTAAATAATTCCCCCTTTTGTACGATTCACTTGGACGAATGCCTCTACAATTTATTGCATATCCTTTTCGATTGTCTTTCACTCCCTATAAAATGTTCTCATTTAATTTCTTCTCTCAATTCCTTAAGCATCCTCTTTAATCTCTCTTTTATTTTAAACTCCAATTCTGAACAAGTTGTTACTATTACTTATTGTTTCTTTTATCCAGGAGGCTAGCTTTGTCATTTGATCTTTTTTATTATCTATTTATGTTTTATAATTTATTTATATCATTATATATAGGTATTTTAGTTATATTTTTTTATTTTTCTTTATACAGTGTGTAATCGGTTGTTAGAAACACTCTATAACTTAACAAATATTAAAGATATTTGAATTCTGTTTGTTTGTGGTGCTTAACAAAGTTTGTTATAACTTATTAAAGTAATTAAACAATTTTTATGCCATTTCATTTCGCGCATGTAAATAGGCCAGTGCAACTACTATTGTTTCGTATTTGCTTTACAGTCATATTTTACGAATTCACGCGTGTTTATTAAACGATAGTGAAATTACAATAAATAATTTCATAATTGAAATAGCTTGTTACTTAAACAAAATATGAATAATTTAGAAAAAGTTGATATGCTTTTTGTTTACTGGGAATGTGAAAAAAATTCACGTCTGGCTGCACGTGCTTATGCTGAACGTTACCCAAGTATGTATTTATTATTTATTAGTACTTTTAATAATTTTTCGTGTTGGTCAAAATAATAAAACAATTTTTCGTTTTTCTAAATTCAGATAGGCAACACCCGTCATACAGTTATTTCCATAAGTTAGAAAGGAATTTAAGAAATACTGGTTCTTTTTCTAACACTAGAGTTATAGCCAACCAACAACCTATACAAGTTAACGCATTGAGGGAAGATATTGAGCTTCGAGTGCTGGCGTACGTAAGAGCAAATCCCAGAGTTAGTACGCGTCATGTCGGCTTTGAAATAGGCATTTCTCATAATACCGTTCATAAAATTTTAAAAAAACATAAATTTCATCCATACAGGCCTGATTTAACTCAACATTTAAGCCAAGGTGATGATGAGCGTAGAATTATGTTTATTTCTTGGTTGGTAACTCAATTAGAAAACAATCCTTTTATTTTAAATTACATATTATGGACAGATAAATCCAAATTTACCAACAACGGAGTAATGAATAAACAAAATAATCAATATTGGGACACTCAAAATCCCCATTGGGTTTTTGAAACAAATAATCAATGTATCTGGGGAACAAATGTTTGGTGTGGTTTGATTGGAGGTAAATTGTTGGGACCTTATTTCTACGACGGTACATTAAATGGAAGACGGTATTTAGAATTTATAATGAATGAGCTACCGATCATGCTAAACGACATTCCTCTTGCAACAAGAAACAATTTGATTTTGCAACAAGATGGAGCCCCGACACATAATGCAAATGTCGTGAAGAATTATTTAAATGAACATTTTGAAAATCGTTGGATAGGAACTAATGGTATACTAAAGTGGCCACCTCGATCCCCAGATTTTACACCACTTGATTACTTTTTGTGGGGACATCTAAAAACTGTTGTCTATGCAAACCCAACTACTAATCTCATTGATTTGAAACAAAAAATAATTGCGGTGTGTAATCAACTTACTGAAGGGCAAATTTCATCAGCAACAAATAAAGAATTTCTACGGAGGACAGAAGCGTGTTTAAATTGTAATGGAGAGAAGTTTGAACAATTCATAAGATGACGAATAAATGTAATTTTGCAATAATAAAAATAAAATTAATTAATATTGTTTTTTTTTTTTAATCGCCTGAGATAAACTTAAAAAAATAGTTGCTTTAGGGAAAGAGGATGCTTTCCAAAAGTAGTTACTAAAAATATCACTAGAAGATATCATGCGGTGCTAAAAGGATTAACTATTTAAGCCATAAAATTGATGAATAATTCAAAAATGTCAAAAAATAATATCAATCACTGAAATATCTATAACTCAGCTATTTTTTAACATAGGAAGTTGGTTTTACCACTAAAATTCATGAAAAAATAAGAGTAAAAATAACTAACCAAAAAATAGTGAGGTTGCCATTTTAAAAAAAAAAGTTGTTATGCGCATGCGCGAAATGAAATGGCATAAAAATTGTTTAATTACTTTAATAAGTTATAACAAACTTTGTTAAGCACCACAAACAAACAGAATTCAAATATCTTTAATATTTGTTAAGTTATAGAATGTTTCCAACAACCGATTACACACTGTATATAACTATATAGTTAATATTATATACATATTATTTTTTTTTTTATTTTTTTTAGTTGTAAAATTCTTTAATTGTTGAGCCAATTTTTATAAAGGCTAAATAAAAAAATAAAAATAATAAATAAATGGTTAATATTCATTAATGAATATTTAAATAAATACTTTATAAATAGCAACTTTATTTACTTTTGTGTATACCCAATGATGAATTTTACTAGTACATTATACATAAAATAATACTCCAAACTACATATTTCTATATTTCTATATATAAACTATTAATTAATAAAGGATGATAAGGCTCCTATACAATATCTATGCATGTTATATTGTTAAATATTCAACCACAATTGTTTTCAAAATTAAAATTTTTATGGTATCTATCAACAAAATAAAATAAGTTATATCAATAATGTCTATCAAACAGTTCACTTAATATGCAATTGTTATACCAAATTAATTTTGTCAGCATCATGTGAATATCAGCAAATGTTGGAACTTTAACTGTAGCATTCAAATAAATTTACAAAATACAAGTATATGTATAGTAAATTTAGTTTAAGTTTAATATAATTATAATACACTACAACACCAACAATCAAAACATTATGTATCATACAAAAATATAAGTACTACATCTGGAAAAGTGGTATAGGTATTCTGAACCATACAAATTATTTTATTTATAATAATTTATTCAATGACATTGTAGTTTATTAAAATAATAAATAATTCAGAAGTTGTTGTTGAACTGTTATTCTCTCAAGACTACAAAAAAATAAAAAAAATATAACTTTTTGGTATGATAAAAATAATTTTCCTTTTAAATTTGAATCATTGGTTAAATAATACTAGGCGTATGAAGTAGTCTAGATATATTTATACATATCTTATCTACTACTTAGTATTCAGATTAACAGGATACTGCTGACCTTGCTATAGATGCATAAGATGGATATAGCATTGAATTACATTTTTTGAACAATAGAAATAAAAATATTTTACTTCCAAAATTATTTGTACTTATGTGATTGAACTAAATTAACAATATATATTCTGCATTACTATTATGGTTGACTAATAAAATTAAAATTAAATATTATAAAATACAAACCAATGAATCCGCTCGAAAACAAGGCAAGCCCAAGACCGACATAATAATCGGTTAAATTATATAGTCGAATTTGTTCTTCTTTGTCCATAGCTAGTAGAAATTAAGTTATTTATTGTTCGGTAAATGATGAAACACACGCCACTATTTATAATATAATATAAGAAGCCATAAGTAATAAATTTGTCATAAAATCGCACTGTTGCTAATTTTTAGTCATTGGTAAATAAACACTGGTATAAAAGTTGTGTTGAGAGGTTTCACAGTGACATAACAAGATGGCTAAGGACTAGGAAAGGACAAAGTCGAAACACTCGCAACTACCACGATCGATGCGTAGTTTTCATGAACATAATTTCATTCAATGATCCGCTGTAAATAAAGTTATTAAGATTAAGACATTCTTTGATTAATGATAACCAAATATGCAGCTAGTGCGGTGTGGTGACGATTTCGTAGACACAATATTATAGTTTATTCATTTATTTCGTGCATGAACTACACTAGAGTGCTCTAGTGCTTACGGACCACGGTTAACCAGGAACAATAATAAATGATAATGATGATATCATTGTCAAACATTTTGAAATTGATAAAATTTAACAAATGTATTATGAGAACATAATACAAGCAATAACCTTAAGATGCGTTTTAATCAAGTTGGTCCTTTACCTCACAATGATTGACAACTGAGTCCTTATTGTGGTGAGAAGGTTAATTTAGACATGGGCAGTGTATTGTATTTAGTCTAAAGCTTTTCAGGTCAATGTTTTAACTATAATTGTTCTAGTCAAACATCAAGTGATTTTAAAAAATATTAAAATATTAAGAATGAATTATACCAACAGACTGATTTGGTTCCTACAGGTAAAATTAATAGCAGTACTAATACAAATAGTGTAAATTTCATAAAAAACTTAAACATTTCTATATTTTCAATAATAGTTGACAGCTAATCAAAAACAATTCAAAGTTTACTCTACGATTTATTTTTAAGTATAAAATATAGTTAAAAATAAATCGTAGAGTAAACTTTGAATTGTTTTTGATTAGCTGTCAACTATTATTGAAAATATAGAAATGTTTAAGTTTTTTATGAAATTTACACTATTTGTATTAGTACTGCTATTATATATATACTATATTTTATACTTATATTTAACAGAATGATGGTCCAAAAAAGTATTAATTAATATTAAATGGTCTACAAAAATGAACTGTTTATATGGTGATGTAATGTGTTCACAGTATTAATTAATAGTTTTTCTTATAGATTTCAGATTTACATCTAAGCATTTTTCATGACTGGCAAAGAGTAACCGAACTTAAAGAATTTTGTGATTTAACTTTAGATACCATTAAACCAGCAGCTGTATTAGCTAGTGGTATGTTTTCTGAATATTACAAATAGTATTACTTATTTTTGTATACTATTGAAATATTGAAATTATCATATGTATATTAATTACAAAGATTAACAAAATTATATAATTAAAGGAGATTTAACTGATGCTAAAAAAAGAGATGGCATTGGTTCAACACAATATGAAGGAGAATGGTTAGCATACCATGATGTATTAACATCCGGAAAGGTATCTGAAAAAACCAAATGGTTAGATGTTCGTGGAAATCATGGTAAAATTATAATATTATACTTAAATGTAAATTATTTTAAATAATTTTAAATAAATTTATATTTCAGATAGTTTTGATGTAAATAATTTAGATTCTCCAAACAATTTTTATCGAAAATATTCTGAACAAGGCAAATCATATCCGCGATCATATAAATATAAAGTTACAAATCATGCTGGAATGAGTCTTAATTTTATTGCTGTTGATGCTTGCTTGGATCCAGGACCAAAAAGACCATTTAATTTTATTGGAAATCTAGATGAAGATGAAATAAATTCATTGAATTTGTTAGCAAATAATACTAATGGTCCTATTATATGGTTTGGACACTACCCCACTTCATGCATATATACAACAGGAAGTAAATCGGTATAGTAAAAGTTAATATATTTTTAATATCATATGTAGTGCCAATGCAAGTTAATGGGATTAAAAGTAAAATATACATTTTACGTCTTCATTTTATTTGAAGTCTTATTAAATAATACTAGAATGAAAAATAAATTATTAGATATTAGATAAGCCACATAGTATATATGCAATAACACAAAGTTCAATAATCCATAGTTTTTAATAAATCATAATATTACTATATAAGCTTATCTAAATAATTTGAATTTTTGATAACTTAAATATATTATTTTTCCTAATTTAAGTTACAAGTTATTGCAAATTTTTTTTTTTATTATTTTTTTTTTTATAATTCTGTATTGGAATTATATTTACATTTGTATGAGTCCTGGAAAGTGAAACTTATGCTAGATCTGGTTTATTAAATAAATATTTTATGATTTTAGATTAGATCAATTATTGGAGAAAATCATATGTCTGTTGCTTACTTATGTGGTCATTTACATACATTAGGTGGTTTAGTGCCACAAATGTATACAATACAAAACGAAGGATTTGTAGAGTTAGAACTAGCTGACTGGAAAGATGAAAGAATGTTAGTAAAATCTAGACGAATCCTAGAACTATTTATTTATCTTACAATTATATTATTCTTGTAGGTTTAGATTATTAGCATTTGATCAAGGCTCATTTACATTTATTGATGTACGACATGGTCAATGGCCTATTATACTAGTCACTAATCCAAAAATACCATGGCTTACAATACGAGATATGGAAACTGAAGAAGATAAAAAAAAAAATCTTAAATTTATAAGGTCATTAGAAATGTAAAATTATTTTATTTATATTATAGTGACATTTTACTTCATTGAATAACTAAAATCTTACAAAATTTAAAAATTTTAGAATATTAGCCTTTTCTGTTGATCCTATCAAACATGTTTTAGTTCAAATTAATAAAGAATATAAATGGAAAAATTGTAGTAAAGTTGAAGGAAGTCCTCTGTTTATAACAGAATGGGATTCTAATGACTATTCAAGTGGGCTGCACGTAATAAATGTAAGTTATTAAAAATTTAATATTTTATTTGAATAGGTATTACTAAACCATATATTTACCTTTCAAGATGAAATATTTATTGAATTGGTGTCCAATAATTGTACAATATATAAATATCAATTTTTGGAAAAGATAATTCTAAAAAAAAGTGTCTAGTAGTTTTAGCTTGTGCAAAAAATTTTTTTAAAAAATAGTGTTTTTATTTATTTATTTTTAAATCAGAAAATTGAGTTATACAATTTTGAATATAATTCCATGGGGAAATATTTAATAACTATTTAGTATTTATTATTAACTAAATTAAATATTTAATACATTTACAATTCTTTATAACTATGCAGGTTAAAGTAGAAGATATTCAAGGGAGAATACATATAGTTAGCCAACCTTTTTCATTAGATAATTCTAAACCTACATTTAAAATGTTTTCACAATGGCCATTGAGTGTTTATTTCCCTGACTTGGTAAGTAAATATGTTTTATTTTCATTATTTCATTTTAAATTAGTTATATTAAAGTGAGTGTAGATTTTGGTAATCATAAAAATCATTATCTTTATTTTTTATAAATTATGATATTTTATTGATTTGGCAATATATAGTTAAATCTTACAATATTTGTAATAGATTTAAATTTTATTATTTTATTGCTATGTTAATTTTTTAACGATTAAAACTACAAATTAATGTTATACTTAATTGGTTTAGGTAAAATATACAATAAAAATTTTTAGTTGTACCTTAATAAATTGTAGGTACTATCAATAAATATTTTATTAAAATAAATTTTTCATTATGAAACAATGATTTAATAACTGTATAATTATATTTAATTATATAGTTAATATTTAATGAGTTAATATGTTGAATAATTTCAATGTATTGTATGAATATTTAATTATGATACTGTGATTTTAAATACTGATGACCTTTATGAATTTTGTTTTTTTATTTTTGTTGTTAAATAACTAAGTATAAATTGTGCTTAATTTGAAACATTTAAGAACACTAATACATAATAAATGTAAAGTGTTCATAGTTCATGATAATACAGTTCTTAACATTTAGAAGAATTAGAAAAAGTATACTGAGTTATTTTTTAAAAAATAAGGGTTACTTCACTTGTCAATTACTGAGTATAAGTATTAATTTCATGAAATATAGGTGCATTAATATATAAATAAATAAACAAATAATTTATATATAGAAATAAATAAATAAAAGCTTAGCTTGGAGTATTATTATATTTGTAAAGTACAAACCAGTTTCAAATTAAAAATTTATTGTCAAGTGTATACAAAGCTGTGATTTTATTTTTTTCACATTCAGTTACAATTGTATTAACTTTGTTTATACCTGACGATGAACTTTTAATTCGAAATAGGTCATACTTTACTAATATATTGATACTCCAGATTAAGCTTTTATTTATTTATTTATTTTTATATATCTACAGGAGTGTAGTGAGACCAACTATGCTATATGGTTCGGAGTTGTAGGCAGTTGACAAAAGAATAAAACAAAATATGAGTGTTGCGGAAATGAAAATGCTTAGATGGATGAATGAAGTGATAAGAAAAGATAGAATAAGGAATGAGCATGTGAGAAGTAGTATTGATGTAACTTCAATAGTGGACAAGATGAGTGAAAATAATCTGAGATGGTTTGTGAGTAGGAGATGTAGTAAATCAAGACGAGTGGTGGTTTAGGACAAGTTTGGCCGACCACAAGTAGTTGGGGAAAAGGCGAAGAAGAAGAAGATTTATTTCTATATATAAACTAGTTATTTCATTATATATATATATATATATATATATAAATTTGTGAAACTAGTTATTTCATTATACATATATATATATATAAATTTGTGAATATTTATCATTTAATAATTTTTATTTTAATTTTTATAACTTTTTTGTAGATATATTATTTCCTTAATAACTTTTCTTTTTAAACTTTTTACTGTAATCAAGGGATTTATAATTTTAGTTTGACTAATTCTAATATGACCAAATTGGTAACCTTGATTGTTTAATTATTAAAATAAAATATTTTTGCAGTTATTATTGATGTTTGTAATTGCATCTTTGGTTAACCTGTTGCCGCTTATAATTTATCGATTTGTTTGCAAATGTACAAAATGTAAGTTTTTTTTTGTTTAAAATTTATGCCTAGCTAAGCATATGTAATAATATCTTATATTTTCATTTTTTTTTTTTTTTTTTATTATTAAATTATCTATAATGAAAACTTATTTACAGTACATTTAAAAATTAATCTAATAGTATGGTTTAGCTACACTAATATACCTAAAAATGGAAATTTTACTATTGTCCATTAAGTCTTTAATTAATTAATAATGTTTTACTAATAAATATAGAATTGAATTTAAATGTATTTTGATATAATTTACTCAAATATGCCAAGCACTTGGACCAAATTCACAAGATACAAGGAACTTAATTACATTTTTAAAAAAATCTGAAATATATATATATATATATATATATATATAATTTAATATAAAACTATGAATTGTTAAAAAGTAAATATCCAAATGTACTTAATGACCTAGATGTTGATCTATTTTAGAATCAATAAAAAAAAGTTATAATTTATGTAATTAAAAATATATTACAATAAATATAAAAATATTGAATTATACAATCCAGTATTTATACAAGAAATTAAATTAAAATAAAATATTACCCTAAATATTATCGAATAATAAATCTAAATATATTAGATATAGTTGTAGTGACATAAATTATTTTTCTTTGAAAAATTGTTTTTGTTTTTATCTTATATATTAATATCTATTAAATTTTCAAGATTTAAAACTTAATTAATTTGAAAAAAATTGTAAAAATATTTTTGATTCTATCGTTTTTAAAAAAAAATTATAAAACAAAAACTAATAATTTATTATGATTATTGATTATATAGTATTCTCTGTTTAGAATTAGTTTTCTAACTATGAAACATTTATTTTAATTCTTATTTAATAACCACCTGCCCAAGCCTATCTAATTGGCTAATAAATCAGTGGCGGTTTTTAAGGGGGGGGGGCGAAGGGAGCGCTTGCCCCCCTTGGATTTTTTTTGTATCAGCAATTATATTATTTATGCTATATTATTTTCACAATATAATATGTTCAAAATTTTTTTGTAATTATTTATTAATTTTTTTTTTTTTTGATATCAGCATGAACTTTGAATTGATAACAATGGAACAATATGCGTTATTTTTAAAATTTCACTAAAATATGCTTAAATTGCTTTAAATTTATTACTTCAGTTATGCATTTATTATTCATGTTTTTGTTTAGATTATAGTCAAATTAATGGACTTTTTACTATATTTTTATATAACATTATGTATATGGTTAGAGGTAAGTATGATTCAGAGGCTGTTATTTTATAAAGATTCCAATAAAACTAAATATTTAAATTATGAAATTTAAAATGAAAGTTATATGTCAATTAATTATTATAGGACCATAAACCAATTGTATTCTTTATTTGATCTATGTAATTATGGTGAGTGTCAAAAAAAACCAAAAAAATTTAAAATAGCCCCCCCTTGATGTTTTATCAAAACCGCCACTGTAATAAACGCCTATCAAATTCATACAAAATACCGTATTATTTTGCTAAAATAGTAACTAGGTATTAAAGGCCAAAAATTTTATTTAAATATCATATTGTATAAATATTATAAATGGGATCAGTTATTTTTGAATAGAAACTAAAATATTTGTCTTTTATTTTATTTTTATTGATATAATCACACTAAATGTTTTTAATATTTTTTAACAGATAAAATCAATTATAATGCAAAATTATCGCTAATCAGCAGATATTCAAGAAAAATGATTTTACTATCAAACGTGAATCGGTTATTCTATCCTTTATTATTATTTTATATTTATCTATGTCTAGGTAATCATTTAACTACTCAATATTTTTCATAATAATTTTTTATAATTACAATTTTTATTTTTATTTTAGGTCCTTGGGCTGTTGGAGAACTTGTAACTGATTCCATCGGCTGGGTCTTTCCGTGGGGAATCTATGTCAAAGGAAAACTTATAAAAGATTCATATATATATGTATATGGATTTGGACAAGTAAGTAGATTAAATTATCTTGAATATTAATTTAATTGCATATATTGTTTTTGTTTCTTTATTAATTATTGTTATTGTTTTAGATTATAACATTTCAATTTCCTCTTACTTGTATTCTTAGTCATCGACTTGATAAAAGGTAAATTAGTCTATCCTTATTTTCATAAGTATTTGCGAAATGAAAATAATAATTTACTTTTGATTTTAGAATGCAAACATTGCCAAATATCCAATACACATTAGTTAATTCACCATATATTTATATAGACCTATTATTCTTTTTTTTGATTATATGGCAAATTGTATGTTGTGTTTGGTTTTGGGGTGCATATGGTTGGATAGCCACAATATTTGGTCCATTAAAAACATGGTCAATTTTTATTGCACTATGGCTTTGGAATGAAATAAGAAATATATCTATTAGAGAGATACGATATGCAACAGGTAATAGAAGATACCATCAAACTTCTGAATAATAATTTATTTTAGTGTGTTTACTTTTTTAGTTTATTGTATGCATGGTTATTTAAATAGTAAAAAATAAAAATATTAATAATTTTTTTTTATTGTTTATCAAAAACAGAAGCTCTGGAGAAATTAAATAAAAATTAAATACTCTACAGTTCTTCATTATTTCACATTTATCTAGGACAGAAATACAGAAGTAATGATTATTATCTAGGTGTTATAATAAAATTTTTTGTAAAGATTATAACTATTTATTTATTAGCAATTATATTTTGTAATTTCACTTACATCGTGGGCGTTCCCAGGAGGGGGGAGCAAGATATGGCACTCCCCCCAAGAATTTTAAATTTGTTGTTCAAAGCATTATCTGTAACGCATCAATTTAGTAAAAATAGATTACTTTAATATAACATATATATTATATAGAAGAAAACTATATTCAACAGTAATTGGATTATTTTTTCTTATCGTATCTAATCTTATATTTGATGAAAAAGAAAAATGTATAAATAAAATGAATAATAATAATAATACTTAATTGTAATAATTTAATGTAATAATGACGAAACATAATGTTCTATAAATAAAGTGTATAACAATAATACCAACTGTAATAATGATGATACATAATAATTTACTATAAATAAAATGTAATGAAAAAAAATTAATTTATTTTTTAAATTAATTTTTGTCCCCCCCCCCTTAAAAAAATTCCTGGGGATGCCCATGACCTACATATTTGATATTAAGTATTTAAGGCCAAGTAGGAAAATCAATTTATAATTCTTTATCTCTGTTTAATTTGACTAATGAAATTTTAATGTTTGTATTTAATAGTCATGCATGGGGGATCGGTTTCGATGTTATCGAATATCGATTGTGTATTAATAATATTAATTTATATCCCGTTGTATATGCTATTGTTGAGAGCGCAGAGTTAGTGCGCATTATACTTTCTGTATACACCTATATTCGTACTTTATTTTCCATATATTACAGAAATATATATATTAATATATTTTTTGTCATCTGGAAATTATACATAAAATTGAGCATGTGTACTTGTGAACAATGGCGTGGCGATATGGGTAATCAAGAGACGGCCTCCTCGTAGTTTTTTTTTTTTTTTTTGGGGGGGGGGGCAAGGCCGTATCTAAAAAAAATTTTCGGGAAGGGTCCAAAACATGTATATTGAAATTTTATTGAATTAAGATTTTAACTTTTGATATTTGGTTAAAAATAAGACAAAAAAATATTTAATCTTCTTTTATTAAAATTAATATCATATTTTCATATGATATAAAATTTAAAGCAGTCAATGATTAATTGAAGCTTAAGTCATTTTTGACTGAAAATATTAATGTTGGTATTGAAATAAATAAGTATTTTAAACATTCGTAAAATATTGAATAAATTTCGGGGGGGGGGCAGACATGGTCAAGTGGGTAGGTGTCGATAAAATATACTTTCCTCTGAAAATTATTGAATTCGCCACGCCACTGGCAGTGGTATAGTTACTACATGGGCAATCGAGGCAATTGCATTTTTTTGGGACATATTAATGTGATTGGGATACAAGTGACTGCTAAGTGTTTGATTGATATGTTATGATTTTATTATGGATGATGGTTAAATGTAATTAGTATAAATGTACATGTGAAGCATGGCTAACAGCTATTTAGTTGTTCATACCAATTTAATTTACTGTGATTGATGATGTGAGAGCATGGACATTAAATGTTGATATCTCATTTGACTTTTTGCCAAAAAAAAAAAGCAAGAAAAAAATGAATAGCTGGTTTCTTATTATTATACAATTTTCTTATTATTTAGTTTGTAAGTCAGGCCATTTTTATATCCCCTACCCCTACCCAAGATAGGTAACTATGCAAGATAGTTTTAAAAAACATTTACAAAGATAACACTTCCAACGTTGTATATCATTCCGCAACATTTTGTGGAAGCGAAATTTTAATCCGTCTTTAATGATAATTATTTATCTTTTTCGCTTGACATGAAATTCATAATTTAATTTTTATATGTAATATAACAGCAAAAAAAACAAGCTATACTTTTTATATTTTATATATTATTAGATGGACTTTTAGCCTTGACACCTGCCGGTATACTGACAAGTTACAATATGATTATAAGATTGTAAGATAAAATATTACAGATTTTTATTAAGACTACTCTTATAGCCCTAAATTACTACGGACTCAATTCGAGTATTATCTAATAACATCGCGGACCCAATTAGTGTTTATTTTAAGCGATCAAATAGCTCGGGACCCAACTCGCGTTTTCCCAAATAATGGAATGTGAGACCTAGCGGGTGACCTAGACAAAGATGGGAAGATATGATAAAAGAATATCTAAGGTTATTGGGAATAAGGAATGCAGAGTAGACTGCAAAATACAAGGAAGAATAGAGGCACTTTGTTGTTGAGATGTTAAGTCAGTGAGAAGAAATTGCATGTTAGTTAAATTAAATAATTAATAAGTTTTTGGTATCATTTATAGTCTATCACATCATCAGACTTATAGATAACCGATTGGTTTGCTTGAACAATACTGTTTATAACTACTGATTATTAACTGATCCGTTTCCTACTTGGTTCCTACTTGTATACATATTAAATATAAATTAAGTATCGATATTATACAATGAATTAAATTTTAATTATATTTTTTGTTGAAACACATTTGAAGTCACTTTTTAAGTACCGAAGTATTACTATGTATGTTATTCATAATTTTTTATTTGTCCTATTAGTTTTTAAATGATTTGTTAGTTATTTTGTAATTAATTTAAAAACTGTTAATTTTGTAATATTTCATTTATAAGTAAATTATTAATAGAACTTAACTGTGTTTTCGTATTTTTAATCATAAGATATTGTCAGAGTTGAGTTGGTTATTTTATAAGAGTAATAAGTTACTTTACTTTTTAACTTAACTTTTTATTTTAATTGATATAAACTTAATAAATAACGAGTTAATTTTAATTAAATTCAAGTTAAGATAATTTATAAATAATTAAATAATAAATATAAAAAATTATTATTAATATGTAATGATGTATCATCATAGGTAAATATTACATAACTATTTACTAGAATGGGAGTTTAGAAATATAGTTCAATTTAATCAAAATTCTTCAAGAAAAATAACTTGATTAAATACATATAGCCAATAAGAATATTATATTATAATACATAGGTGTATCGTATATATGTTACCGGAAAAGATGACAATCAGTCCGTGTTGACAATGACTAGTCAATAACGATAATGCCTGATTTATTAAGGAATTAATGTCAATACCTAGTCATTGATAACAATTCCTAATAAAAGAAGGCATTGATAATAACATTAAAAATTAATTTAATATATTTTAATACTTATTAGCTATTTAGGATAAATCATAATCTTAATCTTTATTGTTACGTGGTAAATTACTATGACACTTGGAATTATATAATCTAGTACAGCGGTACCCAAACTGTGCTTCGCGAAGCCTTTGGTGCTCCGCAATGGTTTGCCTAGGGCTCCGTTCGTAACACCACAAAAAATTTAAAAAAATGTTCGTCATTTAAAATTAATATGTATTTCATGAATACTTGAATGTTCCATAATCAGATCGATCACCGATAAAGCGGTGTTGATATTTGTTTGAATGCGAATTTATAACATTGCCTAATATAATACGGAAATGTTGATAAAACAACGAAATATCCAACATTGCCTAACCTTTCCAGTCATTGTCAACAATGACTAGGATATACTGACAATTCCTGATTTTTTGTCTTTTCCGGTAACATATATAAAGATATACCATACCCAGGGCCGTATTTGAACATTTTACGCCTCGGGGCAACATATTTTAGCCACCCTTCCATAACTCCCCCCCCACAAAAAAAAAAGTTATTTTCTTTAAATGTAAGGCACTTTGTTGTAAACATTGTTCTAGTCCATAGAAAATGTTGCCAACTATCTTATATAATATGCGAAGCCCATTCTTAGACTAATATAATACCTCATAGGCCTTATTGTCATAACCCCACATGTAAAATATAGGTAAATTATAAAAAAATATTAAAATTAAACAAAATAAATACTTACTAATCTATATTATATATAATCTTGAAAAATTCACTACATCCATATCTTAAACAGTTGTATCTACTTAAATAGCGAAACTTTTTGTGTGATGAAATATAATTTACACAGAATACTTGTATGAGTACCTACATAATAGTGTTTTGATATTATTAATATAATTTTATTAATACTAATAATTAATTACTAAAGTAATATAAGCGAATTTCACCCGGAGCGAGGCACACAGAAGCTAGTTTAATATTAAATAATAATTATCAAAATAGTTTTCCAATAAATGTATTGAAATAAAAATAAAAACATTTTTTTTTTGTTATTAGGTACGCCATAATATTTCAATATAAAATTTCTGTCCCCCTAATAAGCTAAAACATTTGCCGCCCCGGGCAACAAAGGACACTTGCCCCCTCAAATACGGCCCTGACCATACCATATTGTGGCATACAGGCATATTGTAATAGTAATAATAATAATAAGTAATATGATATTATATTATTATATTGATGTAGATACAAATCACTAATATACAATTCTCAAGAACATAGCTATAAAATATTTTTGCCATAAATAAGTTATTTTTAAATTAAAACCAATTGGTTTATGCTAATGTATATTTATATTTCAAATATTTCTATTTATAAACAATCAATATTGTCAGTAGATAAAATAGTCATGGCCCACATAGGTTCACTTTTCGTTCTCGGCTTTTTCAGCACGCAAGATTTACAATATTGTCTATTAAATTGAAAAAAAATGACCATGTTACTTTCAAGTTACAATTGTAAAGAAAAATTGTATATACCTATACATTAATTAGCATAACATATTGTCTGTATATTTTCAAATATAATACGGAATCAATATATAACTGTTGAAAAGTATGCTGGATTATAAATATCTATTTATAATGCGTATAAATTATTTCTAAATAAACATAAATTTGAGGCGAAATAACCAAGTCTGACATTTATCGAGGTCAGGATAAGGCCCGCGTTAACCGGTTAGCAAAAGTGCAAATAATTTTAAAATTAAAATTAAATCAAAATTCATGATGAGTGGACGAGACTATTGTCATACCTTCTTCTTGAAGAGATCGAAAAAAAACTTCTTTTAGAACAATTAGTAGATCAGGGGAACATCCTTTATTTACGTTAAGACCAGAAGAAGGGTATTATGAAATTTTACTGGCATTTAATACACGATGCAGTGGCGTAGTTTACAAGTTGTTTAGCTTCTAAAATTTCGTTTTTATTTTTAGACAATAATATTATTTTTGTAAAAGCTTTTAAAATATTTAGAAAATTTTATGAAATTAGAGAAATAGCTTG